AAATTAAAATTAAGATAACTAATTAGTTTAATTAAAATTTTTAAAAAACAATTAAAAAGTTAAAAATGAGATTAAAGTGTATAATCATTTTTCTAAAAAAAGGAAAGTGACATGGTACGTGGGACGAACAGAAACGGCAACATGAACATTGTATGTGGGACGGAGGGACTATTATTATTATTATTATTATTTCATGCACTTACTGTGATATATATATGGTCTGTTTAGTTTGTGTTCAATTTTAAATTTTATTTTTTAATTGTTAATTTTGATGTGATATTTTGCAAATATATATATATATATATATTTTTGGGTACAAATAAAAATTGCAAAATATAATTTTGGATATGCCATAAGAAATATTTTAATTATTTATCAACATGCAAATAAAAATATATCTATTCCCTATGGATGGATAGAGTATATTAAATTCATATATAAAATATGAAGTTTTGATAACAAAATTATGATGTTATTTTATATTGTGTGCTTGTAAATTTTTTAAGTGGAATATATCTTGGAATATCTACAATCAATTATATATCTATTTTAAAATTTGATAAAGATGTCCCAATAATATTTATATTTTCTTTTATTTCATTTAAAATTACAACTATACGTTCCACTCACTATTAAATAAACTTTCGAGAATATTTTAGTCAATATATTATTCTTAACATATTCTCTATCACTTATAAAATATTACCGTTATTTAATTTACACATAAAAGATAAACATATAAATACATTTTCGACCGAAAAAAGTATATTTATATAAAAAAATTCAGTATTAAATATACATTCTAATATGTAAGATGATGGATAAAGTTCAGATGCTTATATATATATATATATATAATTTTCTTTAATTATATAAAATAATTTTAGAAATTGATATGGTTGACGGTGTTTAATTAATGATAAAATATTTATTGAATTACTATTCATACATTATCTTATTTTATTGAATAAAATAAAAATTTATATTTAATATGATTAGTACCAAATCTACTTAAATAAACAGAAATAAGATTCCATGTCATAAAATTAGATCAACACTGAACTAATTAATTACTACTATTATTATTATTATTATTAATTTGAATATTGTTTAATAGTGGGATAAGTTCGTTGGCCACTTACTTAACTTTAGTGGCATTGGATCAAACATGATCTTATTAAAGATCTTGTGTGTCCTTTCACTACATTATATAGATATATATATATATATATACATTGACTAGGGGTGGACACTGTTCGGATATTTACAAATGTGCAGGTATTTGATATTCGAACTGAACCGAACAAATATTCGAAACTGTGAATCGTATTCGAATCGAAAATTTCGGTTAACCGAAAATATTTGCAATATTAAATAATTCAAACCGAATCGAAATTAAAAAATAATTAAAATTCTAATTAAATTAAAATATTTGCAAATATTTCAAATATCCGAACCGAAACCGAACCGTAATCAAACCGAAATCGAATCGAATATAATAATTAATATAAATTTTAAAATATAATAACATAAATGTATAAATATATTCGGTTCGGTTAACCGAACCGAAAAAAATATCAAAACTCAAATCAAACTAAACCGAGCAAATATCAAATATTATTCGAACTGAATTTGCTCGGTTAACAAAAAATTTGGTTCAATTCAGTTCGATTCAACAGTTTGGCGGTTCGATTCGATTCTTTTGTCCACCCCTAATTCTGAACATGTTAAGCCCATCTATTCATTATTGTTTTTTTTAAAAGATATATTTATTTATAATTATTTAATTTTTAAATAAGTATAATTCTTGAAATTGATGAATGCACTAATTGGTGGAAGAAAAAGACATTTTATCTAAAAATTTTAGCCCGTGATAGTGCAACTTGGTCCCCCACTCATCACTCTTAAATACTAGGTCACATGATTGGTTGTTTTTTTTTTTTTCTCAATTATATATTTTATATGGGTGGATATTGATTATTAAATAAATAAATAAAAATAGATGATGGTTTTTAATTTTCCTATATAAAGGGCTCATTTTGTGACAATAAACTCATCACTAGGCACATCTAGGGTTTTCATTTTTATGTATCTTACCCTAATTGATCACTTCTTGTTTCCTCTTCAAACTAACCCTAATTCTCTTTAGATCATTTCATTTTTTTTACATATATATGGCATCAATGGTGGTAGAGAATAATTGGGGATTAATCATGGATGGCCAAGACGACGAAAATGTCGAGCTATCGACGAGGAATCATAGTCTTATAATGTCCCTACTCGATGAAACACAAGTAGACGACGATTGCGATGATGAGCAGTTGTCGGAAGTGATCCGATCTCTTGAGGCAGAAATCAGGTTTGGAAGTTTTTGTGAAGATGATCCTGATACCGGTGTTGACAGCTGCATCGATCCGGTATGGACAAGCGGCGAATTGGACGGTCAAGATTGGAGGGTTTCGCCGCAAGAAAATATGGATGTCGAGTGTTGGATGAACATGGTGACGACGATGGCCGGCGGCGAAAATGGCAATGAATTTGGAGAAGACAATTATTATGGATCGATGTGGCATGATGATGTAGGGGAGAAATAATTATTTATTTTGTAAGAATTTAATATATATATATATATATATGATAATTTAATAATTATTTATTTTGTAAGAATTTAATATATATATATATATATATATGGTTAAATTTTCAAGAAAGAATTAGCACTCTGAAGTGTACATGATCAGAGTTTAATTGCCCTACTATTAAAATAACTTTGGGGTGCTTCTTTCAAGAAAGTTTCGGGAAAATTGGATTTGTATTTAGAATAAATTTAAATTTTAAGATGAGTTTTTTTTTTTTTTTTTTTCATTTGTAGGTTTGGTTTGAATTTTGGAGTGTTGATGTGTAATGATTTGATAGTTGATAAATATAATTGTTGGGAATTAATAAATTCACAACAATAATAGTGTCAACATGTATTAAATTAAGTCAAAGAACAAAAATAATAAATCTGCAAACGGGAGTCAAACAGTAGCACAATAGTCTAAAACTTCCAAATCCTTCAATATAGAAACACACATACTTTTGTTTACACATACAATTACTTTATACATAAAGTCAACGTACTTTCACTGATTAATAAAATATTATTATTTCTTCATCTATTATATAACTCTAAACTATTTGATTTGAAACAGAGAGAGTATTTTAAAAAATGAAAAGAATAAACCAAAAAATACATACATATTCCTATCCAATGGTTTACAAACTTGACCAATATATGTCGAGACTAATTCGTATCTCAAGTGTTGGAATGAAAATTTGATGGGTTGAGATCCTCAACATCGGATCCTCAAGTCATCGCATGAACTCGGAATGTTTTGATTTCGTTGAATGAAATTCTAATTAGTATGTTTATATATATATATATATATATATAATTATTGTATTTTTTGTTTATAAATCAAACTATTAAGTTTTATTTTGTTACGGAGATCATAATAGTTTTAAAAGTTTCAAGGCCATTTGAATGTATTTAGTTGTATGTTTAAAAATTAGATTTTGAATTTTAAATAATAAAACCTTGAATTTAAATAGTTTTATTTGTCAAAATATTGAAGTGAAATTGAACATTCTTAACTAAGGTTTCACTTTATGTTTTGCCAATTTCGATTACGTCTGTTCTCATTCAAAGATCACTTACTTAGAGTTTGAACGGACAGTTATTTAATTTTTTCTTCATTACTGTTTCTTTTAATTTTCTTTTTATACATTTTTCCAAAAAATCACTATACCACACGTATTCACTATTTTCATATTCCTAACTTTTTATATCTTAGATAAAAAATAAAAAAAAAATAAAAAAATAATAATTCAATACTCTCACAAAATAAACACACATTATTAAAAAAATTAATAATTTCGATTTCAATTATATATATATATATTTGGTAGGTAGGATTACATTAAAATATTTTTTTAATTATAAAATTATTTTGTTGTTTTTTATGTGAATAATAGTGTTAATAGTGTTTGTTGTTTTAAAATATTAATTAATGTTATCTTTTATTTAAAATTAGTAAATTTAATATATAAAATTAATCAATTTCAATTGTAATTTGAAAATATATATATATATTTTGGATTTGCTTGTCCAATTATATTTTTACCTACACAATTTGTCCGTCCATCTCCAAGCCATTGCATAGGAAGTTTGGTCATCTCCAACTCATCACTTCATTCATTCAGTTTTATCTTCAAATATGCAGTTTGCTACATTAATTTTACTTCAATTATAACTTCATTTTTCATCATTCTTCTTCAAATATTCAATTCTTCTATTATTTTAAACAAATTTTTATTTTTATAATTTAAAATAAAATTTTTAAAAATTTTAAAAAATAAAAATTTAATTTAAAAGTCAAATTTATAATTTTAAAAATTAAAATAATAATAATAATAATAATAATAAAGCAACGCCAAAAAGTAGCGTTGGATTTGGCTTCGGTTATATACTATAATTTTATTCTATACATACTCTAAAAATAATAAACCGCCGACGCCTTAGGTCACATGTTACACTTGATTCGCTCAATGTGACTTGTCTGTCAGACCTGGTATTAGATTCGGCTTGGGGTTATCCCGTGCATAGTTCGATTCAAACTCCCGACGCCTCAGGTCACCTATCAAACTTAGTTCGCCTAGTGTGACTGGTCCGTCGAACCTAGTTTACAGGGTATTAGATTTGGCTGACATTTATTCAATGATACGTCATAAAATAATAATAATAATAATAAACCGCCGGATCGGATCGAATACGGTTTAAAATAATTTAAGAAACGGTTTGGAACCCGTTGGGCATGTCTACTCATGGTGGGTTTAGGGTTTGAATGCTTCTTCTAGATCAAATTCATTTTTACTTCTATCGCAGCAATTTGTTTATTCTGCAAATTTCGCAATCGAACATACCTCCGCAATATTTGACCTTCGTAAGTATTTTACATTTGCGCGCGAGTGACAGGAAATGTGGATAATCTTTCTGTATTAAGTTTGTCTTTTTGTCGAGCTCAATTCTTCTTTTCTGGGTTTTGCTTGGTTTCTTGTAAATTCCTCTGCTTTGGGTTATACGGGTGAATTCGATTAGTGGTGATACCTAGTGTGATCTTTTGGTGCAGAAATAGTTTAAGAAATGGCGCTAGGGTTGATATTGGGAATTGGGAGGGCATTCAGAAGGAAGCGAACGTCGTCGCTTGATATTCTGACGTCGAAGAGAAGTCCTCGGGGTTATTACAAGGGCAAAAATTGCAAGCCTACTGGTTTTCACACCCGCAAAGGTAATATTCAGGTGCTGTTGCTTTGTGTAGATGTTATACTACCTTGCTGGCAATGATTTTTGGGTTAATCGAAAGTTCTGGATTGAGGTGCTTGGTCTTTTGTAGGATTTGATTTGATTGTGAACTTCTCGATATGCACTATTTGGTAATTGTGGATATGCTTTTATATATTATTGCAACTTTGTAGAAAATAATAATTGGTTTTGCAATGAGCTAAGCCGTCCCTTTTAGTAGGGGTTACAAACTGTGTTATTACTGATTTTCTAAATGAATACTGGGAATTCAAAATCAGTAACCCGTTGGTGAAAAGGGCGTTCTACTTGTGTTAGTATGAATTTGGAGCAAAATCAGTTTTTCTGATACATACAGGAGTTTGGGGATGTGGATAATGATTCCATTGTGTAGTTTGGTTTAGTTTTACCATTTTCATTTTAGTTTATCGTTTATAGAAGTTTTGTGTTGGTTTGTACACCAATGTCGTCATTGAAATGGTAAATTTAGTACATTGCCATATTTACTTTGAAGTCATATTCAAGTAGGACATAATAGGATTTGGTGGAACGAATTCAGTTGTCTATATAATTAGGTTTGACTCAGAGTCTTAATTTGAACTCGTATTCATTTGGTCTGTTAAAATTCCAAATTCGATTTGCTATTTGCTTCTAGTGGTTCGGGTAGTGGAAAATACTCATGATTTAGGTGGGAATTCATTGTTTAACTTTGATAGAATGCATGAAAATTGTTCGATTGCAATGGTTCCACGTGTTTATTTTTTTCTGGTGGATAAATTGAGTTGTGCCTTTTCTTGTCCCTAGGGTGACACTAGTTTTTATGACATGCTACTGCCGCCAATGTTTGGCATTCATAACTGAAGATTGAATCACAAGTATTTTTGGCAAGGAAGTAAATAATAAAGTGAGGAAGATAAGGATACTTCTTTAACAACAATATACATAATGTTGTGTGCAGGTGGCTATGTGGTGCAGCCTGAAAAGTTGCCAAATTATGTTGTACCGGACTTGACCGGCTTCAAGGTACTAAATCCCAATTAATTTTTTTATAAGTTCCTCAATATAAAACCAGTCTCTGTATTTGGTTAAAGGCTAGCTTCTTAACCAGATTATAAATGACTCTGATTTTAGATGTAAAAATGGCAGATTCTACTTTATTCTTAAGGGAGTGCTACTTTGCAAGAATTTTTATTTCTTACATCTTACTAGAATTAGAATCAAAATAGTAGTTGAAAGTTTTGCGAATAACGTCGAAAAAGCTAATTTGTGGGTGCTTTATTATTATTATTATTATATATTAAAAGTTATTTTTAACCATAGCAATAAGAAGTTATCTTTTTAATGATGTTGGGATTATATATTCATGGGTGTAAAAGTTCATCAACACTATATATTTGTTACTCTACATGGACAACCACTGAAACCTAAATCCTAAGAAACACTGTATGTATTGTCTATCTAATCTTACACACGTAAACAATGGTTATTAATGAATAAATATGTATATATATGTGAATATAAAGTTTTATATTGGAAATTAATATTCTGAACAAAGATGATTATATTTATTTGTACAAACAAGTTGCTAGAAGCAACCTCAATGGTTCACTGGTTCTGTTTTAGGTTAAAAACCATAAATGATAATTGGCTTTGCATTATTTAACCTTCTATTTATTTGTTTTTTAAATGTAAGCACAAAAGATCATTTTAGGGGGTTGCAAACACACATTATGTTTATTTTTCTTTTCATGGTTGAAGTTGGAACAACATTTCCAAATTAGGAATTTTCCTCAACCCCTAATTATTTTCTTGTGCAGCCACACATGAAACTTTTCACATCCTATATGTTTATTGTTTGACATCACCTTTTTTGACAATATAAATTGATCCAGAAGATTGTGGAAGAGTTGATGAATTATTTGAATGAGCAAAATTGCATTTTAGGTTGCTTTAAGGTTGAGTTCTGCCAATTTGACTAGTGAGTCAACAGAATTAAGTCTCTTATCACATACCTCTTAATTTGAGTTTTCGAGTCAAGTAATTGAATGCAGCCCTATCCCTAAAAGGGAGTGCAGATGCGTACAGCCAGGTCATAACAAATAAAAGAAATCAAAAGCTCTAACTCAAAACCATTGTCTTTCCTCTTTGAAGTGATGAAGCGGTATTTTGCTCTCAGAAAATTTTGCTAGCCGTCGTGAATCCTGGGAACATTGTTTGGTTCATCAAATCTGAAGCTGGGTCCTTTCTCCGTGGTTAAATTCATTATGGTGCTCGCTACTTTTCTGTTTTCCTTACTGCATTGGCCTAATTTGCTGTGATATAAATAGGCTATTAGATGTGCACTGTGTGTTAAAAATTTTATTATGTTTGTGTGTTGCACACATGTGCAAACAAACACAGAGGTACTGTGGTAGAGTCACGTAGATCATCATGTAGTAGTAATTGAATTCGAGTTAAAGCTTGAACTGACTCGAACTTGACTAGTATTGAAGTGAGATCGAGGTGTTCAATTGAATATTATCAGAAGTGTTCAAAATGCTCATGCTCAAAACTTTCAAACCAAGCTTGAGCTCTAGATATGTGGAGAATGGAATAACTAATAATGCAGAAAATTTAAGAAAAATATGAGCATTTTCTAATAAAATTATTTTGAATATTATTCTATCATTTATAATATCTAATACAAATGTACAATTATGCTATTGAGGCAACAAGCACCATAGTATGCCCCTGAAGTTGAGTAGCTCAACTTGATATTCACCACTACACATCTAACTATTAGCTTGGGCGTTGAAATAAAAAAGGAAACTCAAATACTGTTAAACACACAAATTTAGTTTACCTTGACGATTTTTAAATAGGTGTTTCCTACATTTATCTTTGTTTGCAGCTAAAACCGTATGTGTCTCAGTGTGCACGACAGTTGGGTGATTCAGCTAAGTAAATGGAATGCAACAAAGCCTCTCTGGTTGAGTCCAAAACAGAGGTGAATGATCTCATAGTTTCTTTCTTGGTTAATCCTTCTGTCTTCTATGTGTTCATGTTTTGGATGGCCATCCTTCAGTGAATATGGTGTCTTGCTTTGTTTTTTGGAGACTAACAGATACATTGGTGGTGTTCATTTAGTATTTAGGAATTTATGGGGGTTTTATTGTTAGTTATTGAGAATTGTCGAAAGTATTGTTAAAATATTTATTTTTGTTTTCTTAAATGTTTTGTGAAAGGGTTTAGGATTTATTGGGGGCTGAGTTCACACGTTATTTGTGAGGACGCCTTCTTTTAGGCGGATTTATTTGGTATCTTTTATTCATCAGTTTCTGTATTATTTTTTTTTTGGGGAGTGGGGGGGGGGGGGGGGTTAGTTGTTTGTTTGTTTTGAAAGTATAGTATTTTATAGGATATTTGGAAAAATTAGAAAAAAGAAAAAGGAGAGAGAAACTAAAACAGAACAGAATTTTTAGTCATTGATTTGCATTTTTTATATTTTTATTTGCTCTACCCTTTGTTTATGAAATTCTCAATGAAAGTTTTCAAAAACAAAGAATGTGCATACATTTTAATAGTATAATTGAAAGAAAGCCTTTAAATTGTAAGAAACAAATTATTTCACAATGAAATGAACAATAAGATAAAAGGGAAGAAGAAAATCTTTACGAATAAAAGAGTATAATATGTGTAACTATTTACTTTCTCCATTATGGAGGGTGGTAAGTTCTCAATTTGCATTTTGACCTAGTCTTGTGTACATTTAAGGGCTTTTTTGAGTTTAGCTTGGCCAAGAATTATCCACAACGATTGACTTGCCCGCTCATCACTGCTTGCTCACTAAGTTTTGTATATTAATCCATTTCTCCGTTGAAGACATTTTCCTATGGAAGGAGAGAATATTCTCAAACTAAGTGCATAAATGATGAACCCAATCATGATCTGGAATGATTAATGGCATAGATGTTTGAGATTTTGATGTAACTATCATGAAAGCTACTGATTTGATCATTTTAATGGTAAGATTCATAATTTTAAGTAGCAATTTCTACCTAAACAAAGCATGCGATTTATTTAATTGTGGAAGAGATTGGTGAAGATGGATCTATATATGTTTGTCACTAACACGACTCATCTTGAAAATACCGCCCTAAGATTTCAGTAAATTTTGGGAGTACAAGGTCACGATCATAAGAACTAAGATTACAAAACCAATGCATCAATAGTTATGGAAGCATATTATATTTTCTTTTCTACATATTTCATTTTCAATGTCTTCTTTTAGTTTTTTTTTTTTTTTTTGCTTTCTTTTATTTTGTTTCCTCGTGGGCATCTATAAAAAGGTCATTGTTTTTCATTGTGAGATAAATGATCAAATATATTTCTTGGAAACTCTTTTGCCTTAAAAAGTGATTTTGTTTGTTAGATTATTCAAAATTGAGTAATTCAATTTTTGTATATTCCTTCAAAAACACCTTCCACGAAACCATTAATTGGTCTACTTATTCCTTGGATTCTTTATGTTTTCATCAAAATATGTTTTCTTTTTATAAAATTTTGAGTGGTCCAAGATACACTACGAGTTATTGGCAAAATAGGTTAAAAATAAATAATGTTTTTTTCGCCCCTGATAGTTTGTGGATCATCTTAATAAGAGATACAACTTCACTTATGCAATGACAATGTGCACTACCTCTAGCCTCAAGAAGAAAAAGGGCATAATGCATCTATTGTTGCGAGTGGCTTAGCATTCCTTTGAAGTTTAGAATCTTTATGAGTGTGTTTGTTTGGGGTTAGTATTTGAGTTGAAATTTGAATAGTAAAAATTTTGAACTAGAATAATAGTATCATTAGAATAATAATATCATGTGATATAAATAGAGTTATTTGAATAGTAAAAATAGGCGTTATGTGATATTTGGATATAATATAAAAAATAAAAAATAGTTATTTGATTTGATGTTTCTAAGAGGAAAAAATTTGGTGAATAGTTGAAATATTGGGAAATCCTTTAAACGAATCAGATAATGTGATGCTCATTTTGTATGATGTTAACAGTCATTGTTCTCATGTCTCTTGATAGGTGGGTGGCTTGTGGTGCCGACATCTCTTACCAGCCCAACTGCCGTCCCTCTTCTTGGTTTGGCCTCATCATCAAATGTAGTGGTCCTTTGTGCCTCTTGTTATTTGTTTTGCCACTTATTCTTTTGCATGATATTAGTTGTTCTTGGGAATCCTTAATATCTTGGAGGGCGAACCACTTCATTAGTTGAGGGCATTAGAATGTTGCCTAGATTTAACGAATACTGATAATCCGTAGAAAAACACAAACATTGTTTGGATGAAATTGAGGGACAAATTTTCATTCTTCTTTTTACTCCACTGTTGTGCAATTACCACTCAATTCCTCCACTATCTTTGTGTAACATAATGTATAACCACCGTACGGATAGATGACAACATACATACATACATACATAAAAAATAGTACGTATGTAAAACCTAATATGAGCTTAACAATTTCATTTACATGACTCTATCAGATTGCTCAAAATTAAACTAATAACCCAACACAAGGGGGAGGCTCTTATCTTAAAGTTGCACAAAAACACCTCCAAACTGACCTAATGAACACCTGAGCTGAGCCGCCCTGCCCGATTATTATTCGATGCAAATGGCTATATCTAAAAACCTCATATCATCTTAGTGCACAAAAACAACAAAGACATTCATCATGCAGGCCGCATACTCGAGCACAGAATAAGTGCATATATATATATACTCATGCCCTATCTAACCCACAAATTAAAGCTTTGAATCGGAACCAATAAAAAATATAAATAGAACTTACAGGTGATTGATTGGTTTATTCGAGTGGCGAGGTCTGGTTGTTGTCAAGAGACTTTGAAGAGTTGTTGCCAGAACCAGGGACGAAAGCAGACACCGGGGAACCCGGAATTAGCAGACCATATGTGGGTGATGGAAGAGTCTCGTCATCATCAGAGGACTCCGACACTCCATCATTGTGTGTTGCCAATGATCGGGGCTCAGCCTTGGACACACTTCTTGATACTTTCCGAGAGAATGTAGATCTCAAGCCACCGGCAGAATTTCCAGGTGGTTTTGTGTCCTCATTGTGTGGGGCATCCGGGTCTTTCTTGCAATCTTTCGAAGGCTTTGAAGATGGAGAAATAAGGTCACTGTCTAGTATCAACTTGACGCCAACTTCCTTGTCGTCTGATGCCAGGATATTATCACGTGGAGAAGGCTCGAGCTCCTCCTCCCTAGGAGAGGTTGGTTTGTCTTTATCCCGAGGACTCCTGTGGAACATCGAACCAATCTTGCTCAACCCCCTCCGGAATGAATTCTTTGAGTTGGATTTAGTAGATTCTGTACTTTCGTCGGTGCTGCTGCCGTCAATTGGACCTGAGCCTGCGCCTTTTGACTTAAAGCTTCCTTGTGAATCAGCAACATCGACCTGAACTTGCCCGACAAGTTTATGACTATCAAGATGCCGGTTCTTCCCTTTTCTTGGTTGCCAAACTTGGACCACCTCACTTCCCGGGTGGTGGATCCAAATGCCAGTTTCAGTTTGGCCTTCAATGTTGATTGGCTCAAACTTATCCGCAACTTTTGGGGATTTCTCAGATGTCCTCGACGAGAAAGAGCCTCCCTGAGAAAGATCACCCTTGTAGTCCTTCTGGGAAGAGTCAGCTTCAAAGGGGATTTCTTTGTGGTCGCCATTGACTTCTGTAGTAGACAATGCACCCTGTTTCTGTAAACAGAAAAAGAAAAAAAAATAATAATAAAACTGGGGGTCATGGCAGTCCATTCTATCAAAGACGAAATCTTTTTGATCTTGTATCGAGAAAATGGGTATTGAACTACTCCCAGGACGTCATAAAGCAACTTGATTCAAATAAACGTTTTGCCACAAACCAGTCCTTGTACTTATCATATCCAAAATTCACTCTAAATCATGATTTCAGTCATTTCTGATCCTCTGCACTATCAGTATCTTGATTGTTACAAATCTGTGGCAAAATAATTCCTGTGTAAACTGTAGAAATATGCTCCTATAACCAATTTAAAAGTTAATTTTACTGGTTCCCAGATTTTAGGGAAAAAGTTCGACTCATTTTTGTTTGAAACAATGAAAATATGATGTATATCGCAATACATCATAAATTGTAGCATGAATGTGGTGAAAGAAATATCAACACATAGACAAACCTAATCAGAATTACAGTAAGTTCACAATTCAATGATGTCAGCAGAATACAAACTTTTTTCTTTAGGGTCCCGATCTCTCGCACTATTTATCATAATTTACCTGTCACATATGTTATGCATATGTCTTCTAGGTAAATCTATAGCTGAAATTAAATTTAACTTTTTCTGGGTGCTTGTCATATTTAAGATTTCAACTTTAAAAAGCAATTACCATGGAATAAAAATTTATATTAAAATTAGCTGAAACAGAGAGGAGGGTACCTCTCCATTCTCTTCCAAAACGGTTACTGCAAGATGCAATCTTCCTGTTTTTATATTCTGGAGAGGCAACCACATGTCATGCCTCTGGCCATCCCTAAGCTCATTGACGTTTACGCAGCAATCTCTGTGTCATTTGCATAATCACTTTAGAGAATGAAAATGCAAAAGTTAAATTGAAAAGTTTTAAGTCCTTGAAGTTCTTAAAATTTAGAATTTCAAACACATCTTTTAAAAATGAAAACTAACAGAAAATTAATAACAATCATATCCAATATAGTAGGTGGACACAACAACTGTTCAGAAGATACTCAAGTTTATTCATGACACTTTCAAATTTTGCCCATGCATATTCAAGCATTGAAAAGCACACATACCCTAACTTGTCATCAAATATATGATCCTTGTCGTGCACTTCTATCATGAGCATGTTTAGCGTATCCCATGTGCAAATAGGAATTTTGAATTCCTCACGCCATTTTGGAGCCAGAGTTTTCTTCTTAGTCTTACTTCGAAATCTGTAAGGTCCAAGTTTTCCCTTCACATATGGATCAGCCAGTCCTGAAACCACGTTCAGGTTAAAACCAGCAAATTTCATGAGTAATATTTTCAAAAGACCTAAACCAACCGTTCATGTCTGATGGCTTCATATCAGCAGCTTCTAGAACTTCCACGACTGCATGAGCGATAGGCTCTTTTGCATCAACAGAGAACCAGCTTTCTGAGAAGATTCAAAACTATGAGAAAAAACTAGAAAACAGAGGGCTCTTTTGCATCAACAGAGAATCAGCTTTCCGACAAGAATCAAAACTATGAGAAAAAACTAGCAAACCGAGGAAAAATTTGTAAGGACTTGGCACCCATTTTAATTCAAATTCTTGAACAATAATCAGTTATTGTATATGCTTCACACACGCTATGGCTTCGGTATGTTATAAGCTGAAGCCAAAGAGATTAAAGGAGTGTTGCATGCTAGTCTTCAAAGCTTATAAAACTTAATAGCAGTTAAAAATACATGAATAAATAAATAAACTGGCCAGAACAATGATGAAAGTACCTCCTGGTTGGGGTGAGACAAATTTCTCTACATCAACAACCAACATATTAGGCTGCATAAGTAACATAGACTAGTCAATAAAGCACACAATTTTTGCCATCCTGTACTTCCAGTATAAACAGATTAAAAGGTTTTTAAATAATGGGAAGACTCAACCATGTCATTGAGGCTAAAATATAGAATTAGATCTACTATATGGCAGAGTGTTAAAAATAGTAAATTCAATTAATTGCAGTAGAGTGTCTCACCTCAACCAGCGTTTGCTCAAAGACAAGGGCGAGTAGATTGTCCTAATCCACAGAAGAGAATCAGCATGTGTTGGTTAAGTCAGACAAATTTGTAGAACAATAAGCATAGAATTATATTATCACAGGGAACACAACACATACAAACATACACACATACACAGATATGAAATCATGGCATATACACTTACAATCCAGCCAGCAATCCCAGGAAGTTCTGTTACATCAAGGCCATGAGTGAATATGGGTTTCACAGTCATCTGAAAATATGGAGGCCCAGCAAAGCATACACGCAGGCGACCAATGAATGGCCATCCACGAAGAAATTTTATCCCCACCAACACCTACAAGGAGAATGCTACATAATTATCATTATTGAGTAAATACAAATAGTAGGAGAATCTAACCATCTGACTCGCAAGTTAAACAAGACTAAATATTTCAACCGTCCCAATGTCCCATCAACAAATAAGTAGCTTGCAAAGTCAAATGGGTGCACTCAAGAAACAAAATGTGATTTCTATCTTTGTTGCTCTTTCATATACTCACTAAATTATACAGGTAGACAACATAATATAACTTTTACTTACCTTCCCTTCAATATGCATTCCCAACAAATGCAACTTGGCCAACATTCCGAAACCCAATCTTCTCCTCAGTTTCACACCAAGTATGGCGCTCATGTCATCTGCTGTACGAAAGTTCATTCCCAGTTCCAAAACCTGAAAAATATATATACACACACATCAATATATTTGAATAAATCACATAAAAAATTTAGCTTCCCTTACCAAATGATCGTCCCCAGCTACATTATGACGAACCCTCATTTCAGTAAATATAGGCGGGGATCTTCCCAAATACAGATGCTGAACGTCAATATCTTTCTGAAAGTAGACAAATAGAAGCCTTGTTAATAGAATTAAAATCTAATTGTAGTGCAAAATTAATAGGACACTCAATATGTTCTATAAAGAACCAAAAGCATTTTCCATCCCTATTATTGTTGCCAAATTAGAGCATATATCTCCCAAAGAGTAGAGCATACACGTGTCATTAAAAATCATCCAATGAAATTAATTCTACAGTGTCCAAAACCAAGGGGATTGTTCAAACTCATACCGCTGTCCATGGTTTATATTTTTTGAGGAACCATGGGACAATAGGAAGAAGTATTTTCTGAGAAACAATTTCTTCCATACAGATGGACCAGATCTTCTCAATAGCAAGGTTCAACCATCTGACACTCTCTGAATCCACAAGCACCTACAGAAAACCCAACAAAACATGTGGATTTAGAGCACTACTTTAACTGAGAATCCAAATCACAAAAAGAACAGTCACAAATAGTATATACCAATAATACAGAAATTCAATAGGATCAAAACATCCAGAGTTCCCACCACGGAAAAGATGAGTGGGAATGAATAAGTTGAGAAATTTCGATACTCAAAACACCTTTTCACAAATTATTTTTCTTCTCTCGCCTGATTTAGACAGAAGATGCATACATTTTTCTAGATTCTTTTTCACAGGGAACCCCACTAGAAAAAATCGGGCAACTAAAGAAGGATTGTAGATAACAACAAACAAAATATCTTTTTCTCAATAAAAAGTTGGGGAAACACTATTTACCCTTCGTTGATTGGCGTCTCTGCTCTCCTCAAACTGCAGTTTCTTCCTCAATTTAACAACATACCCGTCGTGAACCTTGAATAAACAACAAACCATCAGCCTCAATAGTAACAGTAAATCAACAGATCTCCAAAGACCAAAACAAAAATTGAAAACTTACGAGATACAGATAGATGAAAGCGAGGAAATACGCCACCGGACTGCAATAGTTGAGATAATTCAGAAACCACAGCGACGCGAAAACAATGCACACATGGTGCAGTATCGTCGCATCGGTTATACTCCCCATCTTGCTACTACAAACTCCACTCAATATCTCCAATACACCAAACACATCTACATACACACAAAAAAACTTTCATCTGGTCAGGCAAATCTATAAACACAAATAAAAACATATCTGATCAAACAGTAGTTCATTATCCCGCCCTAGCTTCCAGCATCAGATTCTAAACCAGGCTTAACTTTGAATGTAAGATGCAACCATACAAGGAGAGTTGACCTTACTTTTTCCGGCGGATTGCGACGGCGGCAGTGGAAGCTGATATCGTCGGGTTCGATGGTTCCAGAACCTTTAATGGAGTCGTTAGCTTTCTTCTTCTTCTTCTTTCTTTTTCCGGTATTTGTATTTCTCATTTTATTTTTATACTATTATTAATTACTTTCGGTTTTTGACTATTTTCCATTTTCCAGTTTCTTTTCTTTGGCAGTTTCTGCTTTTTGTGTCTGAGGAGCGTCAGTCGACAGTTTTTGCCACGTGTCCCGCCACGTACGATACGTGGCCGACGTCGCAATGGATAAAACCTTCGCCAAATAAGTTGAGGTGGCTAAATTCGAAGAATTTTGTTTAGCCATTTACAATTTTTTATTTTATTTTTTTATTTTAGTAGTAGATATTTACCACAAAAACATTTCAAAAGAATAATTAAAAACCTAAGGTAGGGACGTATTATTAGAAGCGGGACTATATGCAACAACCCTTAGAATATATGTATATAAAAAATAATAAAATTATATATTTTATAACAATTTGTCTGTTCTAATTTTTTTATTTTATAATATTAAAAAATTATAAAAATTTTATCCGTTTGTTAATTTATAATTTTAGTCGTTAAAATTATTTTTTTATAATAAAAAAATATTAAATTTTATGTAATTTTGTTTAAATATTTTCTAAAATTTTTCAATTATCGATTTGCCCCCAAACTTTTACTGTTGATTTCGTAGAGGCGTATTATGTACATCAAGAAAATCAATGCAGATATGATATTAAATTTGATTACTTGAATAAAGTTTGATTGGTGATGAGACAATGAAATAAATATATATTATAGACAAATTGTTGGAGGGATAGCGTCGGCAAACGAGAGTTTGGTGATTCAACGCCGTGTTGGGGACTAAGAAAGCGATGGTCATGCCATCCATATGTTATTTGATCCATCATTTCATACATCTATGCAAGTTGGCACAATTATTAATTTTTTATTTTTTTTTTCATCACAGATTTTTTTTTTTTTTTTCCATTCTATTTTATTCAAAAATATCTATTTTTCATTATGATAATAAAAAATATATACTATTATATACCATAGGTCATGGATAATGTCCATCGTCCAAGCATTACTTATTAAGTAATAAGCTTTCCACTTTTGTATTACTATAAATTACACACTAATATTAATATATTTTAAATTTTTGAATGAATTAAAACTCATTAACTAATAAAGTATATGATTAGTCATAATCTTGGATTTGATTTCATTTATAATTGGATTGTTTTCGAGTTGGGTGTTGATCTCTTGGATAGGAAATAGGATCGGAAGGTGTATATGGACCGTCGTAAGAACTGTTCTTTCGTTATATCGATTTCTTTGTTCAATAAAGTGAACCTGCGTTGAAATTTGAGCCACATTAATGTGTTGTTGTGTTTTCTATTGTGTTTCGATTTTTCTTTTCAATTCAAATAAAAATGATATGTAAATCTTTTAATCTTGCTTTCGATTTTGATTTTTTGATCCTAAAAATAACACAGATTAAAAATGTCATAGATAGTTGGGTTATTTAATTATCTAGTGTTGAAATACAACCTAAAAAAAGTGTTCAAATACAATTTTTTTTTTTTTTTTTTTTAAATCCAAGTTTTTATTCTCTTAACTAATTTATCCAAATTTCCCCAACAACATTAAGTAATTAGAACTACAATAACGGTTAAATCTGCATCAGATTATACCCAAATGCATAAGATCTGTCGAGATCCAAGTGGAACATGAAAAAGGGACATTGCAAAAGTTGAATATCAATTTTTGGCAAAGGCTCTGTTCATGCTGCTAAAAACTTCATCTAGAGAAGATCTTGGATCATTCTTGTACAATAGGCCAAAGCTTCTTATTCGAAACATAATGACACAATTATTATAATAGGCTCAAGGCAATAACTCAACACTCTGCCCAGAGAATACAGTACCTTGTAAGTAACGGCGATGTCCCTTTTTCATGCCGCGGCCTTTGCCTCAATATCTTGTAAGCCGCAGACCATGTTGGCAGGCACGGCGACGTCTATCATCTTTGGATACGACAAGTTCAAATCTGGTAGATCAAGACATTATTCATTTTAGTCTAAAGAAGCTAGGATTGGATATATACTGACATAATATGATGAAATTGGTGCCAATCAAGATCACTTACTTGCCATGATGTTTTTGAAGGTTTCCTGCAAAAGACATACATCAGCTACCGTAGAATGTAAAATAATCGGAATATCTAAAGTCTTAGAGTGACTTCAGACAAAGAACACGACAAAAATTATAAGAACCAACCATTTCATGGTATCCTAAAATATGTGTAATAATGGATTTTCGTTTACAAAATAGCACGAGGGCGAGAGGATTGGAATCACCTCATCTTTTGTCAGACGGGGATTGTGCTGCATTTCTTCTCTCACAGTGCTTGCCTAAAATGAAGAGGTGAAATTTCAGTTGTATGCATACACTTGCACATAGAAGTGAAAACAAACAAGAAAACACAAGCATGCTTACGCTGAATCCTTTGTAATCGTGAGCAGGGTACACCAGTGTGTCTCCCGGCAATGTGAAGATCTGCTTTTCATTGAACAGTCGGAGCAAGTTACACATATGCTTGGAAGGTTTTGAGCATTGATTAAAAAAAAAAAAGAAAATTACGACGAGCATTTTAATTCAGTTATAAATGGTATGGCATTTGAGTCCTTGCCTGTGAATGAACTGACTTGTAAAGCTGGTCAGAACTTCCACCCTGAATAATAATAATAATAATAAGCATTCGACGAGAGAATCAGAAACATTATAAACCAGAAAATTAATTGCAACAAATCTAAGAGTGATTTAACTTAAAGATAAAAACGATTCCAGATCATGTTTTCCAAGTGTATCCTTTGATGCATACTGTCAAACCCCATGTCATAAATTATTTCAAAATATCAGATACGAGAATTTTTAAAAACTAAGTTCGAGTTTGAGTGTTTTTTTCATAAAGTGGCAATGCTTGAGGTAAGGTATTCTTGGGAAGCAAACAATACCTGAAAATCTGTCCTGCCACAACCACGTATCAACAAAGCATCACCTGTGAAAGCCATCCGTGGCTGAGGCTGATCCGGTCCATCACCCGTGACATAGGTAACACAGCCTTGAGTGTGGCCTGGCGTAGCACGTACCTGCAAAGTTAGTCAAGCAAAAAGGATGTAAGGATTGATAGTCTCATCACCTGTGATTACATTCACATAAAAAGATGGTGCATTGTAAAATGGACTTCCAGATCGAATAATAATCAATTCAAGTTCCGTATAAACAAAGTCAGGGCACAAAATCAACCAATGCTCAATTCAAAACATACTCTACTCCAACTCGAGTAATGCAAACCCAAGCTCAAGTTCAAGCTACTTGACTTACTTTTCAAGCCTCGTCGAAATTTAAGGGTTTGCATTTATCAAGCAATTCAGGTCTTATTGATGCAAACTTTGAGCTCCAACTCACCCTCAACCTTTAAGGTGTGCGCTCAGATCAAACTTAAGCTCGAGCTAAAAAAATATGGAGCATTTGCTTGAGTTCAACTCTTATTGACCTCACTCTAAGGATTGAAAATATATTCGACAATAATGGGCTGCCAAATTATGTACCTCCAGAAAAAGACCACCGAAATAAATTAAGTCACCAGGTTCGACAAGAAGATCGGCTTTTGCATTGCTTGCTTTTGAGATGATAGATTTAACACCAGGAATTTTATTCTGCAGAATATAACCATAAAAACTGCAACATCAGGTTGGCAGACAATTTCAAGAATTTGAACCGTGAAGCTAAACAAGTAACCATGTGTTCGATAAGCACCATATATTAGAAATCATCACTTTCAAGTAAGCTATTTCTTCATTATATTCACTGACCAGAGGACATAAAACCTGACCTTAAGCAAGCCCGTCCCGGTGATATGATCAGCATGTACATGAGTATTAATTGCATATATAAGCTTCAATCCCAATTCTTTCACGAGGGAAATATCTCTGTCCACCGTGCGATCTACAGGATCAACCAGCTGCACCGCCACAAAAATGAAGATATTGAAGTGTACAAAGAACACTAAACAATCAGGTAATACGTAGGTGCTGAAAATCTATGAGATTATTACCTCCGAAATTAAGAACTTATGGTAACTTCAATAAAGCAACTAGTCAATAATTATTCTGCTGTTAATTTCTATACAGATCAAACTAAAAAAATTCATTCACTTTGGTTGTAGATTTCTTCAGCTGTTCCACTATTCATCACTTTTTTCACCTTAAAATAATCAAATCAAATAACTATTTTTCTTAGGTATATATTACATCAAAAATTAATTCTCTTTCAAAAAACTATTCGAATTCAAACTTTTTAGTATTCTATAGTTCACATCGATAGTTCTTTATATTTCAAATTTCTCCAATTCATAGTGTTTAAATTAACACAAAAACACACTGTATCACCAACAGAATAAGATTAAAATTTTGCATATAAGCATTACAAGTAATGCAATTATGCAATTCATCTGTCTTAAAAAATTTCAATAATTGAAAGAGGAGCTAAAAACAGAAATCTATCTGCAATGAATTAAATTTCGTCCCTGCACATAAAGAAGCATAAAAGCAATAGGAAAGCAAGAAAATGAATCATTAGAACCGAACCAATATACAGCAGCAGCAAACATTCAAAAAATCCCAATTAACGCAAAACAAACAATCCAAGCATTCTAAAGATTCTCAGATCGAGCAAGAAAGACACGAAACGATAGCCACAAATTCAAGTTATAATTATATATAAAAATAAGGCCAGAGCAAAAGGAGAGACCAGTGCTGGTTTATCAGGGTGAGAAGCATCTGCGAGTAAGTAAGTATATGTACACGACTCCTTCTCAAACAGCTGCCTAAAAAGCAATTTGGCAGACGACGTCGCCGATTCCATTTCCATTGGAGATCGAAGCTTGGCTATTGGCGGAGAAGAGATGTTCTTTGCAATGAAGGTCGATGAAAATGTCAGTAATCGGGACTTGGAGAGCATCTCCACCTGGGGGAGAAATCGAAGTCGAATCCCAGATTATCTTCTCCGTCACAATCAAGAAGGTTTTAGAATAATTAATTCAATGAAGGATGATGGTGAAATCAAATCGAAAGGTGTTTAGCGATTGATTGATTTGTTGTGCAGCGGTTCTATCGCTGGCCGGCATGCTGAGCTTTGCCGGTTTGTCACTTGCAGTTGCAGGCTCTCCAGGAAATAATTCTAAGGTAAAAATATAATTAAAATACGCTCTAACAGGTCTTATTAAGGTTATATTTTTATTTTTCGCTTATTTCAAAACAAAATTATATTTTTTTTTATTTATTAATTGTATTATTTACTTAATATTATTAAAAAATCTACGTGCCAAACGTTATCCTTTCAAGTGCACGAGGGAATAATAAGTTAAAAATTAGGGTAATTCATTCAGGTAATTGAATCGTTTGATTAAGATAAACTATTTAATATAAAAATATTTAATTAATTATAATAATAAATTATAATATTATTTTATTATTTTTACGTAATTAATAATATTGATAATTTTAAAGTAAATTTAATAAATATAATTAAAAATTTTAAAAATATTTTTAAATATTATTAAATTTATGTAGTAAAAAAAATACTTCCTCCGTTCCATTGAAAGGTTGTCATTTTTTCCATTTTCGTCTGTCCGAAAATAATGTTACCATTACCTAATATAGTAATTGTACTACTTACTTAATATAATAAATACCCTTCCAACTTACAATATATTACGTAAATATTATTATTTTTATACACTATACTAATAGGGGTATTTTTGTTTTTTAACTACAATCCAATATAAATATAATATGGAGTATATGCAATATCGATATCATTTTGTAAAAATACTTTTAATTATATATAATTAACATAAATTAATTTTATAAAAGATGTGGAGTTTTCTATAGATAAAAATATTTCATTTTTTTAAAGGAGAGATAGAGAAATGAATAATGTATTTATGTTAAATATGTTTTATTACATTTTATCCAAAACAAAAATATTTCAATTGTTATGAAACAAATAAAGATAAAAAAATAAAAAATAAAAAATTGTTCTAATAATTATTAAAAAAAAAATCATCAATATTTTTCTATTATATACTCTCTCAATCATCTAATTATATGCTCATTTGACCGAACACGGATTTTTAAAAAAATATGTAAGAATAGAAATTTTTACTTTTTTTTTAGTAAAAAAAAAATGATATTTGTTTTACTAAAAAAATGGAAATAAATTTGGATGACAATCAAAAAAGAAAAATGAGAATAAATTTGAACGACGGAGGAAGCATAATTTAATTAATTTTGATACCAAACCATGCATTGAATGGTCCACGAACACGGTGTATATTTCTATTTTAGAATACTTTTTATTATTTATATCAAAACTCAAAACATATCAAACATATAAGTTTAATTTTGTATTAGATTTAAAATATTATTACATAATTCTAAAATAGTCTCTAAAATATTATGCAAAAATATTCTAAAGAATTACTCTTATTGAATCAATTTAAATCATCTTATAAAAACATCAACTAATATAAATAAGAAGAGACTTCTTGTAAAATTAAATTACATATTATTTCAGTACATTAAATATTTTTTTAAAAATAATTCTATATTAATATTGGAAGAACTAAAAAATTATTATTGAAACTTATTATATATAATATAAAACAAATAAACTTATATATTCCTTATTTTAGTAGATTATATAAATAGTTTTTATTTTAAATATATAAAATATAAAATATTAATAATATATTAATAATATGTCGATGAACCTATCACTTTTATTTCTTTACATATCTTTTGACGCTTAAAAAAGGCAAAATGAAAATGAAGAATAAATTGATTTGATATCGCTGTCATAATCTCCCAATGCAGCATTAAGTAAAATATCAAAGTCGTTCTTACCTACCGGCTAGATGAGATCAATATTTAAAGATTTTATTATATACAAGAATCAAATCCTCTTCAACTTATATAATCTATTGCGAATGACTGATTGACTGAAAATTTTATAAACCACGTTATATATCTATCTTTTGGTAAAAATCAGATCATCTTGCTTATCGATATTTTGGTAGCAAGTCACTTTCTTTTTGGCGAAAAAGAATGCTTAGCAACTTGAACTTCGAATTGAATTGAAATAAATTAATTACATAAAATATATAGTATAAAACAATTTAATTGCTATATTTTGTAATCTTAATGAGCACGAAAATTTTTTACTTCTCGCATTGAGCACAAAAAGTCAATATTGCTATTGCAAAGATTAGGAAAACAAATTGATCGTTGATATATATATATATATATTGCTGATGGCATAATAATTATATATGCTTAAAATGTTTCTCTCATACTTATACTATATAAACTTTCTTTTTTTTACACAATTTATAAAAAAAAATTATAAAAAGAATATATCATATTCAAATTTTTATTTTTTAAAAATATTATATTAAAACGTATTATTTATCTATTTAAGGTATCATATTCTCCACTTATTTATGGTCAATTACAATATTAATCTGTAAAGTTAAATATTATTAGCTTACTTTCACAATACAAACAAAGATAATATAGCGGGAGGTGGATCGTCTATTTAGATAATTCAAAATTTTATATCTTCGAGATGTGTTTTTCTATGGATTTGGATTTTTAAATAATAAAACTTGAATTTGAATAATTGTTTTATATAATATAAATAGAAGTTGATATGACATTTTAAATGTAAATAAATTTGTAATATAATATAAAAAAATAATAATTATTTGATTTAATATTTTTAAAAAAAAAAATGAATAGTAAAAATACGTGATACAATATGTATAATAACAGGGAATTTTATAAAAAAATAAAAATAAAATAACAATTAAAAGATTAAGAAAAATCCTACAGTGAACGGGTTATCTTCAATAATAATAAGTTTCTAGTCTACGAATGTCAATAAATATTTATTTTCATCAGTTTTTAAATAAATTGATTATAGTTACCGACATGTACTTAATAATCAATTCTTCATTATATTAACTACTTTTCTAATTAGACTCAAATTTTAGCAACGCTACAAAAAATTTACTAGTCTGACCGCATTTCGAACTAGAAGAAGCTAATTCGATTTTAACAATTACCTACGCGAAACTTTTTAAAATTGATTCCATAATTTTTTAAAATTTTTTTATCTCCTTGTTGGGATTTGAACTAAATTAAAACGGAATTAAGTTCAATTTAGTTTAGCAAATAATTTTTAATTTAATTGAAATATCCGCTGAAATACACAACTAAACTTAAGATTATAGGACATTGAAGTGTAAAATTACAAAATATTTATCAACCAATAAAATATCAATAATCGGAACGAGCCTAATCTCACCATGTTCAAGTGGCAATAATACATGACAAATTTATCATATAGCATATGCATCTCGATGTTACATCCAAGTGAAGCCCATCCTTATCTCTCAAACACTTCTGCAAGGGTGTGTTCGTTTGTAGGATTTGTTAAAATTCTACTATTCATCCAAAATTTTTCTCCCAAAAATATCAAATCAAATACATATTTTTTATTTTTTATATTATACTAAAAATCAATTTTACATTCAAAACATCACATCAACACCTATTTATATCACATCATACAACTATTCAAATTCAAAATTTTTACTATTCAAATCCCAATCCAAAATCTAAACCCCCAACAAACACATTTCTTGTTTCCCAACATTGGTACAAAAAACACATCACCCAATCTTTTCTATCCAATAAATAATCTTTTTATAAATTATTATTTTTTTCGTCTCAAAATTATAGTTTTATTTGAGTTGGACACGAAATTTACAAAATATTGATATTATATTGATAGTTAGTAAAAAGTATGAGTAAAAAATTTCTTTGCCCTTGTGAATATATTAGTGTAAAAAAACAGTAACATTTGTGTAATAATAATGAAAAAGTAGAGATAATTTTATGGTGATACGAATATTTATAGAAATTAGACTATTATTTTGGGACAGACAAAATGGTAAATAAGACTGTTGTATTGTGACGAATAAAATATTTTTTTTTCAGTTTAACAATTTTTTTTTTTAAAAAAATAGTTTTACTATTGATACAAGAATAGCAGTATAATTTATTATTTAAATAAATATTAAAACTTAAATTTACATACAAATAAATCATATTAAAGTGCGTCTATTGGTCAAATATTTTTTCTAAATTTATACTTTTTTTTATTGTAATTTACTTGTAAGATTTACAAGTAAATATATACACTAATTAATCAATATTAATTATATTATTTTAAGTTTTATTTTGAATAGTAAAATTTTAAATTGAAATAATATTTTGATACGATATAAATATATAATGATGTGATATTTTGAATGTAAAATTAAAGTTTAGCATAATATAATAAACAAAATATAAAAGTTTGTTTGTTTAGTGAAATAGTTTGAAAAAAAATAAATTATGTAAGGTATAAAATTTTTATATAAATAATGACTATGTATCATATATATATATATTTTTAAGAAATATATTTTTGAAAACAAATATAATTTTTAGTAAAAAAATATTGAAACCTAAAATAATAAAATCAAATTCAAAATCTTACCTCCCATCAAAAGAAAAAAAAAATTCAAAATCTTACATATAAACAGTAATGTAATATTTAATGATATTTTTTAAAATAATATCAACATCAATACTCTATCCGCGATCTGGACGATTCCTTGGTAGATGCAAAATCATGTTTACCGTTTGAGAAATAATAATATGTGTATTTATTTGTGATATTTGGGCTTGACAATTAGCTGATAGCTGTTAGCCGATTCAATTAGGTGATAAATGTTAGTTGATTCAATTAGCTGGTTTGACTAGCTGATTCGATTAGCGGTTTGTATTAAAATATTTGGTAAAACAACTGTTTGATATTAACTGTTTATATGTAAAATGACAATTGAGGATATTTCTATTTTATTTTTGCTTTTAATATATTCAATTATATTCTTTTAAGTTTAGAATGTTTAAAATTGTTTGTTATTAGTTATTGAAAATTGTAAAAGTGTTATAAAAGTATTTATTTTTATTACAGTTAGATTTTAAAAATAATATATATTTATTAAAATATATAAATACTTTTTTCTATTGAAAATAATGTAAAATATAAAATAATAAATTTTTCGTGTATATATTTATTATGTTAATTATTGATTAGTTCATTATATTTATAATTTTCAATAAATTTAATTTATTTAATTTATTTTTAGTATAAAATTTATATAATATAATTTAAATATAAAAATAAATTATTAATTTTTATAATTTTTATTTTATGTTGATTTTAATAAATTTATATATAAAACTATAATATAATAAAATATTCTAATATAATTAATAAATAATCAAAATATGTTTGTTGTGTAAAATGCATAATAAATTTTTAAGGGCATATAAGGAATAAAAATATTTTTACAGAAAAAGCTATTTCAAAACGATGGGTAAGTTAGCTTTTCAGAAATTAGTTTTTTAGTTCCAAAAAGTTAATTTACCAAACACCTAAATTAGCTTTTGGACCGGTCAAACAGCTAAAAGCTGTTCATTAAGCTAAAAGCTCTTCAAAAAGCTATTTGCCAAACACCCTCTTGATTTTCGATTTTACTATTTTAATTTTTTTTTTCTAAAAATATCAAATAAAACACATATATTTTCAATTTATTATAGTATCCTAATTTTAAATTTTACATTCAAAATATCATATCAATACATATTTATATCACATTAAACAACTATTTTAATTAAAAATTTTACTATTTAAAACTAAAAATTAAAAATCAAAATCTTACAAGTAAAAACCAAAATAATAATATATTTAAATTATATTCCTTCCGTCCGCATCTAAAGTCACATTTACCTTCTGGCGTCATTATATTTAATATTAAAAATATCCTTATATTTGTATATATATATATTTTTTTACAAATATCATTCTATTAATATTATAAAAACTAATTAAAATATTTTTACAATTTTTATTAATTTATACTACTTTTTTATTATAATAAATAATATTCAATTGATCATATGAAAATAAAAAAGGTAAATGAGATATTTTAGGTATGAATTGAATGATGTAAAAATATAGTTATACAGAGCTGGGCCATTTTGGGCCACTCTGGGCCAGAGTCACTTCACTCCACGCCCCACGCGCCCACCATTTTCATGTTCATGGCTTCTACACACCTGTCTGTCTGGTTGTCTGTCTACTGCTTCTACCGCCTGTATTCTGGGTTTTCGCCAAACTTATTATCTGCCGAAGGTTTAACAGGAGACATATCGATCCCTTGACAACCTGATCGCACCGCCGGGATTCGGAGATTGCCCATATCTATGCGGTTTTGAATTGAGGTTGGTCGATTGTAAATTTTGGATAAGTTCATATCATTTTGTGTTTACGTGGGGCAAGTATCTATGGGGTGTTTGGGTTTTCACTGTTGAAATTAAGGATTTGCGTGATGGTGGATAGGAGATTTTTGGGAAGGGAGTGTAACAAAGAAACCCTAAATCCAGCATCTTGAAGCTATGTTGAAGCTTTGTATACGGTATAACATCTTCGAAATCCCTACTTAGGATTGCTTAAGAAAAATTCAAACTCTGGCCTAGTACATTGATCGATTTCCTCATAGTGATGGATTTAAGCTTTAACTTTGGTATTTGATGGATTGCTTGTTATGCATTTCGGTTCATTTGGAAATTTAGGCTAAAATAAAAATTCAAGAGTTTCTCTTAAGCCTTTGATGATTAAAAGCTAATTAAACTACTTCAACTTGGTGATTATAATGGCATCTTGAATTCAGGTTAAGAAGTTTCTGCTCAATGTTTTAGTACAACTCAAAGCTGTTGTGACAAAACAAGTAGAACACCCGAGTTGATTTATTTGGTAATTCATGTTACATAAAACTATCTTTAGATTAACTAGATTGCACTTCTTTATGGATGCATGTAATTGTGGCGTCATTTTCCTTTTCTTGCAGCTGCTAATGTGATTTGGTTGGCTTGCTGATCAGTATAGTTGTCATCTATGGAAGGTTCCATGGAAGGCAACGGCCTGCCGGCGCTGGGCCGGGTGAAACTTGTAGATTTGATACCTTCTGAAGGTCTTCCTTCAGATTCGTACAAATTATCGGTTTCAACTTTATCACAGTCACTGGAGAACTTTTCAGCTGCCATCATCCAATTTCCGGCAAATGATGGGGCTCTTTTGAGGTCATGCCTCGAGTCAAGTCTTCTCTACTTTCAAAGTAAACCATCTTTCCCTTCTGCTGAAAGCATTCAGCCTAATGATTCTCGTGAGTGGTGCAAGACATCAGGATACCGTGCAGACCCTCAAGTGTTGCAAGAAACATATGACTATAGACCTGGACTTACTCCCACAGAACCAGGTAATGAAATTGAAATTCCTCCAGCCGGTTTGTCCGACATATATGCTCTACTTGGGAAGGCCTCGAGGGACATATTGGATGCCATCAGCTTCTACTTGAATCTCCGTAGCTCAGCTTTCACGGAAGTGCTTGATAATGTTCCTCTGAGAAGCCGGGAAATATCTTCATCGGTTTTGTCTGTTTGCTGCAATGGAAGGCCTTCATTTCAGGGGGTGCAGCATCATAATTTGACTAGTCATGAAGATGGGCAGTCAGTTATGTTCTCAGATCATGATCATCAGGTTGATAGAACTCTATTAACTCTTATCAAGTCGGACAAGGCAGGTTTGTATATAAGAGATGTTCGTGGTCATTGGTTTCTTGTGGATGCTGATCTTGGTCCTCAAGAAGCAATTGTATATCCTGGACTTGCTTTATACCAGGCAACGGCTGGTTATATAAATCCTGCGATGCTCCGAACAGATATGAGTAATCTCCAGAGTTCTATGTATGGCCGCTGTTCTCTAGCATTCAAACTCATGCCTAAATCCATGACCAGCCTTAGTTGTACCGAGATGAGAGCTGCTGGGCATGGAGTTGAAGCTCAATTCCAGCTTCCTGTACCAGTTGATGACTTCATGCAGAGATCCACTGATCAGGTTCTTAATCGCAACAATTTTGCGACTTTCAGTTTCCCCCTAGGCCAAGAAGGTAATAGGCCTTCATTTACTCCATCATTTGACTAATTTATTTTGGTGTGAGCTATGTCTTTGATGTCATTTGGAAGCATTTTGTTATGACAGTCTCTTTTCGGAATAAAGTGATTGACTTATTTAGATGTAAAAATCCACTTTTTCCTAGTGCTTTGGACAAGGGGATGTGGCATCTAATTTGTATTTTCTTCCCTTTGTGTCGAGGTGTGTCTAAATACCTTGTAATGTGTTTCCAGAGAACTGGAAAAAATCGTCATCTCCTCGAATAAATCCCCCTTAATAAGTATTAATATCCCTTGGATCAAAATATACAATAACTGAAATTGAGTATCCCTGTGAAATGATGTAAAAAAACTCATATTTATGCTATTAAAAGTACAACTAGTTTTGAAGGAACAAGACTGGTACTCTACTGACATGAAATTTAAGTCATGAAGTCATACTGCATGTTTTTTTAATATTAAGAGCAGCGCGGTTTGACTTCTGATCAATATATATATATATATGTATAATACATATGTTGTTAAACAGCTATACTTAATGCTATATTTGCTTTGTCCATGTATTGAAAGTATTTGTACACACTTGCTTACATAAAAAAATTACACCATATGAGTGATCAAGGACAGTCAACATTGCACATAAGTAACAACTGCGAACATAGGAGCCGAAAAATTGTAGAGTTTAGTAAGAAAGGATTCTTTTTTATTTTTAATTTTCTTTTCTCCTTAATGGAGTTATGATGACATAGCTTGTGTTTTCATTTTACTACAGACAGATTCAGCATGACCTTTTCCCCCTAAAACAATTGTCAACAAGATATGGTCAAATTTTATAAAATTTGCTATTATTTGATATGAATACATAATTCCAGTTGAAGTCTTGTGGAAAGTACAACTTGCTTGCTGTGTACTGGTATGATAATTGATAACATGTTGCAATTTAACAAACACAAGGGGCATTACTGTAACTCTGGCATACCTTGTGGTTCACTTTGCTTACGCATTTGGTTATTTTGTCGCATGTTCAACTTTTTCCACTCATGTTTATAAAAGGCATTTTAATAACTAAGCGGCCATATTTCATTATGTCTATGCCGGTCTCCTTTTATATATTTGAGCCTCACTCTGAGATGTGTTCTAATAAAGGGAATATAAGTTGATAACCCCTGTTAGCTCTGTGTTAGATGCCTCACTCTGAGATGTGTTCTATAATAAGGGGAATATAAGTTGATAACCCCTGTTGGCTCTGTGTTAGATCTGTTTTTTAACAAGCTTTTAAAGGTTTGTAGTCATGGTGATACTCGGTAAAATCGAGGCTCACGAGAAAATGCTTTAAATACTTGACTACATAGCACTTGGGTTACCAAATGGTAAAATTGTTCCTTCTTCAATCCAAGTTTGGAAACATTATATAAACCTTATTTTCATAAATGGGTTCATTTTATGTTTTGATGTGCACAAACATGGTTATTATAGATCGATCAAATTTTATGTTCTATTCGCTGCAACCCAAGTAATATTTCTTATCATTATGGTTGTTTCTTTGGGTAATGATTTTATGACAAGCCTTAAGTTGATTGCTGATATAGGATCTTTAAAGCCAATCATGCGGAGGAAGAAGAATAATTTGAGATGTAAACCTCTTCCACCTTCGAAAAGGCTGCGGCTCGAGGCACAAAGAGTCCTCAAAGAGAGGGTCCAGGATATCGCCGATAAAAAAGGCATTAAATTGAGATTTTGTACGTTGAAGGAGTGTGAGAATCACATCCATTCGCTTGATAGTCCATGTGCGAATATACGGATGGAGATTGGATGGCCGCCAGGAGTTCCATTTGTTCACCCACATGATCTTCCTAACAAGGCAAAGATTGGATTCCTTGAAACCTATGAACCTGGATGGTCTGAGACCAACGATATTGAGTAAGTTCTTATGAAATTTTTCGTAAATGTCAATTTTCGACCGATTCTCATCTGCATTTTTGAGTGCCCTTTACTTATGGTCTTAAAACCTTGATCGACATAATGTCAAATTTATTTTCAGCTCAATGATGCTTTTTATTTATTTTATTCATTTTCTATTTTGGCACGATATCTGGAGCAGTTAATTGCCATATTCGTCCCTGCTAGGTGTGTTTATGTATTTATATGTGTTTTGAAGTTAAATGCCATGTCGGGTTTTTATTATTGCACTGCCTGCATTTCATGATATTGTTCTTCTGTTTGCGATTTTTGCAGGCATCTCGGCTCGTAGTTTCCATGGCTAACCTTGGCAACACTGCATTGAAACCGGGAATTGACGGTTTTGCCTACAAAACTTGTGAGCTTTTTGAAGTTTCAGAGTAGATTGTATAGATGGTCGGCCATTTTGCTCTTTTATATTGCTGTTTAGCTGCTCAAAAAAGAAATATATATACATATATATACATACAGTTGATCTCTCCCTTTGTAATGCAACTTATAACTTCATCTATATTAAAAGTGAACCGTGTATATATATATAATACTAACAGATCTGCAGAAAGTTGTAATTATTTAGGCAGACACATATTTGACAGCTATTCTGGGTGTAGTTTTGGTTACTTTTTACATTTTATGGTAAAAAAAGTATAAAAGTATTATAAATTTTCACTATAATACTAGAAAAAGAAAATGGAAATATTTTTAGGTGACATATAGAAAAGAGAAGTACAAATTTATGTGATAGAGTGAGTACTTAGTAGCAGGGTTTGCCGTCGTGAATTGTTGTCGCAGATCAGTCTTCACGGCAATATTGAGTATTCTGTAATATTGTATGATCAATTATTATATGTTGGTAATTCATATGTAATACTGTATTTGGATTATAATTTCATATTGCTGATTGATAATATATTTGTTATTTGTATATATACGGATATGGGTGGTTTTGTTTGAGGGTTTGGATTTTAGATTGTCTAGTAAAAAATTTAAATTGAAATAGTTGTATTATATTCATATGATGGTAAAATTGATTTTTAGTATAATATAAAAAATGAAAATTAGGTTTTATTAATTTGATATTTTTGAGAAAATTTTTTGGTATGAATAGTGTAAATCCCTTCTCTATCTATATCAACATCTATATCTATATATATTGAAACCTATTTTGGATCGAATTAGGGTAAACAAGAGGAAAATAGGAAGAGGAAGAAAAAGAACATGTCTACCAAAAACTAGCAAAGGTGATAGGCTTGTTTTTGTTTTTCTATTATTATTATTATTATTATTATTATTATTATTCTTATGGTAACTATAACCTAAAAAAATGACAATCCACTGTATATGAAGTACACCCCAGCCTTTAAGTATATTATTTTTATCTTACATAAATTATTTATATTTTTCATTTTTTGTCAGATTTATATAATTTATCGTTTTTAAATATAATTATATATTTTAATCGTATTTTAAATTTTATAATTTATAATTTTAATTATAGTATTACTATAATATATCTTTATTATATCGTAATTATTTTTAATAATATATTTTTAATTAGTTACGAATTATCTTTTACCTAAATTTTCATATCTATAGACAATTTATAATATATATATACACACGTGGTGGATGTATTTATTTTGGAGTTTAATTTAAATTTTGTACTTTTTTCGTCTGTGTTTAAGGTTTTATTTTTCTTTTGCATCATTGTATTTAATATTAAAATTATCATTATATTTGTATAAGATTTTGTACATATGTCATTATAATAGTATTGTGAGTCACTAGTAGAAGTATTTTTGTTATTTTTTCATAAAAAAAAAAATAATAATAAATAAGTCCCTTCAAATAGATAGTATTATATAACTGTCAGCCAAACTTTTATCAAATAATATAATTATTTTTTTATCATATAATATTATACTCCTTAACTTCATCAAAGTTATACCGAGTATATATATATATACATCGACACATACTTGTGTGCTCGTGTAATTTGAAGTAAGAAAGAGAAAATTATGGGTAGGGTTTTACTGGATGCAGAATCTATAGCTGCCAGGAGTCATGAAGAGGGAGACGACACGTCCTTGCCGATGATGCTGATGCTTCTTGCCATGTCTGCATTTTTCATTTCGATCATTTTCACCTGTGCAACGCATGGCAGCTTCAACCGCAAGAAGAAAAAGACACCATATGTCGGCTGCGGTTGCGGTGGTGGCGGATGCGGCGACGGCGACGGCGGCGGCTGTGGTGGTGGTAGTGGCGGCGGCTGTGGGGGAGGCGGAGCTTCATGTTAATTAAGGTCTGATTAAGTGATATGATTCCAAGAGCTAATGTTAATGTGTTCGTTAAAAAAAGAATTAGTTTTCATGTGTTTGTCTAAGGTAGTCTTACTGGATTATTAATATATTTTATATAACTATGTATTAATCTCTCGCTCCCACATATTTTGCTTCTTTTTTTTTTTTTTTTCTTTTTTAAATATGATGAAGTACTTTAATCATATTTGAATTTGAGTGATGAAGCTAATTTAATTTAGTTATTTAATATCAATTTTTCGTAAAGTTCAACAATTTGAGACATAATGGGTGTGTTTGCCCGTGAGTTTGGATTTTTGAATAATAAAAAGTTGAATTTGAATAGTTGGTTGATGTGATATAAATAGATATTGATGTGATGTTTTAAATGTAATACTCCCTTCGTCCCAGAACTAAATATCCATTTCCTTTTTGCACGTAATTTTAGAAATATTAGTATTATATTGGGATATAGTATGAATAAAGTAGAAATGACTAAAATAACCTTAGTATGTGTGATATAAAGGTAACGACATTTGTGTAATATATTGTAAATTGTAAGGGGACGTTTGGTACAGATAATGGAATTGCAAAGAAACGACAGTAGAGAATAGAATTGGAGAGAAATGGAATTGAGTAGAGAACGAGAATTAATTCTCTTGTTTGATACAACAGATAATTTATTTGAGAAATCTAAAAAAAATGCAGATATATGAATGAGCAAACAAAAATAAATGATTAACCCGATAAAAAAAGAGTTTTAACGAATGAGAATTCATGAAAAATATTTTTGGTAAATTTTTTTTAAAAAAAATTATAAATTATGTACGATATTTTTTAAGATTACATTTTAGTACAATTTCTTAAAATATCGTAAAAATTAAATTAAATTTGTTTTTTGTAAAATTAAAATAATATAATTTTTAAAAAATTATAAAAATTAAATAGTACAAAAAAAAATTAATAAAAAAACATATACTACAACATCATTTCTCTCAATTTCTCTGCATATGGGAGAGAAATGAAAACAGAGAAATGGAAATGATTTATTTCTCATATTCCATTTCTTGACTCAAATAAACAAGAGAAATGATATAATTTCCATTTCTCTGTACCAAACACAACCTAAGGGTAAGGGTAAGGGTATTTGTTACGTTAGTAGATAGTACAGTTACTAAAAAAAATTAAATGGATACTTTGTTACGAGACAGAGGGAGTATAATATAAAAAAAATAAAATTGTTTGATACGATATTTTTTTTAAAAAAAAATCTCAATAATAAAAATCCGTCATAAAAAAAAAAAAAAAAAAAAAAAAAAAAAAAAAAAACTGACCTGCCAAAACAATTGTAGCTCAAACTATTTAAATAAAAATAAAATTCAAACTTAATCTTAAACTTAAACTAAAGCCAAACAAACTATTTTCCCCTAAAATAGTCTAGATCGAATAGGACAATAAACACAATCATGTTTGAAGAAGATTGCGGTGGATCCAACTCAATCTCCTACATTGTCTTTTGTCATCCAACAAAATTGTATTTAAGTCAACACCATATTTGAGATCAAAATTAATTAATTTTATTTTGGATGAGATTAAAATTAGTCGAATATTTTTTGTGGAGATTAATCATTTTGCTTTGAATTTATGCATTTTTTTGCTAAATTATTTTATAAAAAATAAAAAAAATTAAATAGATATAAATAAATTTATTTATCAAAAATATAAATAAATCCCATTTAATTTTTTAATAGTTCAAATTTAAATATATATATATATATATATAGTGTAAGATTTATAATTTATTTAAGATGTATTTGATTTAAGAAATTCTAGTTTGAGCTTCGTATTAATGTAATATGTGATGAGCTATTTTGTGAATAAAAAATATACTCCTTTGTTATTACTTTTATTTTTTTACTAAGTAATTATACATTATTACTAAAATATTATTAACTTAATACGTATAATTACTTTGTATTTTCACTTATTAAACTTCAAAAATATATTAGGATGGAGAAAAATACAAGATTTGGAAGGTTTGTTGTTAATAAAGATTCGAACTTTACTTCTTATGCATTTCCACTTACAAAACCTAAAAAAAAATACATTGGGATGGATGAAGTGTCTCTTTTAAGAAAAATTACAAAATTTGAAAAATTTGTTATTAAGAAGAGTTTCGAACTTTTAATCTAAAATCAACTAGGAGTGAGCATTGGTTGGTCCAAATCGAAAAAAATGAATTTTCTTTCGGTTCGGACAGATCAGTTTAGTCTATTTAGTTAATTGATTCGGTTCGGTTCGGTTTAAAACTGAATTTATAAATTTGAATTTCAATTCGATTATGATTTTCAATTTTCAAGCTAAAAAATTCGAAAAAACTAAATTTTAAATAAAATAAAATTTATATTTTATAGTATATATTATAATTTTGATTTTCAAATATTTGTATTTCATCGTTTGACTCATTTATAAATTGTTGAATACATGCAAGATGAATAAATATGAATAAGCTCGAACATCACCATAAGAATTTCAAAGAATTTGGTATTTCGATTTTAAACCGAACCGAATCGAATTAATTTAGTTCGATTTAATTTTATCTTACAATTTGGTTTAATTTCGATTTTGATTTTTACAAATCGGAAATCAAATTTAAAATTCGGTCCGATTTGAACTGAACCCACTAATGTTCACCCTTGAATTTAACATTACTGCTCTAATACAGCTCTTCACCGTTATGAGCTAAGGAAATTTCTACAATTTGAACATTTGTCTCCTTAGTATTTTTATTAAAAAAAAATACAAAAATACAAAATTTGGAAGATTTTTGTCAAAGATGCAGCCTTAATATTAAACCAACATAGCACAGCACCTTGTGTTAAATATAATATATTTAATAATAAATAACCCCTTCGCATTTCAAAACTAGCCGTTGCGTTTCTTTTTCATAACCAGTTCAGTTCATATGTCAGCAGACTACGCTCCTTCTCTTCTCTGTCTCACGCCTTCTCTCAAAATTTCACTCAGAAAAAGGAAAAGGGAAACGCAGAAGCAAACTTCTTCCCCAAACCTGTTCGTTTTCTTTTTCGTTTGCGGTGATAAGCGATGTTCACTGAAGGGCTTGATGAGAACGCTATCAACTGGATCAAGAAGGTAATGGTTTCAGACCCATTTTTGTATGAAAGCGTGAAATGTAATCGAAGATGTAAATTATGATGTTACTTGGATGGGGAAGGCTGTGGTTTGAGAGCTTATTACGACCTTTGGTTTGTTTCGACTCTTTTTATTTTTTATTTTTGGGAAATTGTGTTATTATTTAGTTCATCAAAGCCCTAGAGGAGAATCCCTAATTTACAAGTTAATGAAATTCAAATAGCGGAAGATTGAGGAAAAGAGTTGATTTAAGGCTCTTTTGAAGTTTGAATTTTGACCTAATTTTCCTGGCATTACTGAAATGAGCTTAATTTGCTTGCAGGGTTCAGATGTTGAACAGTGTCAGATTAGATCACCATTGACTGAGAATTACCCCAAATACTCTCTTCCTCGATCGCCATTAGGGAGTACATACACATCCTCACATGTTCTGCCTCCATTAAAATTCCATTCTGGTTTACTTAAACCTCTCAACACTGTCACCCTAAGTGTTGAGAGCAACGAAAATGAGTCCGAATCCGATGATGGCACTCATGTTGGTGGGGTTGAGAGCGAGAGTGTGGGATCAGCGTCGGATGAGATAAGTAGGAACAACTCCGACGAGGATGATGATGAGGATGAAGATATGGTGGTGGATAGGCCTGCAACGAAGGGTTATGAAGAAGAAATGTTTTATCATAATTCAAGACCAAAAGTTATTGAAAGAAAGTATGAATCTACCATAAATAGGGGGCCATTGAAAGCTGACCTCCGGGTTGAAGTTCCCGGGAGTTTAAGAAGGTTTAGAGGAGGAGGTGAGTGGAGCTCAAGAGGATTCGGGCCTAGCAGTGCAGTTTCGGGTGGAAGCTGCCGGTTGTATGAGAAAAATCAACCTCACAGTGCTTATGTAAGTATCATCTACTTTATTAAGTTTTATTAGAATTCACATAGCTACTAATTAGATAGTTTAGTTAATATGGTTAGAGTTTCGTCTATGCAATGCAGGGCACTCCAGCTGGTGTACTTAGTGAAGCCGACCTTGAAACTCCCAGTGCACCGCCTTTCATGGATATGGGAAATGCACCAGATGACTCAGAGGGAAGAAGTGGGAGAAACATTGACATTCGATACAAAGAACCAGATCAAGGTTTTTCTTGTGAAAAGGCTTTACCGGGGCAAAGTGAAAAATCTTCAAAAGCTGAAACAGAAGTGCCCGCGAGGTACGACTGCATTGGCTTAATTATTGCTTCACTTTTGTTTAGTAACTTGACAGCCATTCTTTGTAGGGATGCTGAAGAAACACTTGAGGAAAGCGAATATATTGCGCCGCCTGTCAGCCATGGAAATTCACTCAGCCATGTGCCCTATTACAATGCCAGGTTATATCCTAATTTCTTTATTATTGCATTATATCGTTTCACATATGATTAATTATCAGTCATGCTGGAAATTAAATCACTGTACATGTACCAATATGTGATGTCATCTGTTATTTATTTATTTTTCTGACAGCGGTCAAAATGCATGGCAAGCACTTGTGGCTTATGATGCTTGCATTCGTTTGTGTCTAAATTCGTGGGCACGAGGCTGTGCAGAAGCTCCAGAATTTCTGCAAGATGAGTGCTTGCTCCTTCGCAATGCTTTTGGGTAAGCCTCTCAACTTGCATTTCCACCATCCATGATCAGCAAAATATTCTCAGATGATTTAAAGCTAATCACACGTATAACCTTCTCTTTTTAGATTGCACAAACTCTTACTCCAACCTCGAGGTGAACAAGTTCAAGGGGACAACAAGAACATGGAACAACAGTCGATGACCTCAAAAGTGAAAAGGAATGTTGGGAAGATTAGAGTGGAAGGTGTATAGCTTTTGTCCCTTGTTCATTGTTTCACATTACCATGTGCAATGTGCCATGATAGAACATAAATTCTTCCAGAAAAACTGCAATATATATAAATATATATGTAATTCTGTTATGTCTTGGTAATATAGATTTTTGTTATGCAGTGAAAAAACTTCGCATCATACCACGGCGAAAGCTCAAGGACACAAACTCAATGAGAGGTGCAATTTACCTGCAGGCTGGGGCTGAGTATGTCCGACATGTTTCATCAATTGTGAAACACAGGATCACTTCTCTAAAGCGGCACTCATTTTTGTTGCCTTGTGAAGGTTAGCTTATTCATTAAAGTGAACTTTTAATTGACCCTTCTTTCCCACGCAACAGGGACGATGATATGTTCCAAATATCCTCCTTGAATTGATCAATTGTGTCTTGTTTCAGGATCAATTTCTTAACTAAATTGTCTTGCATTTTATCAATATAAAATGTTTATACAATTGTTGTCTGCAGATTGACTTGACTATTTGCTTTATGAATAATCTGTTAACAGAATCACTATCGTGCATGATTCACCTGAAAAGTTTGGCTGAAGATAATGAAATGGAAGCAAGTTCTGCCATCTCACTTAGACCTGGAACTTCTGAATATCATGACTTGTAAGTTTGTAGTCCCATGATTCATACCAGATCAAGTTTATACTGCACAGATGCTCTAAGTGGCAATATCATTACCGTTAGAAGCTATCCCTTAAGCATTCTGGTAAATTCATGAGTTATCTGAGTCCATTTAAGCTCATTTGAGTGTAGAATTTTCCTTGTCATAATATTGCTACTCTTTAAAATTTATGCGTGGATATGTGCTTTTTTTTTCCATCTCATGTTTTGACATTACTTCAACTGTTTTACATAGTTCTTTGTTTATTTCTTTTCGTATGTATGTTGGATATTGACCTTTACCGTATTTTAAACTTCATGCTCCATAATTAGCCTGTATGCACCATTTGCATTACCTGATGTTTAACCGACATTGCATCAATTTATACATTCAAGAAATGCTAGAGCCAATTTTCTTCATGCACTAAAAGCAATTAACCAGAAAAATTTTTGAGTTTCAGTTTCCCGGAGAGCCAAGGAGATGCTCTTATACTCGAAGTCCAGGATGCAATGAAAAATGTTCAAGGATGTGCTGCAATTCCGATCTCTTCACTGACTGAAAACCCTGTAAGCGTACTTTAATTTATTTTAGAAGATACTATCTTCATTATCTGGAAGCATTTCTTGACTCTTACCAAAGCTGAATCTCCGCAGAATGACAGAGTCCGTTGGTGGCCAATCAATCATAATGAACATGACTGTGTGGGGAAAGTCTTACTTTCCATCGGAAGCACATTTACAAATGATGAAACCGTGCTTATGAAGGTTTGGTTCTGCATTGCTGCGATCTTTGTTCTTCCTGAGTCTTGTCTTGAAATTTTTGAATATGTCCTTGACATACATTCTCACATGTAAAGTTTGTTGCACAAATTAATAGAGCGGTACTATCGTAGAGACATTAGCATATGATCTACTGCTGGAGGCCGCCATGAGGGCACAACAGTTTCATGCACGAAATCTACGTATATACAGGCCATGGAAATGGATCCTCACAGAATTTGCTGATTATTACGGAGTTTCCGACTCTTACACTAAACTAAGGTAGACAGTCAATACTTGTGAGTTTCAATTCTTTAATTTTTGAGAGTCAATCTTAAGGTTGTTTTCCCTTTGATCAATTTCCTTATAGATACCTCTCTTATGTCATGAACGTCGCAACTCCTACAAAAGATTGCTTGGAACTTTTGCACGAGTTGCTCGTGCCTGTCATTAAGGCGAGAAGCGAAAGAAATTTGACAAGACAAGAAGTAAGTATCATGATAGTCGGCAAATCGTCCTTATGCTTGCACTTTCTTATAATGGCCACTCACCCATGGACCTGTTGACAGAAAAGTATTTTGTTAGACTGCGAGATGCAAGTCGAGAGACTTCTTGCAGAAGCATTTCAGAATTACAAGTCACTCGACGAAGACTCCCCAACAGGCTTAGCCAATATGTCAGCTCCGGTATCAGAAACAGCAGCGCCAGCACTAGCTCCTGCAGTGCAAGTATACACACTTCTACACGACATTCTTTCTCAAGATGCTCAGATTATGTTGAGAAAATATCTACAGGTAAGTCTGGTCCAATGCTAAAATGTTTCTAATGTCTCTTCTTCCCAAGCAAATTACTACTGAGATAAATGTTTCCAGATGGCAGCAATGAGAAGATGTCGAAAGCACATGATGGAGACAGATGAGTTCGTGTCCAGCAACTCTGAGGGGTATGTCATGGATTCCGACACAATCTCCAAAGCCTATTTGAAGATGAAAAATCTCTGCATCAACCTTACCAATGAAATTTGTATCGACATCAAGATCCACGAGCAAAACATTTTTCCCAGGTGCCTAAAACACAATAGATGCCGATGAGAGCAGAAAGCACATAATCTAAGCATATCTATTTGTTTTTTCAGTTCAATAGATCTGTCTGCTGTCACCTCAGCAGTTTACAGCACGGAGTTGAGCGGGAGACTGAAAAGTTTTCTTGCTGCCTGGCCTCCATCATGTCCAACGCCTCATGTGAATGAACTTCTTGTTGCAATGTCAGACTTCGAGAGAAATTTGGAATTTTGGAATATAAGGTTTACATTTTTCTCAGTTCAGTCTCACTCATTAATTATGTAAATATGTTTTTCAAGTTTTCCTAATAACTGTATATGCAAATTTCGATGTGGTTAGTCCTGTCGAAGGCGGCATTGACTCCAGAGATTTGTACCACGGCTACATCATGGTTTGGATACAGGACTTACAACTTACATTACTCGATCTTTGCAAAGCAGAGAAGGTTTGCTTTCTTGATTATCATTTATATGTTTCAGCTCACAAAAGTATCACTCAAACTTGGTGGCTAATGTCGATTCTTCTTTCAGGTTCCTTGGTCAGGTGTGTACACCAAATTTTCAACCTCGCCCTTTGCTGAGGAAATGTTTGAAAAGATGACGAGAATGCTTGGCGAATATGAAGTAGTGATCAATCGATGGCCTCAGTATACACTTATTTTGGAGAATGTGAGCTGTCCTTTTATAATCTATAAGCACTATTCGTTTAAAATGCTTCAGTCTAATCTAGATGTATAATCTTTTCCTTATCTGAAATAGGCTGCTGCAAATATAGAAAGGGCGATCATCAAAGCTTTGGAAAGGCAATACCACGACATTTTGACACCTCTCAAAGATAGCATCCCGAAAAAAATTGGCATGCAGGTCCAAAAATTGGCTAGGAGACAATCGACTGCGTATTATACAATTCCCAGCCAGGTTCGGTCTTTTCTCATCGACTCAACAAATGCTGTGTGTAACAATTCATTACCTTTCTCATGATTTGTTTCGGTTTGTGGCAGCTGGGGATTTTTCTTAACACAATGAAGAGAATCCTGGACGTGCTGCATTGTAGGATCGAAGACAAATTGAAGTCATGGGCATCTTACTTACCCTTGAATGAAGACAGCAAAACTACTTTCGGAGAGCAAATGAACACAACAACTGTTTTTCTGCGGACAAAATATAAGAACTACGTTCAAGCAATAGTCGTCAAGCTCACCAACAATGTAAGCAGTAATTTCCTCGAAAAATTTAACATTACATACTGTGTACTGAGTTTCTAAAGTGATGCCATTGTGTATTTGATGCTGCAGATGTTAGCAAACCGGAGCACCCGTCTTCAGAGGATCTTGGAGGATACAAAAGAAGCCGATGGGGAAGCTCAGATTCGCGAGCGAATGCAGGTGCTAAGTACACAGCTCTCCGAATGCATCTCAAACTTGCACGAATGTTTTACAAGCCAAATATTTGTCACGACATGTCGTGCATTCTGGGATAAAATGGGACAAGTAAGCCTAATCCCCTTAACCACTATAATCCTTTAGAAAACACTTTATGTTGTAAACATTTGCGATTTTTTTGTTATTCAGATTGTGCTGAAGTTTCTTGAAGGAAGAAAGGAGAACAGAGTGTGGTACACCGGATCATACCACGCCCTTGGAGTAAGTATAATTTTATAGTAAGGCACAATACAATATTCGAAAAATTTTAATTAAATGTACCATATGAGATGATTGCTTGTGAACATAACATGTTTTTACTTGTTTTGTTTAGATTCTGGACGATATATATGCATCTCAGATGCAGAGATTGCTCGGGAATGCCTTGCAAGAGAAGGATCTGGAGCCTCCAAGATCGATCACTGAAGCTCGATCCATTTTGTCAAGAAACAGGATGGAGTCATCATCATACATATACTTTTAGGTAATGCAATCAAAAACCCCTTCTTGCTTTGTCGATTCTACTTGTCTCTCTCTTAGCTGTCGCTGCCGTGCTCGTCGTTTATGAGACAACCAGTTCTGTGTTTGATAATTTACAGTGCAAGTAGGCATGAAATAGATTCATTCATATATATGATTATATTCTTTTTGTATGTAGAATGTTCATTCTTTTAAAACAATAATGTTCAAAATAAAAGTATTTTGATGTTTCTTGGACGGACGACTTCTTCATTGCATTTACTGCTGTTATCTTCCTCATTTCCTATATTGCACAAATGTTTTTTTCTAAATGGAGAAAATGCTGCCAAAAAATAGATAAAATATTAAATTTCCAACAATTTATTAAATTTTCATAGCTAAGAATTTTCAAGTGCTCCATATTTTTTCTGATTTATTTGGTTTCCATGTAATTTAGCGTGTATTGGTTTATTTCGTTTTTCATGCTTCGTACTTTATTATTTCATCATAAACAGATCAAGTTAAAAATTATGAAATTAAATGATCAAACAAACTAGTTAATACATTTTACTTTTGTAAGGGTTACTCAAATCTATTAACTGTAAATAGTATTTCCTAAGTCTATCAAAATATTATCCATTTGAGATGAACTAAGAGGCCAATAAAGAAATCTGAATGAAAATGTCACATTTCAAGCGAAATTTTGCTCATTTTCGAAATTCTAAGTAATTATAGTTCAAGTTAGTAGTCTGTCAAGCGATCAAGATAGTATTTGGAACATGAATTTCCAATATTTGATCAAGTATCCAAATGATTAAAGCAAAACTCAAAGTGTTTTCACGTAATCATCTAATGTTCAAAAGAGCTTAGTAGGCTTACAATGAATTAATGCTTTGTAGTTTAATGTAGTTGTTAATTGTTTAATTTCTTAGCGATACAATATCTTCGGAATAGGTTGTTTCATATCTTTATCGATCATACACTATATGCTTACAAATAGGTTCTTCAAGTAAGATAGTTGGTTATGTTGTGAAAGAACACATATAAGTTGTCTATCCATGGCTTTTTATGCATACGTCAAAATTAGTGTCTAGATAGGACATAGTGAGTGGGTAATGGTAGCGACGACAACTTCATCAAACGCGTAGGCATAATGCAACTAGAATATAGAGATGCAGATGGACGGGTAGACAAGTCCACAAGATCTCATCGATATCAGGTTCGCAGTTAGCTTGAAATAGTAATTAGATATGATTTGTATATGAAAATAATAAGTGTTAGAATCTAATAGTATTTTGAAGAAAAAAAAATGGAGAGAATGTAGTGTATAAATATATATATATATATTGTGTGCATGGTGAGAATTAATGTCGTCTGTCGTCATTCATTCGTAGTCTTCAGGCTGAGCCCATGGATATTTGCGGAATCCACCTTTGATTAGAGAAGGGTTTTGGGGTACGGACCATGGGTACTTCATGGATGGATCTCTTGGGAACTTTCTGAAGTTGAGAAATGGCGCCCAAAGCAGCACTCTGCAGAATGTTATAATACAGATATACAATACATGAATTAGATGACAGATAGATATATATATATATATATATTAGATAGATAGATAGATAGAGAAATGCAGGTAGGTGGGTGGGTATAGGTGAGTGACTGACCCGGGAAAGAAGAGGAAGACGCACAGGAACTGAAAATACATTTCCACCAGGTTCCTCTTGTACCATCTGATTCTAAGCCAATTCATAATCACTGGCTGCACTTGCAGTTGCATTAATCAATGCATCAAGTGTAAAATTATAGAATGAATGAAGGAATTCTTAATTCTTGATTACTCACTGGAAATAGGATGAAGTATAAGAAAGCTGAAATCCCAGATTGGATCAAAACCCACACCAGATCTTCCTCATAGTTCTCACCTGTCACTGCTAAAGCAGGTTGCTGCCGATATATATATATATATATATATGCAATAGTAAATTAATGCTACTTACTGTTTAATGAAGAAGAACTTGAATGGTAGGTACGTACAGTGGACAATAAAACTGCTGCAGCTGCTCCAAGTAGTTGAATAAGTGGCAAAGAACGACAACGATGACTCTCAGTTCCAAATTGAGGTAGCAGGTGCTGGTTTGAGTTGAGATTTGCTATTGGCTGCTGCTGGAATAATCATATATTATAATAATTAATTAGGTGAGAACAGGATGGATCCTATAAGTATGATGATGAATGAATGCTTAGCTAGTTAGTTTAAATACATGAATTAATTAAACCTGCATCGAGTACTTGTAATTGGGATGCTGCATTCTTCTGCTGCTGCTGCAATGGTGGGCGAGATGAGCCCTTGGCTTTGGATATGGGTTTGATTGGTAATTAGAATAATTAATATATAAATGGATTTGGGATAGAGAAGGCAGAGCCTTGGGGATGCTCATACTAATGTTCATCCTCATGCTCAGGCTCAGGCTCAGCACGCATAACAACGTTATAATCCACCTGATCTTATCTACCAACAGCAAAACGAACGAGTGGATAGTATAAATTTCAATAATTTCCTACCATCAACAGATATAATATATATATATATATTGTAATACTGAAGCAGTAGGTAGTTGCAGCAGCAGGTGCTTGCCTGATGACGACGTCTGCTTGTTTAATTTGGGTCTCCTCCGTTCAGAAATGGAGATTGACGATTCTTCAATTTGGGGAATATACAGCTTTCAAACAAGACTACGTTTGAAGGCGAAGATATACATACATATATATATATATTATATGATGAGAGAGATGCCGAGCGCTGAGGATAGAGAGACATGTATTATCGTCCACACAATGCAATATATATATATATATATATATGATTCTCTTCCACACTTTAGCTAATCACATATTTATAGTTATAGTTTGAGAATCGGTCTTAGTACTCTGTAGACTGTAGTAGTGTGGTTATATAATATAGTAATCTTTGAATTTTGTATTTTGTACATAATTAATCTTGCTTTTGTAAAAATTTTACATTAGTTATATATATATATATATATATTCTCCTATAATGTAAACAGAATTGTACATCGAAAGAATTGTATTCTTTAATATATATATATAATTAGAGAAAACAATTTCAGATGAAAACTATAAACAAGAAAATAAGTGTAAAGAAAATATTTAAAAAAACAATAAATAATAAACTGTTGTGAAATTATTATAAGATTAGATTTCTACAGTTCTGACCATTATTTTATATATTGTATATATTATATATATAAGTAAGTATATATACATATAAATGTATCATGTTGGTATATATATAATATATAATACTAGATATTTATTGTGTTATAAATATAAGTGATAAATGCAAGAAAGAGGGCATGCAGTGATATGGAGAGAGTAAATGGAAGTGGAAGTGGGTATCATATTATTCACTAACTCATACTTATAGTTGCAAGATACAACAGGTAAAATTCTGATTGAATGTAAAAGCATCCACGATTCACTAACATTAAGTACATGTGTACTGTTAATATGCTAACTCAATCAAATTGGTTAATTTAATCGGATTAACATAACAATACATATTTTTACATATTGTGTTATAAGATATCATATTATAAATAATAATACTCTCTCCGTCCCATTGAAACGTTGTCATTTTTTATTTTTGTCCGTCCGATAACAAGGTTACCATTTCCTAATTTAGTAATTGTACTACTTACCTAACATAATAAATATCCTTTCAACTTACAATATATTACACAAATGTAATTACTTTTATATTACACTATACTAATAGGGATATTTTTGTATTTTTTACTGCAATCCAATATAATACTAATAATAAAAAATTTACGTGAAAAAAGCAAACGCCGAAACGAAGGGAGTATAACATATATTGTGTCATAAATATGCTATGATAGTATATATAATATATATTACTTACTATGTACGACATGACGGTGGGGGTACTTATAGTTGAAATTTCAGATCGATAATATCATTGAAATGCAATTAAAAATTTTGTATCCATATAGAGCCTAAACAAGATGCCTGTGGGAAGGGTAAAGGGGAATTTCAAGTAGCATTTTTGAATCTGACCATTTATCTATCCTTAACAAAACAGCTAGGGGAAAAGAATCAACCCTTTCCTTTTTAGCAGCAAAAGTATCAAATATACATCTCACATGTTATAATTAAACTTGTGCAGATTTTCACAAATGAAATCTAAAGTAGACAATAAGTAGAAGGGTAATAATTAAATTAAGATGAAGACTTCATTAAGATAATTATAGTATAGCAATAATATGACACTATATATGTATTAAGAAGTTTATAGAAGTCTTGAAATTGAAAATGAAAAAGTTAATGCAAGTGTTCAGCTACAGCAGGCTCCTCCCTGAGCAGCAGCACCATCTCTCCCTCCCGATGGCCCGGGAACTCCTCCATATCCAACTTTGATCCCGTTTGTCTGCGCGCGCACACACACACACATATATATATATATATATCAGCAAATGCAGCATCAATATTTGTCAGTGTTTTTATAAAAATGGATCCAACTCAAACTGGGGAAGAAGGCCAACATTCAAAGACAAAATATTGCAATAAATATGCTCGCGGTAACCATATCCTTTCTACATGACATGAATGAATTTTTGGAAAAGGCCGCACAATTTTTTTGTACTAAAATTAATTTAGATTTAGAATATTGGCAAGTTTTTCATTTGGAGCATATCTTCCTAATTGTTATTCTGAATTACTTTCATCAACACAATTACAACTACTAAAATCCCTTGTGACTGTTACAACCAATGCAACTCTTAGGAATACCGCAGGCACTATCATATATCAACTGACCTCATTAGACACGTCGAAAATTCCATCTTGGATTTTCTTGTAGATGGTCGAGGCAGTCTTTATAAATGCCTGCAACAGGCATGATATATTTGCAGAATGAAATTATGGAGATAGTAAATAGTAGATGGCGTTCAAACTTCAGCTGATTGTTACAAAGATGTAATAGAGTTTACACAGTAGACAAATTTATCATCACCTCCTCAACATTTTGAGCTGTCTTGGCAGAAGCCTCCATGTACATCAATCCATGTTCTTTAGCAAACTGCTCCCCTTCCTCAACGCTGACAGCCCTTCGGTGCGCCAGATCAGACTTGTTTCCAACCAATATTATCGTCATATTTGGACTCGCATGTAGTCTTGCATCTTCCAACCAACTTGCAAGGTGGTTGAAAGTTTCTCTCCTGAATAAGAGAAAAGTTAAGATTACATGAAAATGTTACTTTGTGCAAAGTATATTCTACTGCAGATTTTCAAGACCACTTCAAGCATAAAATATATGAAAGTCACCAAGAATCATGGTAAAAAGCGTCATTTCACTTTGACGAAGATTTCTTTAATGTAATTGCATCCAACATATTGGAAAGTAAACTATGCTGCCTATTTAATACTGCCTCCATTCCAAATCTTTTGTTGTTATTTCTAATTTGGGATGTATCATTTGCAACTTTTCATTCTATATATCCAATTTTTCCGGCTTTTACCCTTTTAACTACAATTTATAAAATCATTCCAAACAAAAAGTAAAGACAAAATGGTTAAATAAAAACTACCAAAATTATACCACCTAAAATAAGATACCAAAAGTAGACATAGAAAACTTTGGGACAACGGGAGTAGTAATTAAGCACTATATTGAAGTGACAAAAAATAATAACTATGAAAAGTGTATCAACATGTTAAGATAATGGGAATACTACAGGACTAATTAACAAAATATTAGATATATAGTAAACATATATCTATAATAGAAAACAACATCATTGCATAACTTTATTATCTTCTAATATCGTTCATTCAGTTTGTAATTCAAATTATCCCAGCAAGCACCAATGAATTGAAAGATTATATTGGTTGACTTCATAATAAATAAATAAATGATGCGTATTGACTTAAGTTCATGCTGGAACTCAAACTGCCCGGCTTGTTTTCCAAGTCTAGCATTGCGTACCACAGTTTCATGCTCAACAAGTGTAAATATGTAGATATGTTTAATTATTTGTTTGGTATTAAGGTGTCTTTCACAATATAAGAGATTATTCCTTTTACACTAGTATCATAATACTAGAGCTTAACTCTCTTTGATATGCCACTCAAACCAACTGATCGTATAGCAATTTTTATAAAAGCTCTCAAGCAAGAACACATTCAATGTCTCAGGAACCATACAAGAAGGTTGCTTCTATTTTTCTAACTGAAACAGATGTTTTTAGGGAGCACTACTTAGAGTTATTACATATTTTAGGGTATATGCATTTTTTTATAGTATTTTAGTTATGGTGATTGTATAGTTCACACATGTAACCTCATACAATAAATTGAGGTGCTACTCTGATAAATTATAGGGGCTTCAGGTGAGGGTCTCAATTCAATTGCTGTAATTGTTACTTGATAGACATAACAATCAATCAGAACCAAGGACAGGTAACAATCTAGCTGTTAATTATGCAAGTCAATTGAAGCAACTAAGTTGGATGGGTATGAATTTTCCACAATTTTTAATTCAAATGAAGAGAAATTCACTTGGTGAATAAAATTAGGTATTCAAAAACTATGGTGTGAATACCTTCCAAAAACAAAACAAGACATTAAGAACCTGCAGCCACATAAATTTTCTTTACAAAGTAATTGATGATACAGAAGCACATCCACGTGAATGAAAGTTGTTTTTAAGTTCAAGTTTTAATTAATCATTTGACAATGTTATTTAATGCATACCTCGTGATGTCAAAAACGAGAAGCGCCCCAGCAGCACCTCTGTAGTAAGACCTTGTAATAGACCTAAATGATTCTTGACCAGCCTGACATGAGGAGTAACCAAAGATGTCATTCACATTAGAAAAACATGGAGACAAAAAATATAAAAATAAAGCAATAAGAAATAAAGAAATTTTTGCCCCATTTCATCTGCACTCCAACTGATTCCACATGCTGACAAAATCAATCGTTACTGGCACATGCAAGTTTGTGTTGAACTCTATACATTGGAAATACAGAAATCGTAACATAATGATAAGATGTAAAAGCAAGATAAACCGTGTCCCAAATCTGTAGCTTTATCGGTTTGTTGTCGATTGTGACCATTCTAGCCCCAAATTCAACACCAATGGTCAAATCATGCACTGGCTGAAACCGTTTGTCCGTGAACTGCAAAAGCAGGCATGATTTTCCAACACCTGTAAATAAGTTCAAACTTATGAATGCTTCCATCCAGTTCATGATTTCAATACAACATCTCGAAGCTTGCGAAAATTTGTCCAACCATAAGAAAACATAGGTGTTTTATATCCAATTCTTTCTCTTTAACACTTCTTAAAGAGAACAATGTCCTTACAAACATACCCCAGTATTCACTATTGTTTCTTTTGAAATTCCATTTGAAACAAATATTTACCTTAAAAATAATAATAATAATAATAATGAATGTTATTGTTCATCAATATCCCCTATATATGCAATCCAAGAAAGATATCACCATCCCTATCTACTTCAACAAAATCAAAATATGATTTTGAAATTATTCTACACAGATCATTCACTTTCTCTTAATTTGTATTCATCCTTACATAATTTTCCATTCAAATAGCAGCCTCGACTTCTATTTTTATTCAAAATAGCAGAAACCGTGAAATTGAACCAGAAACTATCCTAGCAATCCATGAGCCGGATCTATACGTCACATATCAAAAGAAAACCAAATGAAACTCCGCAACAAGTAATCACCGTCGCTTCCAAAACCCTAATACACAATGAATCATACATCCCAAGCGTATTAAATTATAATCACATAATTGAAAATTTGAAAAACCAATTACCTGTGTCACCGATGATAATGTACTTGAAGAGGTAAGCGTAAGACATATTTTCTCCAAATAAAATTCCACCGACCCAGGAATCAAAATTTGAAAAATAAAAAATCCAAATAATCAGAAAAACCCAATCGAATGAATCAATCAAGGAGCAGCAGATCGGCTTGCCGCTCGATCAAACAATGCATTATCTTCCTCCGCGTTGATTCTTTTTTTCGTTTCCGTGGGAAGAGAGGATTCGAAATGGAAGCAAAAAAATTGAAGGTGGTTTCACTTTCAGAGGAAATCGTATTTCAATAACTGTTGTGAACCGTCGATCTTGCTTAGCTGGAGAAATCTTGATGGTTCATTTAATGGACACTCTGACCTTCGTGAATTTCTTCGATAAGAAATAAATCGGATATCATAAAAATAAAATAATAATAATAATAATAATAATAAAATACTTATAATCTAACGAAGTAAGAGTTATTTCAACGGAATCCCGTTTAAGTCGTTTAAAGAATTGGTTGGGAGTAGGATGTCAAATGGGGCGTGTTAGCCTCGGACCCGCCCCGGACTAGCTTTTAATGGGGTGGGTTCGAATCTAAATAATATGTTTCGGGACGGTTTATGGATTTAAAATTTTAAATTTGGCCGGGTTTGGAGCGGGTTACGAATTTTACTAAAAATCTGTCCTAATTCGAACCCGGACCCGAACTCGAATATTTTTTAAAATTATTATAACTAATATATATGTACATTTATATAATAAAAATATATTATTTATTTTACTTAAATAATTTTAAATATAAAATTCAATTAATCGTTTGCTCCAAATAATTTTTTAAAATTATTATACCTAATATATGTATATTTATATAATAAAAATATATTATTTATTTATTTATCTTATTTTTATGGATCAGTATTTTAATTGTTTTTAGATTTTTTTTTCTTTTAATGCTATTTGTTTTAGTATTCGATTGTTAAAAAAATATTTATTATTATATATTTTTTAAAAAAATGGGTTTGCCGGATTGATCCCGGGGCGGATCCTGGGGCCGGGTGGAAGCAGGGCGGGGCGGGTCTCGGAGCCTAATATTTTCTAGCGGGGCGGATCTCGGGGCCTGCAGAACTCGTCCCGAACCCGCCCCCTTGACATCCCTAGTTGGGAGAATGGATTTTGTTGGATATGTTTCGGTTTTTTTATTTTTATATTTTTTAGTGAATTTATTTTTTTATATCAAAGTATAAAAAATTATATTGTTAATATAAAAAATAATATTTTATATTTAAAAATTAATTTTGTGAACAACTAAAATATATAAAAATATATATTATATTTTTTCTGTCTCTTTACCATCTATTCATACAATATTATCTGTCTATTTACAATATATATTCATTTTTTTTAAGAAATAGTACTAACTACTTACAATATTCTCAAAATAGAATGTGAACAAACACAAAATTTTCACATAATTTATATGTAAAAAAAAAAAAAAACCATTGTATTATAATATAATGATAGTTGATAAATTTATAAATAAGAATACAAATTTGGTATTGGAGTTGTTTTTCCGGATGTATTAATGCTTTTTTGTAACTAAATAAAATAGTTTAAAAATTAGACATACTTAAAATGATAATATTACTTAATAAATATATAAATAAATAAAATTACAATAAAAGAAAAGAAAATTAAAATAATATATATATATTATACAAAACATTTCATTTTTATTTCCTATAGATGGTTAAATCTGCAACCAAATTTAATACCAATGTATGTACCAATGTGTGTAACAGGTAGACCCAAAACTTCTGTTCTTATGGGTTAATTCATGTAATATATTTTTATTATATTAACAAAATGGACAACAAGTGTAATAGTAAAAAAAAAAAAAGAAATTAACAATTTATAATTCATTTTATCATTTATTCATAATATACACAATCATGGTTTTTTATTTAACATTTAATACTCCCTTTCCCAGGGTTGTTCTTGACTTTCGAAGGATTCGGGGCGAAATAAACATTAGGACCCTTAAATATATATATATATAATATATATTTTACCTATAATAAAATATAAATTAAAAATAATATTTTTTCTAGTATAAATTTTAAAAATTGCGTAAAACTCCCTTATATTTTAAAAAATGCTATATGAAACCCTGCTATACAAAAAAAAAATATAGATGAAAAGTAAAAAAAAAATATAATAATGAGTTTAATGAACAACGGGTTCATGCCATTTTTAAAGTAATTATACTGAGTTTCAAAATTATAAAGGAGTTATTGATAATTTTGTCTAATAATAATAACAATAATTTTGTCTAATATTTATTATTTTTTAGTGCAAAAAAATAATTAAAACAAAAATAAAAAATTCCTAAATATATATAAATGATCTACTCCGATTTTTTTTTACCTATAATAAAATATAAATTATTAAATAAAATAATTTTTTTTTGAATTTTTAGATAAACATCAATAATAGTATTAATATTAACAATCTTAAAACAAAAATTAGAGGTCATAAATATGTATAAATAATATATTTTTTTTATCTATAATAAAATATAAATAAAAGAAATTTCCTAATATTTTTATATGCAAAATATGAATAATACTATTAATATTAACTTTGTCTAATTCAAACTTAACCGCTAAGCCATGCTGTTGTACTAATACATTAATGTCAAATAACTTTTATATATAAATAATTTATACATAACATAAATAAATAATGGCTCCAATTTAGATTGGACCCTGGGCGATCGCCCTTTCGCCCAGGCCCAGGAACAGCCCTACTCTCCGTCCCGCAACAAGTGTGGCATTTGCTTTTTGCATGTAAATTTTTTAATATTAATATTATATTGGATTGTAATAAAGAAAACAAAAATATCCCTATTAGTATGGTGTAATATAAAAGTAATGACATTTGTGTAATATATTGTAAATCGAAAGAGTATTTATTATGTGAAGTAGGTAGTACAATTACTAAGTTAGGAAATGATAACCTTGTTTTGGAAAAGATGAAAATAAAAAATAGTAAATTTCAATGGGACGGAGAGAATATGTTACTTGTATTTAAATAATATGCTATTTGTATCTTTATGCTGTTGAATTTTGCAAGTCAGTCGGCCTACCTAAACATAGGTTTTAATCAATTAAACACATTTGAAATTTCAAAATATTTTTAATTGAAAAAAAAAAAATACTCCTCTGTCTATCATTTTTTATATAATACTTATTTAACATCATTAATACTCTTATAATTTTCACTGTATTACACAAATATCGTTACTTTTATATTATATTTTTATCTTTTTTACTATAAATTAATATAATACTAATATTAAAAAATTTACTGTGTAAAAAGTAAACGTTACTCTTTTTACGGGAAGGATGTAGTATATGTTTTGAAATCAAAATTACTTATAGCATGGCTACCATTATTAATAAAAATATACTCCCTCGATCCCGGTCAAAATGACCATTTTACTTAAGACGCGGTATGTTAGGTAGTACAAATTAGTAACTTAAGTTATGATATTATTTTATTATTTTTATATGAGTAATGTTGTTAGTATTTTAAATATTTTTAGCATTATATATCAATAAAAATATATATCATATGGATCTCATTTTTAGAGAACAAAATTTTATATAATAATAAAAAAAAAATTATTTATCTATTTATAATTCACTTAAAACTAATTTTGTTTAAAAAATTATAAATTTAATTAAATTGATTTATATTTATTAAATATTTTTAAAATAAATAAATTTATTTAAAAATAAAAAAAATGTTTATTGAGAAGGAAAAAAAATGAGTGATTGGGAGAGAAGGAGTATTATTTTTTAAAAAAAATATTATATTTTATATTATTTAAAATAAAAGTTTAAAATTGATCAAATTAATTTTAAAAAACAACAAAATAAATCCTAAAGTAAAATTAAAAACTAATTTACTTAATTCGAAATAAATTCATCCAAACATACCCTGCTAATATAACCCACGGCATTTTAGAAATGCTTACATATTCAATTCATAATTTTATTTTTTATAAAATTATAACAAATATTTTTATTTTTGCTGGAGGTGATTAATAAATCATCTCCCACTATATATTTTATTTATTTTCAGAAATTAATTTATCTCTAATCATATTTTTTTATTTTTCGCACGGGCAAATAATATTATCCTTATATTTTATTATATATATATTTTTTAAATTTATAATAACATCAAATATTTTATTATATATATAATTATGAAAATATTTTAAATATTATATTAATAAATTAAAATCTTATTTTTATTATAAATAGATCATAAAAAATAATAAATATTTTTAAATTTAAAATTTAATATTATTAAATAATATTTATGTAAAATATAAATAAAAAATATATAATATTAATTGGATTAAGTATAATCAATAGAATATAAAATTAATATTAATTATAAAATTAAAATATAAATATAAAAAATAAAATAAAATCATAAAAAATAAAATAAATAAATAAAAATACAATTTTTAATTGATCTAAAAAAAATCATCTGAAAGGATGATAACCCAAAAAAAAAAAAAAATTCAAAATGGATTAGAGATTGTCTAACGCTTTAAGCCCAAAAAACACACATCCGAACGGCATTCAAGCACCTCTCCTCTCTTCGTCTTCGCTCATTGATGCCTTCTGCAAATCACTACCACCTCTTTTCAATTTCCAGTCCCGCGCCGCGCAGCGGTGGCCGAAAGGAACATCAACTTCGTTTCCGTCTTTGCTTGCTCGTGCGATGTATGGCTGGACAATTTCCAGCTGCTGCCGCGACCAACAAGTCCGTTAAGGTTTAGAGCTTGCCAGATCGTTCTGAGGTTCGCCCGCTAGGTTTCGAGTTTCTTTGTTTCCAGCCTTTAGAATATGCCATTTAAATTCGTTTGAGTAGGAAAGGTTCAAGAAAAGTATCGAGATAATTAATTAAGATCTGCACTGCATGGAATGTGGAATTTATAACAAACTAATAGTTAGGGCTGGCTTTGGTCTTTGATTTCATTTCATTTACTTTTGGGTTTTGCTTAACAAGAGTGAGATGATATGACACACAACTTTTGACTTTGTTGTAGTAATGTGTTTGTAATACTGGTTTATTTTCCATGGTGATTTCCTCAGTTTTCTCTGTAATCAATCTGATGCTTGAAATCTTCAATTGACTTTTATTTTGAATATTTCTCTTACAGTAACCTGAAAAGCTTATCTTGTGAGTGTAAAAGCTTCTTCTCTGTTTTCTGTGTAATATATCTGCTATAGACTCGATCTGCTTTCATTTCTTAGTTTTGTTCAATCCTTTTTACAAATGTGCTCGAGAGTTATGAAAAACTTATCTTCATTTCAGATTCTATTGTTGTTCTCGAGAAGCTACAGTTGAAGTGTATGGTTTATGGATCCGAATGATCTCTCTACTTAATGGAAAGATCGAAGTTTGCAAGTGAAAGCTCTCTAGTGAATACCTTATGTGCAATTGTAATCAAGGGATACTGGGACAAACTTTTGAGCCCTAAGATTGGTTCACTTGTGACATCATCTATAATAAGTCAAACATTATTGAAGCTTTCTCCATATGGTTTTCCATCGCTGGTGTGGTCATTCTTCAAATGGGTTGAGACTGTCCCACAGTACAAGCATTCATTGCAGTCTTCTTGGAACATGATTTGCATTCTCACAAAACATAGACATTTCACAAAAGCTCGAGATTTACTTGAGAAGATTGCTAAGAAAGATTATTTATCATCTCCGAGTGTTTTGAATGCTCTTGTGAGTGTTGATGTTGATGCAGATGTTAATTCACATGTTTTGAGTTGGCTGGTGATATTTTATGTTAATTCAAATAAGAATTCAGATGCAATCCAAGTATTTGAGCATATGAGAGTGTGTCGGTATAAGCCAGATTTACATGCTTGTACAGTACTTCTTAATTCATTGGTGAAAGAAAGGTCAATAGATACTGTATGGAAACTTTATAAGAAAATGTTGAAAGTTGGGGTTTGTCCAAATCTACATGTCTATAACGTTCTGATTCATGCTTGTTGCCGGTCGGGAGATGTAGAGAGGGCCGAGAAGTTATTGGTTGAAATGGAGTCGAAAAAAATTCTTCCCGATCTTATCACATACAATACGTTGATTTCACTGTATTGCAGGAAGGGCATGCATTATGAGGTTTTGTCCGTTCAGGATCAAATGGAAAGAGGAGGGGTGTGCCCCGATATTGTAACTTTTAATTTGCTTATTTATGGTTATTGTAGAGAAGGGAGAATGCGAGAGGCAATGAAGCTTTTCAAGGAAATTACAGGTGTTTCTCCCAACTCTGTGACGTATACTACATTGATTGATGGGTACTGCAGAGTTGGTGATGTTGCTGAAGCCTTACAGTTACTTGATACAATGGAGACCAAGGGACTCTATCTGGGGGTAGTGACATATAATGCAGTTCTACGTAAATTATGTGAAGAGGGACGGATACGAGATGCAAATAAACTTTTGAATGAAATGAATGACAGAAAAATAGTAGCGGACAATGTTACATGTAATACGTTGATTAATGCTTATTGCAAGATTGGAGATATGAGATCTGCTTTGAAAGTGAAGAACAAGATGTTAGAGGCTGGGCTGAAGCCTGACCAGTTTACTTACAAGGCATTGATTCACGGATTCTGCAAAGCATGGGAGATTGAAAATGCTAAAGAAATGCTATTCAATATGCTTGGTGCTGGATTTTCTGCAAGTAGTTGTACATATGCTTGGCTTATGGATTTGTACTGTGAGCGAAATGATGATGAGGCCATCTTGAATTTACCTGATGAGTTGGTACAGCATGGTTTCTGTGCCGACATAACTGTGTATCGTGCAATGATTCGGAGATTGTGCAAGAAAGAAAGAATTGACTGCGGACAAAGAATTTTCAAAGTTATGCAAGCAAGGGGGATAGTAGGAGATGCTATCATCTGCACTAGTTTGGCTTTTGCACACTGGAGAGTTGGAGATGTCGTTGCTGCTTCAGCCTTGTTCGATGAAATGTATGAAAGGAGACTAATGGTAACTTTAAAAATCTTCAGATGTATAAATGCTTCATATGCAAAGGATGAAAGCTGCTTGAACCTTTTTTGGAGCACTGTACGTGACCGAGGCTTGATTTCCAAATCCATTTGCCAAGAACTTCTGCAACTGGGTGATCGGTGCTAGTAAAATCTTGGAATCAAGAAAGTTTGAATCTGTTGCTCCTCGCACATAAATGATGGTACCTCAGCTTCAACGTACTGTTTCAAACCATTTGTTAATTTGCATCCTGCTATCAGGTAATACTGCATTTAACCTTCTGATATCCTTCTCTATTTTAGTTCTTGTTATATGTCCATGTTTGGTATTCTGATTGATAACTTTCCGAAATTATATTTTTATCCTTAACAATTTAGCTTCTTGTTTCTGATAAAAGCAATATATGAAAGCATGTGCGAGATAACCAATTTTTGTTGCTGTTGTACTGTCTTTGAAATCAATGGAGTGGAGGGTTTGTTCTATTATGGGAAACATATTTAACATGTTGTCTTCGGAGCACTAATTCATTCATTCTTTCACTGAGCTTACTAAAAAAGAAACAGAAATCATTGAGCACTATCTTTGCAGTTTCTGATATGGAGCATTCATATGTTAATATGTTACAATAATGTTCGAAGGAGCCTTTCTAGAAGTCAACCAATGTTAGAATTTCGTGATAAGTAACATGGTTTCTTAGAATCAACAATCTAGCATCCACACATATGCAAGATTATCAGTCAGTTCTAATGTAGCATCTTTAGTAGATGTCATTGACAGATTCAGAAATTATTCAAATTCTGAAAAATTCGTATAAAATAGAAGAACATGGTAATGAAAGGCCTTTTCTGTCTTTATTTTAGACAGTAATGTACATATATATATAACTTATGTAAAAAGTAAAGCATAAATGTTTATAAAAATGTAACAGCTACAGTTGCTTTATTTGTGGCGATTTATATATGGAATGGCGTGTTCTTTTATAATTTGAATAATAACGAATAGCAGAACTTTCTAAGCATATATTTGATTGATTCTGTATGTGTATACACATCATATATATATTATAGAATGACAAAATGGCGCAACTGTCAATGTGTCGTAGTTAGTTTCAGGGATATCGGATAATGTTTTATGAGCTTGGAATATTAGAGTTTGGAGAGAGGATACTGATTGGGAAAAAGTACATCCAAAAGTGGTAAATGTCTCTGTCGGGAGTGGTATAGATTTTAGCTATACATATCTAAGCATCCAAATAATTCTCATTTAGATGCTCACTTTCATCATTTTTGCTGAAATACTTCTTTTCCTGTTTTATGGAGCATTTGTTGTTGGAGCTAAAAATCGCAGACTATTATATGTGCCTTAGATCTTACTCCCTCCATCCCTATAATTATATCAGGTTTATTTTTTTGTCCGTTAAATTTATGCGCGGTGCATTTATAGTAAACAATTTCATTCTGTCACAATTTAATTACATTTACTTTAACATAATAATCAATGTACACCTATTTTTTCAACCTATCACATCATTTTTTTTTATCAATTTTTTAATAAATTTCCTATAGTACTCACACTTTACTTTTTACTTACCTCACTTTTACGTTAAAATATCATTATTTCTTAATCACGATGCCCAAGCAAAGCGGCATAAACATCACAGACAGAGAATATTTATGTATATCTTTTTATGCCTCTCTTTTATGCTTTTGGGCATTCGTGTATTTTTACCTATGTATCTTCTTGTTTCTGGAGTAACATCTAACCCCCTATCATCATTCATTTAATCACTTGCTCATTTTCATTAAAACCGAACTCTGCGAAAGCCTCATAATCGCCGGGCAATACACTTTTTGCTCCATTATCTTGTTGATAAAAGATGCGTTGAAGATCATGATCACAATGTCAACTTGAACTTTCTTTTTGTCGTGCCGGATGGACCTCTGGCGGACAAACTGCAGGAACAAGTAGGTTGATTGCAGCAATGTAGTGCTAGAATTACTCCTCCAGGTTATACATACAATAATAATACATTATCTTGACTTTGATTTATGTAAAATTGTTTGCAATGAATGATTGATGGACAGGTATGAATTTTCTTCAGGTTATAATGCCAATGCTGCAGCTGGAATTACCTGAAATCAATCTTCAATCTCTGCAACCTAAACACTACAACTGGTATATGATTAATCAACAAAAGATTATCTTTTGGTGATGATAATGGACAGAGGAGTATCTGGGGTATGCTTATTCGATCAAATTTCCTTCCAGAAATTTTTATAAGGGTATATACTAAAACAAAAACATATGTTTTTCTTATAAAATATTTAAATATATATATATATATATTACTTAAACAATGTCACAATTCTAAATACCTAATAATAAAAATCTCATTATTGGGGTTTGTGTGGTTTGAATTTCGAACTATTTTTTAATCACAATGTATTCAATAAAAATATATTTTCTTTGTTTCAGTTCAATGATGTTGGCATTTATGTTATTAAAAGTATAATAGAAAGAAATAGGTTCTGTAAAAATGAAAAGTATTTTGGAATTTAGATATAATTATTTTTATTAAATTGATAGATATTTCAAAATGATAAAAATTGTATATTGAATTGAAACCGAGAAAGTATTATTTTATTTTATAGTATAAAATATGTCCATCGAAATAATATTTGAATGACAATTTAAATAATAAAAACTCAAATCCAAATCCAAACAAACTTTAGAAGAACACAACCCAAGAAAATTGTTCAATAGTTTGTCTTCATAACTTTATTGGGTCTGTTTACTTGTAAACTTTATTGCAATCCTTTTTCATTCCAGATTTTTTTGTAATTTGAGATGTCTTGAAAATTTTGCAACCTTTAATTATTCATCATTCATCATTTTACCTCTTAGTATCATGTTAAAAGTAGTATATATAAAATCATTCTAAAGAAGTAGAAAAGAAAAATAAAAAATAAAAAGTAAACGATGTAACACACAAATTAAAACATGCAAAAGTACTTGGACAGATTAATACTGTTTATTTTATTAAAGTATTACATTCAAAGATTATTTTTTTTTTACTTTTTTTTCTTTGTGTCTAAAATATGCATTATTATTTTCTGTTCCCTTGAATCCAAATAGTTACTTGCTGTAAGAACTGAACTGACTCACCAAAATCGATGTCTATTCTTTCAACATAACAATAGAGTGGACTTTTCCTTTTTACTAAGAACTTATAAATAAAACGAAAATTTAAATTACAGGATGGTGCAGGCAGGGTCGTAGTACGATGGTCCTCTCATCATGTCAGGGTAGCCAGAGGAGAATCCGTACGGCGGCGGGTAGATAAGAAACTGCGGCATTTGAGGTTCCAGCGCCACCACTTTGGGGGGGGCGGTTTCAGGTTTTTTCACATCGTTCACACTGACGAGCTCCGCGCGCGACATTTTCTTCCTCAGCTGCCGCGTCAGCTCCACGGCGTCGATTCCCTCTCCGATCACCTCCACTGTTTCTCCCTTCAGAGCCGCCGACTCTACGCCTAATTAGGTCAACCAACATATCCAAAACCTTGATTAATTAATCAATCAATTCACCTCAATCATACATAGATCTATCAGAAATTTATTGATGATCATATCACTCAACGAATTCAATTCAACATCAGCTTGTAAATTGTAATCGTAATTACTCGACTTTCTCTGTAGCTAACTTAATTCGAAAAACACCATCAGATATGTCTGTAATTGTATGTGAGAGTTATCATACCTGAGACGCATACTGAAATCTTCAGCGCCTTAGATCGAGATTTCTGGTCGTCCATGGAAACTTCAACCACAATTTTTTTCTGCAAATTACAAGCAAGCATACGTACAGTTATTAGAAACGGTAAATCCACCTTCAATAATATTAATCTTCCCCAAACTCAATGATCAACGCATACCATACCTTCATACTTCCGTTCCGTTGATCGATCAATACAGCAGGAGAACTGATATGGAACAGAATCTGGAGAAATTTAGTTTGTAGAGAGAAAAGGAAACGTATAATTAATAAGGATTGGTGTGTGAGTCTGAGCCTGAGTCTGAGAAGCGGAAGTGAAGGGTATTAATATAATACTCTCTACCATCCGTACACATACCGTGTGTTCCACACAAGGAATTTTAGGTGGGAACATAAGTAATAAATAATTAAAAAATACTACTATATCCGTCAACATACAAAATTAATATTTAATTTTGGTGAGATATTTAAAAAACAATAAGATTTTAATAGAGTATTTAATTAAATATTTACTTTGTAGTTACAACGTCTTAAAATAGAAATATGTAATTGGACGTCCCAAAAAAAATATGTATACACTTTAGCTGAACGAATAAAGTATATATTAAAAAATAATTATAAATTAAAATTAAATAATTAATTAAAATATACAATTTTTTAAAAATATAATTAAAATATATAATTAAAAAAAGTAAAATAATCGTAAGCAATATAAAAGTGAAATAGAGGAAGTAATAATAATAATAATAATAATAATAATAATAATAATAATAATAATAATAATACTTTCGGTTCCACGTCGATACAAAAATATAAGTATACGTATAATTAATAAATAATTTAAAAAAATATATTAATAAAAATAATATATATAATATAAATAAATATAAATTAATATAATTAATTACTGTAATGAAAATTTAAAATATTATTAAAATGTATAATTATTACTATCTGTTCCAAACATCTTGCAATATTTTCAAAATAAAAAATAATTAATTATACTTAATATCTGTTCACACTTTATCCCCTCACATCATTCAAATAAAAAAATAAAATAAATATTTCTCTCTCTATCAAGTCACTTAATTTCTAAATTATCATACTTAATACTATCCACCTAAAAACTAGTGACAAATATAAATATTGTATCTTGTTTGGGAGAGCGGAGGGAGTATTATTTTTAAAAAAAAATTATATAGAAGAATATAAATAAAAATATGAACAAATCAGGACGAGCAGTGTGACCTGCGGGGCCATGAGCTCTGTGTGAACGGTGCTCCAACGACCATGAAGTAACCCTCTCTTCCGATATTGATGGACTCTTGTACAGAAAGGCCGACGAAGGGGAGAGGAAGCAAAATAAAGGCGAACGCAACGAACGCGCTATTCTAGAGAAAATAAAATAAAATAAAAAATAAGAATATTCAATTTTTCCACACAAGTGACACGAGCCTTTCAATTTCAGATATCAAAATGATATCCACATCTCATCAATTGCCACGAAAATTCAATAATTAGTACTTCCTCCGTCCCAGATACCGTGTCTGCTACAGTGTACACACGATATTTTAGGAGGGTGTAATTAATAAATAATTAAAAATATATTAGTGAAAATAATTATCCTATAATATAAATAATTATAAATTAAGATTAAGATAACTAATTAGTTTAATTAAAATTAAAAAAAAATTAAAAAATTTAAAATGAGATTAAAATGTGTAATCATTTTTCAAAAAAGGAAAATGACATGGTATGTGGGACGGACAGACGGCAACATGGACATGGTATCTGGGACGGAGGGAGTAAAAAAAAAAATTACACTACCTCCATTCCACTTGATCACTGTAGACACGAGAATTTAGGATAAATATAATTAATAGATAATTAAAAATGTATTAGTGAAAATAATTATTCTATAATATAAATAATTATAAATTAAAATTAAGATAACTAGTTAATTTAATTAAAATTAAAAAAAATTAAAAAACTTAAAATAGATTAAAATGTGTAATCATTTTCCAAAAAAGAAAAATGCCATGGTACGTGGAACGGACAGAAACGGCAATGTGGACATGGTATCTGGGACGGAGGGAGTAATAAAAAAAAAATTACACTACCTCCATTCCACTTGATCACTGTAGACGCGAGAATTTAGGATAAATATAATTAGTAGATAATTAAAAATATATTAATTAAAATAATTAAATTATAATATAAATTATTATAGATTAAAATTGAAATAATTAATTAATTTAATTAAAATTTAAAAAATTTAAATTAAAAATTTTAAAATAAAATTAAGATGGATAATTATTTTTCAAATCAAATGTGAAATGGATAAGTATATTTATAAAATAATAATTTATTTAGTTAATACTATTATTAGTATGGTTTATGATGATGATGACATCACCACCACGCCTTTGTTTTTTTGTAAAAATATGATGTCACACTTTCTGAGTCTTTTGACTGTCGATTTTATTTGTGGCTGGAAAAATAGTGGTTTCATTGATATTTTAAGGGTGTGTTTGTTCGGGGATTAGATTTAATTTTTACTACTCATTTTATTTTTATTCCCTAAAAATATTAAATTAAACACTTATTTTCTAATTTTTATATTATACTAAAAATTAATTTTATATTCAAAATATCATATCAACACCTATTTATATCACATTATACAACTATTTAAATTCAAAATTTTCACTGTTCAAATCCCAACTCAAAATCCAAACCCCCAAACAAACACTCCCATAATATTGTGATGTACTCAAATCTCTTATAAACAATATGTTTATTTTCGGTTTTCTATATATTGACATTAAAAAATATATATATTTTTTTATTAAATAGATAAATTATATTTATTTTTTATTATAGAAGAAAAATATAAATTATTATATATTATATATTTATATTAAATTACGTACCCAAAAATACAGACATATTTTTATTTTTATTTTTTTATGTACTAATATATATGGTTAAAAATAAATTAGTTTAAAACATATAGCTAGTAAGATTATAAAGATTTCATTAAATGTATTATTTTTTGTCACTTAATGAACGCATTTTTTATGTGAAAGAGTTAATATTAAATATTACTAAAATTTTATAAAGAAATATTCACTCTATTCCAATATAATAGGGATATTTGAGCTGAATACAGTAATTAAAGAATGTAAAAGTATTTTTAAAAAACTAAAATATCTCTATTTATGTAATTATATTTGAAAAAGTGAATATAGTTTAGTAAAAAAGTGGAAAGTTAATTACCAAAAATAAAAATAAGACTATTTCTTTGGTACATACGAAAATGGAAAAATAAAATTATTGTTTTAGAACATAGGGAGTATGGAGCAGGATTTTATACTTCCTTCGTCCCACACCTTTTGCAATTTTGTTCTTTTTAGTTTGTTTCAATGTAATATTTTTAAAATAAAAAATAATTAATTATACTTAATATATATATCATATTTTATTCCGTAACATTATTCAAATAAAAATATAAAAAATAAATATATACTTCTCTCTTTTTGCCTGAAATAAATATTATATCATGTTTAGGATGAAAATACTCTCTCCGTCTCAAACACCCTACAATATTTCATTTTTTATTTGTCTCAAACTCACTGCAATATTTTCAAATTTAGAAATAATTAATAATATTTTTATACATATATTAATATACATTTCACTTTATTCCATCACATCACTCGAATAAAAAAAACAAATAATCATTTCTCTTTCCAATCACATCACTTAATATTCAAATTATCTCAAATTACTATACATGACACTCCCCACCTAAATTCCCGTGCCAAACACAAATATTGCACGGTGTTTGGGACGGAGGGAATACTATAATATAAATAAATAAAACATCTATATATAAGAATAATAATTTATATAAAATGAAGAAAAATAGTATATTATTTTTTTTATATATAAAATATCATATCCAACTACCATTTAAATCAAAATTCAAATCAATATTTCATTTTAAATCATTTTAGGCACCAACTTAACTGTCATTCGTCGAGTAAACACATCTCTTATTGTTTTGATTTGAGTGTGTTCATTTATAGGATTTTGGCAAAATTTTACTATTAATCTATTTTTTTAAAAAAAAAATATCAAATCAAATTCCTATTTTTTACTTCATATATTATACATATTATAGTACTAAAAATTAATTTTACATTCAAAACATCACATCAACACCTATTTATTTCATACCATGCAACTATGGTAATTTAAAATTTTTACTATTCAAATTCCAACTCAAAATTCAAATTCCCAAACAAACATACCCTAAAAGAAGTTTGAAAGAAGACAATAAAATAAAATAAAAAATATGTATTTAATTTTATATTTTAATATTAAATTTTTATTTAACTAATAATTTGGATACATTGAATTTGTTCACTTAATATTTTTTAAATGAAATAATTTTTATAAATATTATTAAAAAATATAATATATATTACCAAATTAAAAAATTAATAAATTAATATAAATTATTATTTTTTATATTACTAACATAATTTTTTACGCTTAATATAAAAAATATGTTTCATACAAATAATAAACAAATGAAACTAAAATTCATAGAAAAAGTGTTAGCATGTTGTGGGTGTATGTATATTTATAAGTTTTAATATAAAAAATATGTTTCATACAAATAATAAACAAATGAAACTAAAATTCATAGAAAAAGTGTTAGCATGTTGTGGGTGTATGTATATTTATAAGTTTTATTAATTGTAGTTTGAAATTGATTTGAATTTTGTTTAAATAATATTTTAATATAATATTTTATGATAAAAAATAATGTATTTTATTAAAAATATGTTTGAATAATATTGATTTTAATTTAAAATTATAAAAAATAAAATCATAGCATTTTGACTAAAAATTTAATTTTTAAAATAACATTGTAAAAATATAGATTTTATTAGAGTGTGTTTCTTTAGGGGAGTTTAGGAAAAGTTGGGTTTGAATTTGATCTTTATTTGAATTTTGGGTTGAATTTGAATTTTGTTGTTTCTTTTTTTGGTTTGGTTTGAATTTAGGGAGTTTTAATATGAATTGATTTGATGGATAATGAATAAAATAATATAAATGATAAAATTTATATTGTATGATTTGATTATAAATTTATATTATACTCAACATATATATTTAAATTTTTATTTATTTGTATTATAGAAAATTTTATTCTCTATAAAATGTGATATATATTGTATATATATATTTTTTATTTAATTATAATAAATATTAAATAAAATTTTAATTTAAAAAAAAAAAGAAAAAAAAAACATATGGTTTGGCGTCCATTTTACCGTGCATAATAATTGCATAGTAAAATGAGATCAAACCTCTTTGAAGAAACATATCATAATAGTTTTTTTTTTTTTTTGAAAAAAGAAAACTCTATGTAAAATGATAATTCATAATTTAGAAAAGAAACATTTTAAAAATATTAATTTGAATTTAGTATGAAAATAATATTTGGTGCAATATTATGTAAAAAAAAAAAATTAAAAAACGTAGAATTCAAATATTAAAATTTGGAAAAATTTTGCTAAAAAAACATATGATTGTCATTCAGTACAAGCTGATTCAAACTTCAAAGAATAAACAAATTATTTTCTAAATATACACGCGTAATGGTCAACAGAATATTGAGTCAACCTACCAAGTCTTGGTCTAGAATTTATTATAAATTTATTATACTATTTTAAATAAATAATCAAATTTATATATATATATATCATGTGAAATAATATAATAATTTACATTTTTAAGATTTTCAAATTTGAAAATATTTAAAAATCTCATAAGTTTTCTTGTGTGTTTGTTTAGAAATTTAGATTTTGAATTGAAATTTGAATAATAAAAAATTGAATATTAGAATATTGTATGATGATATAAATATATATTGATATAATATTTTGAATATAAAATTAATTTTTAATATAATATAAAAATTAACAAATAAGTAATTAATTTGGTGTTTTGAAAAAATAAAAATGGATGAATAATAAAGATTTTGAGAAAGTCTGCCACTGTTTTGTTCGACTATAGGACCGATTGATTCAATGACATGTTTGCTTGCATTTATAATTGTTTAAAATTATTTTAATACAGTACTAATTTTTATGGTTAAAATAATATAATTCCTTCGTGAAAGGTTGTCGTTTATTTATTTATTTTTATTAAGTAAATTTTTTAATATTAGTATTATAATAGGTTGTAGTGAAAAGAAAAAAATATCCTTATTAGTATTTATAGTATAAAAATAATGACATTTGTATAATATATTATAAATTGAAATGATATTTATTATATTAAGTAGATAGTACAATTACAAAAAAAAATGATAACTTTATTTACAGACAAAAATAAAAAATAAAAACTTTTGAATGAGCGAGAGAGAGAGTACTTATAATTTTTGTTCAGAAAAATAAAAGTTACTATTATTTTATGTGATCAAGAAATTAATATATTCTCTTGGCCGCTCCAAAAGTATTCATTATATTACTTTCATCCAAATACAATATAAATTTTCATTTTTTAGTAAATATTAACACCATTATTTATTAAAAATACTAAATTTATAATTGTTTATATCAATATCATTATTAAATCAAATTTAAACAAAACAAAAAAAAAAAAGAACAAAATAATTTTTACATAAAAAGTACTACAAATTATTATTATAAAAATACTTTCTCCAACCGTTAAAATTATGTCACTATTTTTTTTAAGTGCCCATTAAATTTATATATATATATATATTTCATTTATAGTAAAAAAATTACTATATTCACCCATCATTTTATTGCTGCTATTTTAACAAAAATAATTAATTTGCCACTATTTTTTTTACTTATCTCACTATTTTTTTAAATCAATTCCTAAATAAATTTCTCATAATACCATCACATAAAATATCATATACTTTTTTCGGCCCATAACAAAGTATCCATTTTCCATTTTAGTCCGTCCCATAATAAAGTATCTATTTTTCCATTTTAGTCTGTCCATAACAAAATATCAATTTCCTCTTTTAGTAACTGTACTATCTACCTAACATTACAAATACCCTTACAACTTACAATATATTACACAAATGTCATTACTTTTATATCACACATACTAATAAGGTTATTTTGGTCATTTCTACTTTATTCCTACTATATCTCAATATAATACTAATATTTCTAAAACTACATGCAAAAAGTAAATGGATACTTTTTTCCGAGACGGAGGAAGTATTATTAATCTATGTGTTTAATCAAACTAACATAATTTCTTTTTGGATAAAAAGGCTTTGAAAATGAATTGTATGTTGCATAACTACGAATGATATTTTGCATATATAATTATAGACTACAAAAGGGTGTACATTATTCTTAATAAATGGAGTTTGACAATAGTAATGAAAGAATTAATAAATTTATGTAATTTGTATATATTTTTAAATTATTTTTTATATTACTCATTATTGATATTTAAAAAAATTAATATCAAATATTTATTGTATTCAAAGTTTTTACTATTTTAACCAATTTTCGACATTTTAAAATGATTTCAATATACATTTAAATCCATAAAAGATACATGTGTGGTAATTATTTACTACTCCATTCGTCCCATGTATTATAGGCATATTATCCTATATACGAGAATTTAGGTAAAGTATGATTAATAAATAATTAAGAAGTGTATTATTAAAAATAATTATTGTATAATAAAAATAATTGTGGATTAAGATTAAAATAACTAAATAGTTTAATTAAAATAAAAAAAATTATAAATTTAAAATTTAAAATGAAATTAAAGTGTATAATTATATTTTCAAAAACAAAATAGACAAATTAGGTGGGACGGACGAAAATAAAAAATATGAAAAAATTATGTGGACAGACAAAAATAAAAAATATGAACAAATTATATGTGGGAGATAGGAGTATTATTTTTATCTTGTTTTATTTTCAACGAAAAAAAGATATATTAAAATTAAATAAAAAAGATATTTCCACAAACCGACTCCACTGGGGATCGAACCCAGAATCTCTGGTTCCGTAGACCAGCGCCTTATCCATTGGGCCATGGAGTCAAGTTTGAAAATTTTTGTACACGTCAGATATTTAAAAAATCTTTATAAAATAAATACGAAATTAATAATTAATTAAATTTTTATTTATTTTTTTCCGTCCCAAACATATAAAATCCCTTTTATTATGTATGGTTCATTTGTGTCATTTTTCATAACAATATAAAATTTCAATTTAAACATTTTGTTAATGTAATGTTTTAAATAAACTTTGTTAATTTTTCGTCATAGATATATATAACCAATCAAATACGTTGAAATTTAATTCGAAACAAAATTGAATATAAATCATATTGCATTAGGATACTTCTAAAAGCTGTATTTTATCACAATCTCACTCAATTTTATCAAATAACTAACTAAAGTATTGTTTGTTTTGAGAATTGTTCTATTTCAGAACTCCATCAATGACCAGCAAACACTCATGGACATAATCCATCCATCTACCTATCATATCATACTTATTTTACTTAGAATCGAAAGAATAGCAGCACGATCACGATCGATGGCAATACATGATCAGGCGATCCAATGCAAAGCAAATATAGAAACGCCGTATGGGTAAAAAGAAAAAGAACTGATCTCGTAATCTTAAAAAAACTTAACAAGTATACCTGTACGCAGCAGTACCGGTTAAACTCATTAACTATCGACATGTTGTGTACGCAATCACAGTTCATTTCCTGTTAAAGAAGCGCCGATCTTCAGCATCAAAGGATAAACCGGACTGAACTCCTTGTCTCCTCTACTCCTTACTCGGGCTGCATAATCATCCAAAGTCGTTTTCACGCCTTTCCATATCTGATCTTCGGCTTGCGAATCCATCCACAATGAATACTGGAGAGGTGTAAGCCTGTTTCTCTGTAGAGGTGACTGCAGCTCGTCAGGGCCACGAGAATAGAGATGGTGGAGGATAACACTCGCCGGAAGATCTTGAAGAAGCGGTGACGATCCCAGTTGAGATGTTTCCAGGAAAATGAGAGGCCGGAATGCTCGAAGAGCACGGTAGGGTGCACCGAGCTGCTCTACAGGATATAGGTTTTGGGTCACGGCTAATTCGATCTCCGCCATATCTCTGGCCAATCTCAGCTTTCCCGACTCAGATAATGGCCTAATGAGTGATGCATGTCTTATGAAAAATATCAAAACCCGAGATGCCATGCTCTTTACTAGCCTGGTGCATATAGTTTCTGTTCCGACTGAAACAGTTCCTGAAGAAGGTAGAACCCTGGACAGGAACTCCGTACGGAAGTGATGTATGCTTTTCTGCAATTCTTCCATGTAAGGGGATGCATTATTGTCCATTGCAGCATCTATGCCGAGAGTGCCGAAGTTTTGATCATGAATTTGCAGGATGCAGGATTCAAGACGATCGAGCATGGCTTGAAATAAGGACGTCACTGAATCACCAGCAACACCATATATTGTACCGAGAGCTGGGGAAAGAACCTCAGCTGCCACAGTGGGAAGTCCTGATATCATGGCTGTTACACGAGAGTGAACTTCTTGCAGTTGTTGACACAACATAAAGTTCTTCAGCTGTGCTGGAGTTGCAGGGCCACTTATTTGGCGTGCTTCAGGGCCAGTCGAGATCTGAAATAAGATTTTAATAGTGAAGTGAGCAGTTCGATAATCAATGAAAAATTATCAAGTGATTGCCAATGATATAGGAAATTGAAGTCAGTCTGCAGATAGAGAAGGTTACCTGACATTCAGCTCTTTCTGCAAGTAGACGCAAAACTTTATTGATCTCACGCAGGATACGGAGAGTCAAATGTGCATCCATCTGCACAGCTTCTATTTCTTCTTGAATTCGCAATATAATTCTTGAGATTTGTTCTTTGGAGGGCACACTTCCCCGGCTCGACACAGGGAATACAGAATATACAAGATCTGTCAATCTACTTAAGCAAAGGGCTAAAAATGCTGTCTCGAAAATTTCAATGGCAGCTACCATCTGTTCTTTGCCTTCAGAAGTGAGTGCAGGTGGAACCCCTTTGATATCAGTATCCCGAGAAATTCTTTCTAGGAGGTTCTCAATCATTGCTAACAGCTTTGGATACCCAACGGTAAAAATCTCCTTGACAAAGCTTGAGGCAGTGAAAACAGATTTCATTTGGCTCCCAAATGATTTTACTAAAGCGTCCCAAACACGATCAGTTAACATTGGATCACCTTCCTGAAGGCAGGATTAAGGAAAAAAAACAAAAAAACAAAACCATGAGCATTTGCATCTTCAATGAATATCAACAAGTATAGCTTGATGGAATTAATCTTCCAAGATACATAAATTTTTTAAACATTGAGAGGATCAGGCTTTCATCAACCGATAAAAACTAATTATAAGAAGGAAAAGAAACAAGTCAACTCAAGTTTAGATTAACAATCATAAAACGTTAGCAGACTATCTCATTTAGGTGATGGGAAACGAATGGATAAAGATATAATCATTGGGCTAACGGCAATAAGTTACAAATCTTCAAGGTCAGTAGGCATCACAAAAAGGAAAGAGGGAGATAACACCGTACAGTTATATCCAAACATAAAACAGAAACATAAATATATATATCTTGATTGCAGCCCCACAATTTCAGAAAACAAATCCATCAGTATGACTAGGTAGTAAAAGTGTCATATTTTTTCTTATACCCAAAATCAATGTTTGTCTTGAAAAGAACAGCTACTATTATATGCAGGGCTTCGTGACCAAAATGTGCATGCTAAATATAATACATTTGACATAAATAATATGCATTAGCATGTATATCCTGGTTTCATCAGTAACATGGTCTCACGTGAATAATCTTCAGAGCCCCAACAAAAACAACAAAAAGAAATCCTGCAGACTCGCTCAGACTAAACGGCTACTTTCCAAACATTCTCAAGTATATACGGAAACAATTTGCTTGTATATGATAAAAGTAATGTATATAGATTCTTGACTCAATATTGCAAATCACATGTGAAATCTTAGAAGGTTAAGTCAGTTGAAGCACTCTCTTGTGACTGCCGAGCATCTGATTTTATAAACATTCAAATGGCTCATTTCAGTCGTTCATCTTGTGACTTCAATTACCCATCAATCAAGAATCTATCTGGGTTGTATTCAATGCCAACAGGACAGTGTTAGGCCTAACTCTAGACAACATTGGCAAAGCTTACCTCTATCAAAAGAATTAGCAGGTTTGGCTCATCTTTCTAATGCATTATAGCTGCTGTGCAAGAGGAACTCAATCTAGAGATTGCTTTTTTTATTCTTGGCAACAGGGAAAGAAAACACTTGGCATTCACTTTCATATACCAAAAGAGAACCGAAAACTCTACAGGTTTCGAAAGTAAAGAGGTTTATACTGACATGCTCAATAGAGTAAATACATTGCTTTGTATAGCACACAAATCTCACCGGCATGGGGTGAATGCATGCTCAACTTGTTGAAATTAACAAACTAAGGTAATCATCACATAATGTACCATTGAAGCACCTAGTTCTGGCAGTGAGAGAACAACTGAACAAGTGTTCAAGTTCCATTTAACTAGACATACTGAACACAGATTAGTTTGGTGTCTATTTTTTTCCACGGACGACAAGCATTTCAAGCATAAAACACATGCTTTAACACCAAATTCTTTATCACATCGAAAGGCTAAGCACCCCTTTGTTCACTCACCTACCCTAATCTTGAAAAAGAAATAGATAAGCTAAGCGAATTCACTCACCTGCATAACCTCATCTAGCAAAAGGACGTGTGTGAATGGATCTCTCTTCTTGGACAATACCCTCTGCAAATGCCAAATTGCAAGCACCATCGAATGCAATTGGTCCATACAGCCGCTCATTCTCTGCCAAAGTGCCTCCCTGGCCTTCGCCCCACCCCCAATCTGCGGTGTCCCATGTCTCTGCACTCCTCCTGGACCTCCAGCGCCATATCCGCCAGCAGAAATGGCTTTCATATCCAATGCATTGCTCACACTCTTCACCCCCATTTGCTTATACTTGCTCACTAAACCATCAACGGTCCCCCTCAATTCACCCATGTTGTAAAACACTTGCAAACCTAAGCCTACTTCTGGTTGATTCAGACTCTCGAGACCATTTTCCAATACCTTCATTCCCTCCTCTCTTATACTGGATCCTATATCGATTACCCATTTCAATTCAGTATCCACCACATCAATCCCTGATAACTGGGACTCGTTGTACAGAGTTAAAATCTCATTGTGCAGCTGAGCAGCTTTGGAAAGATCCCACTTCGACGCATCCGGCTGTGATTCCACGAGATTCCTTAGCTTCTGGATTAGACGCAGAGTTCGAAGCGTATGCTGAAGAAACAACGAAGTCGAGTGCAGATTATTGAGCTGTAGGGTTTGGGCAGCCACAACGCGATGCGGATCGGAGAGCTCGGCGCGCACATGGCGGAGAGACGATTGAAGAGACGAAATTGAGGATCGAAGGGACGAGAGCGATGATTCGGAAGCCTTGATTGAGGAGAGCTGATGGAGGAGATCATTGTGCCGAGAAAGGACCTCGTGCCGGAGCTGTGTATCGAGGAGGCGGAGTCCCTCCTGGAGCTTCTCGATCCGAGAGGCGGCGGAACCGGATGAAAGCGCCGCAGAGGAGAACTGTGTGGGGTTGAAATCGGAGGAGAGAAATGCGGAGAAAATGGGATCGGAGGAGAAGGAGTCGAGGTGTGAAGGGGTTGGGGTTGGGGATAGGGGCGTGGGAGTACCGGCTTTGGGAGTGGGCGCTGCTGTAGCGGTGGGTGTGGCTTTGAAGGTGGAGAGACGCTGGAGAGGAGATCTGGAAATGGCAGGAGAAGCCATGGACGCCGGTGGAGCTCAGATCTGCTCTCTCTGGCTTACCCGTCGTTTATTGAATTCCAGTTCTAGAGTTGTACCCTGCGCAGTAGCTGTCGTACCACCAGGAACACGTGGGTGTCCAAAATGAGTTCTAGACTCCGTTTTGACAATTACTTTTTTTTAAGAGTTTAAAGTTAGGGTGTGATTGTTTGGATTTGGATTATGGATTGGGATTTAAGTACCAGGAGAGGATGATGTGATATAAATAAATATTGATGTCATGTAAAATTAATTTTTGGTATAATATAAAAAATAAAAAATAAATATTTGTAAGAATAGTATAAATCTTTTTCAATCCTTTAGTGTGTTTGTTTGGGAATTGGATTTCCAATCACTATTTATCTCATTTTTTTTTCTAAAAAATCAAATCAAATACTTATTTTTATTTTTTATATTATACTAAAAATTAATTTTACATTCAAAATATCACATCAAATATATTTTTATATCACATCATATAACTATTTAAGTGCAAAATTTTTACTATTCAAATCTCTAACTCAAAATTCAAACCTCCAAACAAACACGCTAAAAAAAAATTTTAATAAATATTTTGACTTTTAACAATTCAAAATTTAGTATTTAATATAATATTTTATTAAAATTTTAATAATTTCAAAATTCATTTTAATAATTACATTATATTGAATTCAAAATATTTATAAATATTTTGGAGACAGGATCTCATAGCTGGTATGAGATAAAAATTTGACGGTCTAAATTGAAAGGATATAATTATTATTTTGACTTTTAACAAATTATTAAATTCTTATTTCGGCGAGGGTAAAAATATTTTCTTATTCATATTTTTCGAAAGATCGTCTTCTTCAACCACTTTTGGTTTTGTTCAACTCTCCATCGTTGTACTCCATATCGACAAGGCCGAGTGCGTTTGTAAAAGCGATATTCAATCTCATTGCTTTAAGTTTCGGTAAGTTTGTTTCTTCCTATCCCTCTCATTTGAACATAATATAGGTTAAATTTTTCTTTCATATCATCATATTTAAGTTAAATCGCTGGTTTTCTCGTTGTAGTTTATGAAAAAGTCCTATTTTGAGTTCATTTTTTATTTTCGTTGAAGCCTTAGTTCAATTCAATAGAAAAAAAATGAGACCTAATGGTCTGTAGTTTTTATTTGTTCTTATTTAAACGGTAAGTGTTAGTATTATAAAATACTTTCTCATAAATAATAAGACGTTGAGCTCGGCATTTAAACCTATTAAATACTTGTAATATAACAAATGATAAATTATATAACACTCTTTTGTATTTTAGTAATAATGTACAAAATACAAAAGTATTTTATTTATGGCGCGAAATTCTTTGGAGACAAATTATCTATTTTTTAAAAAAACTATAAAAAAAATGATTGATAAATTATTTATTTTATTAAAAAAATTATTTAAAACATTTTATATATATTTTTTTTATATATAAAATTTGTGTAATTTAGTTATTTATTTAGAACCAAACAGTACAAAGAGGGTGTTTAGGTTTTAGGGTTTGTGGTTTAAGATTTCATGCAAATTTTACATGATTTCACGTAATAAATAAAATATATTTACTAAAACACAACAATAGCTATTATATAATTTACTCTATAATAAAATATATTTTTCTACTCATAAGTAAATGTGAAAAGTCAATTCAATTGTACCATAATTTATTTTATTTAACAGTAAATTAATGCTGCATCTTTAGGAAGAGAATGTATCTTGATCGTGGATAGTTAAAAGATATTGAAAATTATTATTAAATCCCTAATTTGGTATAAGTATTGGATTAAAAATTGTAATCTAATAGCTAATAGTGAATATGCTATTTAGTAAAAATTCGACATAATTATTTTTAATAATTTTGTTTTAAATTCAATTTTGTTAATTTCAAATTATTTTTATATTCATAGGAAATTCGATTTAGAAGCAGACCTAGAAGTTGACAATCTTGACATATAAATTTCATATTTAAGCAGACCTCATATAAAGTTAGTTAATGCCAATAACAATGAACTTAGTAATTATGGAGTAAGCACTTGCAAATTTGGAGAGTAATAAAACTGTATCATCACTGTAGTATATCACTAGAAGGTAAAAATGCTTCCTTCCTGTCCAAATACATTCAACTCAAAACTAGAAGAAATCCACCACAAGTCCACAAATCTTACGCTAATCTGTATACAGACATACATCCTAAATAAACATGTCTACTAAACCTGGCCAGACAATATCAACAACAACAACAATAACAATGCAGTAGTTGTCTTGAGTTGTTCGATCATCAATCAGACGACTCCTTGTCCTTCTTACCAGCCAAGATCATCGAAATCTGAAGGCCTCTGCTGAATGCCTGGTTGAACAGCAGCCGCGTCTGGAATTCCGACACAAACGGGAACCAAGACAGCACGACAATGGGCGTGAACACAATGAGCCCCATGATTGCCTCGTACGCCCGAGACAGCTCCATTACAGAGTCCCAGATTCCGATCCCCCTCAGACAAGGCCCGCACGCCTGAGCAATCAAAATAAGCGCCCAACCCGTCGGCATAAACGCTAAGATCGCAGCAAAAAGATCGCTCACAGCAAGCCCCCCCACGACAAACAGCACAGTCATCACCGACACAAATCCCAGAAACAAAAGTGCTTTTAGTATCCTGAACATAAGCTGAAAGTCCGTACCAAATTTTCGCCTTCCCATTGAAACCATCTGCGGAAAAATGACATAAGACACACGAAAAAGCGACATTGATAGAAGAAGAAAAGAAACGATCGCATACCTTCAAGACAAGGAGTACCGTCACCATGACAAACCAAGAAAGGCCATAAACCTATGAGACAAGACAAGGTTGTGCAGATCAGATAAGCTAAGAATGTTAGAAAGAATAAAAAAAAATATCGATGATGTTTTATACCAGGATGTCTTTTCTCCCATGGGAGATTCGAAGATGATAGACGATCCCATATTGGTAGATGAAGAAACGGCACGAGAGAAGAATTTCCATGACCCGACCCCTTGCATTCGTGTGCTTCAAATGCTCCTGTTCGACGTTCCACCACGATTCCCAGCTCTTGTCGGGTGAAATTCCAATGCCTCCGCGGTTTCCCATCCATCGTTTCCAATCCGTCCAATCATCCACCGTCTTCTGCCACTCGAATCCCGACGGATTGAAAACGAAAGGAGCAAAAAGCCACGACGCCACAAGGAACCACATAGAGAACGTGATGAAAAAGTACAAAGATGAGCTGCGGTACGAGTGTCCATACACCTCGTAAACGATCAGCAGCATGAAAAGCTCTAATCCTTTGATGAAATGGCTGCGAGAGTACATTCTGTAATTATCTGCAAATTTGGCGTGGAAGACAACAAAACCGCGACCTGTCGACCGGTACTTTGAACCTCCGTGTAGAAGTGTACGCCCATAATAATGGGTTTTTGTTCCAAGCTGGAATGTGAAGAACACAGATGCCAACTGCAGTTGCATGACGATGAAATCACCAATGGCGCTGCGAAATCCTCTTTCGAGCCCAATTTCCATCACCATCGGCAGGACAAGTAACAAGCCGAGCTGAAAAAAAGATTGGGTAGCCAATGCCTCTTCAAGAGCTTTACTCTGACGAATCAAAGGTTCGTCAAGAATTCGCCTTTCCAGCCCACTCAAGACCATGTATAGTCGACCATACAGGAAGACATACACTGTAAGTACAGTAACCTGAAAGAATTCGTCAATCAACCTTTCTTAACAAGGAACTATAAGAAAAACAACGACAGACACCAACTGAAAATGCATGATAAACATTTGATTTTTCGGACATCTTATATTGCGCATACCATGCTACTGAAATAAAAGCCAACTGTAGTGAAATAGAAGGACAGCATCCTATAGAAATCAAACCGACGCCCAAGTCGATAAACATCTCGGCTGAGTGTCTGTTCCCCATTGCCATTTGCGACCTTTGCCTCAAAAAGGGATATTTGATTCATTCCAACATCTCGCCCCTTGCCTACTTGGATATATTCATGATGTGTTACATATCCCCTTCGAAGTGTTGAATTATAACCTGAAAATAGCAGCTCGATGAAACATCTTAAAGGGATGAAATATTAAGTGTCCCGACGTACAATTCAATAAGAAAATACCAGAAAATATGTCTTCGCTCAAGTTAATGGTTTTAGATGCTTTGCTTATGCCTCCTCTCGTTAGATGAAAGATTCGGTCAAAAATATCAGGATGCCCATAGTGGAACCTCACCCTGCAGGGCATAAGCAAACATTGGAAATATGAAACAATTTAATAAAGTAATATGTTGAAGAATGAATCTTCAAATAGGACAGTCAATTAAATTTTTATGTCTATCAACTAATTGCCTACTCAGGTGCATTGTATTATTCAGGTTTATAGCTACTTTAGAAATGAGCTGTCTGCCGAAAACCTTAATAAAAGATCAATTCCATTGACTTGGAATTTCTTTTGGATAGACTTCTGAAATTTCTCGCTTTCTAAGGTCTTCTAAGTTAGTCCTGTGAAGAACTTCAGACCACTATTGTGTACATCTCAATTGCTTCTGTGTAGCAGCTTTAGCCATCTTTAGAGTTTCTAACAAGCCAAGTTTTTCATGATTGAGCTCAGCACGTGCTCGTAATCTTTTAATAGTTGGGAAAACACAGTTTTTTATTTAAAAAACAAGCACATTAGCAACTGTAAGAATTAAACAGAGTTACCTTAAAGGGTTCGCCAATATTCGCTGTCCAATTGTCACAAAACTAGTTTCTTGATTTGACATGAACCAAGCGAGTGATGAAACACTGCAGCCAAAAGGAAAAGCAAAGTATAAACACAATAGATGTGAAAACATGCAGTTTCTGTAATAATTCCAAAATTCCAAAACATTCGAAATTCAGACCTTCCTGTAAAAATATGCTCCCTGAGTCCCAGTATTGTCGGTCTTCGTTGACCATGATGAGTTTTCAAAAATTCCTCCAATACATTGCGCATCTTAAAAGCTTCCTCGAAATAATTGTCCTTCAGTATTGAAAATAAATTAATCACAGGATCATGCCACAAAAAATAGTCATGTTTCAAAGTAGTACTGCCCTATTATCCAAAAGCCAAGCCATTGACTACCATTCTGTTGTAATTGTTTTTGAGAAAACTTGAAGTACATATAAGGGAGGTAGGTATGTGTCAAAATGATTGTACGGGTAAAAGACGAAAAGACTGTTAACCTGATTCATGTCTATGGCTTGCAAGGCTTCTCCACGGGTAAAAATGATGGCATGGTTTTGATTCTCAGGTTTCCCTTCACCGATTGCTGCTGGAGGACCAGGAAGCTTGATGCGATATATTTCCTGATAATGCATGACATTAATTTGCAGTCTGAGACACGCAATAATCAAAAGAAGCATAATAAAGCTTCAACTGTATCAATCCTCAAGAATATCCAGCAGAAATATTAATATAAAAAGATTGTTTAAGTATTTCCATAACAGTTAATCTCATACCTCATCCAATTTGTCACCTCCCTTGACCAAGACAGAATAATAAACCTTCTCGTTTCTTCCATTGATTGTCTCCTCCCTTTCATCGATGTAAGCAACTCGTAGTGAAGGATACCTTGAGAATTATAATGAAAATTTTAAGTTTCGTCACCACACAAATCAGCCTATGTGATTAAGAAATCTAGAGCTATGTCACTTACCTTAACATGAGATTGAGGATATTGACGTAACAACTCCGGTCTTTGAGGTCACTAGATTTCTTTTGAGCACCATATACCTGACAAGACACAACATAGGTGAACTTCAAGTCTGCTTGAGCTTCGGCTTGTTCTTCGAGTTTTCGATAGTCCCTATGATTTGTGTCAATGGCCTGGTATCCACCATACAGCGCTGCATATTACAAAAAGGCTTTAAAAATTACTTTGAACAATATAGAGAATAATTATATGACTTTAAGAAGTGGACAAATGATGAGCCGTAAGAAAAGAATGAGAAATGTGCAGTTACCATTATCATTCGCAAAGTCCAAAGAACATTGAAGTTTCAAAGTCTCCCGGTAGTACATCATCCCTCTCACTGGTTGTTCAGAATACTAGAAAAGCTCAATAAACAAGAAGAAATAACACATGCAAAAATCCATGAATGTGCTTGTTTGCTGACCTGTCCGAGCCAGTGTCTGACCCCTGTAAGAAACCCATTCACGGTCTAATTCTGACCGATCTTTATTGGAATATACTTTAGTGTCTTTGATCCGTTCTTTATAATTGTCCCACTCGTCTATTTCAGATGGAAAGACAAGGTAAGAGTTAACATCTGGGATAAAATGTTTCTGAACACAATATGAATTTAGAACTTTACCTGGATATATTTTCTGTAGATAAAATAGGATTGTTATGTCATCCTCATTTCTCTCATTAAGCTCCTCCGTTGAATAAAGAACAGGTTCATTATAGTAGGGAGTCAAAACACTGAGAGAGAGAAAAAAAAAAAGGTATTGAAGTTCAGAATCCCCTAAATCAGGACAATGGCATATGGATGACTACAATATTACTTCAAAATATCCAATTTTGTTTATTTATTGAGTTAGCATTTCACAAGAATAAAGTAAAAGAATCACAAATGGATGATATTAAAAGACAACACTTAAGAGGATAATTACAAATGGAACAAGAGGCACTAGGAAAACAATACAAGGAGTAGCTGTTTTGCACTACCAATTAAGGCCCAGCGATATTTTCATATTATAATTGTACAAGACTAAACTGGTATCCTTGAAATGTAATTTAAATTCTTAAAAATATTATATTATCCTCTTGAGAAGAGATCTAACCTGAAAGAGAGCATGTTGCGGACTTTTGGGGCACTCGGCATGGTCATAAACAGAGAGTTGGCAAAAAAGGTAATGCGCCGTCGAGCTTCTAAATTCATCGGCACGTTTATTGCTGACTCTTTGACAGTTATAAGCAAATGAAGTCTGACGACCTGTATAACAGAATGCAAAAGAAAAGATAGCAAAAGATACGAGATGGAGAGGAAAAGTTTTACAAAAAAATGAAATAAAGGCAATGTAGGCTAAAAATATATGATTCATGGATACCTTTTCCATCCAGGCTGGGCTTTGTGAAAGATCAATGTTTACCCTTTCGAAGCGCTGCTCTTTTTTGTTCTCTTGATGGAACAAATGGTTTCTTTCCAAAATCCTGAGGACATGAGAGCACAAATTGTGAAATGTTTAAAAGGAACAATAATAAGTAGAATACTCATGTAATTTTCTGATCCACATACTCATATCCATTGATCATTACATCTTGAACAATAATCTCTACAATATCCTGAAGCTTGTTTATGATTTGAGACCTATATATCTGGGCATCGTCATAATCCTCTCTCTGCCAAGATGCAAAAAAGAAATATATTGCATAAACTGGTATAAAAATCAATCAGTGAATCCATTAGCTAATGAAATCTAATTATCAAACTAGTGTCAAACATATGAACTTACAAGCAATTCCAAAAATGAATCCAATTTAGCACTCAGTACAGGAAGATCATTCATCCTAAACTTCTTCAAGAATTTATTCTCATGTATGCTGGTTTCAACTTCGTCACATATTAGCTGAATGATCCTTGAAAGAGGCACATCATTTCAAGAATACATGTTAGTGGGTAAAAGGCAGTAATTTCATAAGTAAACATAATTACCAAGTTCTACGAATAACCAAAGAAATAAAAGAAAAGATAACAGCTAGCATCTCTTACTCCCTGTCAGCCTCATCTAATAGAAGACCAATCAGTACATCCCTCAGTGTTTCGTAGCATTCAATTACAGCACTATACATGAAATCATCATTCTTGATTTTCTTAAATAGTTCAGCATCGTCCTCCTTGAAATCCTTCGCCATGTCCAACGCTATTGGAATCTAATATCAATTATAAGATGACGAGTTACATCAGAAACTCTCAGGACATTGCACTAATAATTCATAAAGCCTATTTTACCTTACTAGCAAGTAAGAATGGGGGCCACTGGACAACACTGACATCACCAGGTGAGTAAGGCACAAGCAGCAGATTTTTCTCCCTGAATTAATCAATTACACAGAAGCATTAATTTCCATTCAATATATTATATTACAGTCAAATCCAGAAAAACATTACTGACCAATTGTTTATGAAATCCTCTTTTCTTAGAGATAATATGAATGCATTCCACATTCGAGAGAACTTCGCAATGTTTATCGTTTCCAATGTGTCCTCCTGTCATCAGCCAAAAAAGATATTGCCAAACAGTTTAATATCTAAAGCTTGTAAACTAATAAGACTTATGGCTTCATCATGTAATATCATCTCAAGATAAAAAGCTGTATAACCCAATGAATTCATGCAGTACCTCCTGATTTCTGGTCTTGCTTGAATATGGAACAAGGCGCTTGCTGAAAGCTGAAGGAACAGATACAAATCTTGCCCGTAACATGCCAAGTGTTCTTATCTAAATTTATCATAATAAAACAGAAAATAATGAAGATAAACTCTACCAGTACAGCAAAGTACGCTAATAAATACATCCAATCATAAGACAATGATAAAACTCCAACCTCTCCAAGGTGGCTGAATGCTCCATAGATTCCACCAATAAGAGTTGAGAAGATAGCATACCATATTTGTGTGTCCATGAAATAGACCTAAACAAGTCATTATTAAAAGATTCTAAAAAGGCGTCATACCCAGGAAATTTTAAACTCTTATCCATGACTACATACCAGGACAATTGGAGCCCAAATGGCAATAATGACAGTGATGTTATGAGTAACTGCATAATATCCATAAGCCACATATTAGATCACAGCCTTTAAGTAACACTAGCGATATGCATGAGATTGAAAGACGCTACCATTAGGAAAGAGTTCATGCCAGTCGTAGCTACTGATAGAGAGACCCATGATTGTATTTGTTGGTTCAATCAACGGCAGTACCTAATCAAGAAAAATATATCAGAGAAGAAAATATATATCACACTATAGAGGCAGAGTGCACATGGCATCATTGGCTTGTTATATTCAACCTTCGGAACTTTAGGTCATAGTATATCCATATCCACTTGAGCATAGATCTAATTTATTATGAAGGACCATATCCCTTCTTGATGCTCTTCTTTCTTTTAACATAATTCAGCGACGGATTTTCCGTTTCCACACATCCAGCAAAAGGCATGCTGATTATATAAGTTTAATAAAGATATCCAAAGGTTGAAACTAATATTTCTTTTTACAAATAGATGGAGCATAACTATAAGCTTCAAATCCTTTTATATAGGTAGGAATCTTACTCTATATAATCAGCTTAAACCATCACCAGTTTCCTTTCTTGTTCCATTATGATAAAGTGATGCATGGCTTTCAAAAATATCTTGCAACATTATGGACCAAAACAATTACTACTTCAAACATAGACTATCCACATCTTATGCAATATGATAAGTTATTGATATATAAGTTGGTCTTCACAGGATATTTCATGAACCGCAGTTTTTGCCATAATATATATGTCAAGATACTAAGAGTATTTTATGTAACCACTTTTTAAAGGTTATACACATCTGTGACAATGATAGTCAGCATGATAGAAAGATGAATCGTTAAAATGTACACACAATCCAGACTATGTTGCTCATCATCCCTACAATATACAAATCTAAAATACTCGGATAATAGAAAATTTACCTCCACATAATAGCTAAATGCCATCTTGCTTATCAGCAAAGTAATCCAAAAGAGTGTGTATCTATACACAAAGAAGATCATCAGCATGTATAGTTAGTTACACGATAAGCTCAGAAGTCAGGACTTCTTTAGAGAAAAATTAGAAATAAAAAATAAAAAAAATTATTAAGCCCAACGGACAGTTGACAACAACTGCAAATGAAAACAATATTTCCTGCTGTTAGCAGTTGCAAGCATTCTCGCACTTTTTCTCTAACATAATTGGTAATGAAACAGTTGATCAAGAGATAAGGAACCAGCAAACGAAACAAGCAGCAAAAATGAGACCATTGAGAACAAATCAAAAACAAAATGCCAAAGAGAAATGTCTGTGCAGCGGATAAGAGGGAATGTATGATAACATACTTTAAAAGTGAGAACATGTCTTCATGCATCCCTCTTCCAATATACAGCTTCGGCTGGAATTCATGATGCAATAATTCAGTCGATAGAAGATAGTCGTTGTATGTGTGTCCAAATAAGAGGCAAAAATAGCATCTACTTACCTGAGCCCACCACATTATCATGATGATAATACGCCAGTTTGACCGTTCCATGGTTCTCCGAAGGAAAGGGAACAAAAATATAAAAGCAGCTAATATATTTGGCAGCATATAAATCAAAACCATGTAGTAATACAAAGACTGTGACTGCCAATCAGCTCCCAAATTTTGGAAGAATCTCATTACCCCGCTAGGATTTTGAAAGGATCTGGAGTATGTAACTGGCATTACAATAAGCCAGAATGCAGCAACAATAAATTTAAGGAGGTAACGAAGTATCTGACTAAATTTCAGGCTCTTCCATGCAATAAAACTGAGGATTATATCCAAGACAGCTGCAGGGGAACAATTCAGACTTGGAATCACTCTGTTGTATCATCTTATTGCAGTTTGATTAAGAGAATATAAATTTGTTATTATAAATACCTCTTAAAAAATTCAAAATCGCAGCTGTGATAAAGATGCTTAAAACATCTCGAACTACAACATCGCTGAATAAAGAATTTGAGGTAATCCGTTGATTCCATGCAATGATAATCATTGCCTGATAAGTATAAAGGAATTGATAGTTAGAAAACTGCAGAAAGCATCGCTGAACAGAGAATTTAAAGAAACGCATTGATTCCATGTAATGATTATCATCATCTGATACATATAAGGGAATTGATACTTAGAAAACTCTAGAAGATAAGAAAGGTGAGAAAATCAATGTGCAAACTTTGATAGTGTTGCTGCTTCACAAATCCTTGTAAACAGTTGTGCGGTTTAGATCAGCTTTACAAGTTACAGTGCCATCACTAACTCCGTATCAATTTGAATCTCAGACACATGCACCTCCACAGTCTTTAGTTCTTTTATTTTATTATGGATTGTTCTTAAATTTGGTGAAGAAAAGTTGGGTAAGAAGCAGATCTATAAAACTTATGTAAATATTACAGCTTATACTTAAATGGAACTAGTATTCCCTTCACCCATATCTTATGGATTTACTTTCTTGCATTTGTCTTTAGTAGGTTCATTACAACAAATTTCAGTCCCATCTCAAACTAGTAACTCAACTTCAATTGATGTTCTTACAAATAGTTGATTTGAACCTTTGGATTCTTTATTTGTGATATACTGATCAATACCCTCTTAAACAAAAGGCAAGAAGAAGATTAGTGTTTAAAGTAATCCATTCATTTCCAATGATGAAAATTAATAACCTTTTTTTTTCAATAGGCCATCAAGTTACTCTTCAAACAATTTTGAGGGGAATATCATTATACAATATATCAGAAATGTGATCGATGTAATTTAGAGAGTTAATCCTTATATCAACAAATGATCTGACAGCAGAGGTGTTTCTTATTTAACTACTAGGTTCAATATAATAATTTTCTGATTAATTATATCAACCATATGTGTTGAGTGATTATCATGATTCTTGTAAATGGCACTTTATTTTTTGCTACTTTGTAATGTGTTGGTGTGCTATAATTACAGTGTCGAATCATGTGCTTATAGTGATGGTGCTAATTTAATTAAGCAGTTAGCAAGTACATAGGTAATTATCAAATGAATAAATAATGTGACCTAAAACTGTATATTCATTATTATATGTAGATGTTGGTTTTGCTTCATGTGCCAGTGACACAGCAAAAAGGATGAATGAATGAGTGATCCATCCTTTTTCTCCAAAATAATAATTCCAATCCTGGTTCAAATATCAAACATTTGGTATCCGAAGTCTAAAACATATACTATTCTACAAGATTTCTATCACTGCCAATGATGTCATGTGATCAAATGAAGTTTAGGTTCTGATAGATCGGGAAGAGCTTGAAAAGCACATGGAAATAGTTTTGATAGGGTGTTAATGGATAATCAAGAACTGGAACCTTGAGCAAGGAACACAACCCAGTTTCAGAAGAATATGACATGGGTATATGAAGTACCAACAGTATTTGGCGCAAGATTACAAAGAACTTGACTGCATTAGGCAACCAAACATTTGGTGTGCAAAAGAGTTTCTGAGGCATGCAATATCCGTGAATTATTACAAGGTTTGGAAAGCCTCCGTAGGGAGCTCAAGAAAATTTGTCAAGATTGATAAGCTATGAGCGATACCAGTTCCAGTTTCCCTCTAGGCACATTTGAGAGAGAAGCAAGGGTCTCTGGTTTGATCTTGAGATGCATTATGTCTAGGTTTCTGTGTAATTATTCTCATTATAGTTTAGTGAATAGGGGTTAAAAAATCAAGTTCTCAGTCATTTTTCACTAATCACACTAACTTGAGTCAAAATAACATCAGGTTCTGATTATTCAGTTTATTAGAATTTACAAAGGATTCTGTGAAATTTTGTTTTATGCAGGATATTGAAGACAACTCTCTTAGGAGAACAGTACCATAAAATTCGAACTTCAACATTGAGCCTAAGGTTTGTGATTTCACATCTAGTTTCATGGATCATAAACCTATTAAAAAACATCAGATTAGTTTGTATCAAGGAGATCTACAGAAGAAAACCATCAAGGGAGCTAGTCAAGTATTTTTTTAGTTTGCTCTAGTGTCATGGATCATAAACCTATTAAAAAACATCAGATTAGTTTATATCAAGGACATCTACAGAAGAAAACCATCAAGGGAGCTAGTCAAGTATTTTTTTAGTTTGCTCTAGTGTCATGGATCATAAACCTATTAAAAAACATCAGATTAGTTTATATCAAGGACATCTACAGAAGAAAACCATCAAGGGAGCTAGTCAAGTATTTTTTTAGTTTGCTAATAAATCATATTGTTTACTCAATGTACACATGGATAAACTATACAGCTAAATTCCACTTCCTCATGTTTTAATATCAACCGTATGAAAATATACCTACAAAGAAGAGAACTAAGGAAACTACCATGACTGGAGAAGAGAACCAATTAAAATATAATAGTTATTTAAAGTTTACCTGTAGAGCCATTATGAAAAATATCCACATTCTGTCAAAACTCCGATAAAGGTGCCAAAACGTGCGCACTTCGACAAAGTTTGTCTTCGGTTTTCTGTGTCCCATAGCCTGGTTATCTTCTTGATGTCTCTTCAAAATTAGCAGAAATATTTAAAATTTTATTATATCTTAATAAAAAGGAAATAAAAAGGATTATTAGAATTATTTGCATGCACCAATAATCATTTAAAAGTACAGCTTCCATCAGATTTAGAATATGGCATTCCTAGTAGAAACATTCAATATGCAGAATTAAAAGGTTGTCCATAGGGAGAAGCAAATTTTCCTCAAGCAAAGCAGTAGAAGGAAATCCAAAGAAAAAGAAAAAGATGAATGCTGATAAAACCTGTATATTTGCATGTAAGGTGGGTGTAGAGCTTCATACCTTTACTTTGTTTGCTGGCTTTGAATCTGAATGAACAAAAAAATCAGCATTTGGATCCATGGGCCACTTCAACTTCAAGCATTTATCACTCCTGGAAACGAAGTATAAGGACTAAAGATAAATCTCCAGGAAGATATATATATATATATATATACACACAGGTTCTGACAGTGAATAGAGTTACCAAAAGTATTCGTTAAGATCATCATAGTTCCTCCATGCTGAATGGCTTGCTTTACCCCCTTTGTTTCTTCTAACTTCCTTTGAGAATAAAATTTATATATTAAAGAAAATGGAAAAAGAGTAAATAACTTAAAGCATTTAGGAAAGATTAATTAGGGTTCGTTTACCTTCTTTTTTTTTTTAAGGTTTTTGCATTTTTTGGATTTTATGTTTGTTTGAGATGAAATAATTGTTGGATGTGATGTTTTGAATGGTATATAAGTGTTGGATGTAAAGTTTTTGGAAAAAGTTTTGTAGATTGAATAGTTAAAATGTGAAGAAAAAATCAAAAGTAAGCAAATCCTTACCATTTGCATAACCTTGTAAATTGGTGTCACCACTTCCATCAGAAAGTATTCCTCTCCTTTTGCTGGTGTGGTATCTCCAGTGACTTGTTGAACATTCCCGAACAAAGTTCCATGCATCTCCTTTGCCATCTTGTAATTGGAAAATAGAAAAATAATATAAGTATACACATATATATATCTATATAAATATATATATATATATATTGAATAAATTTTGATAAACAAAAAGAATCCCATAGCAGTATAGGAATATAACTAACAATCAACTCATACATGAATAACTAATCTTTCTTTGTTGTCAAGAAATGCCTACTTTGTCTTTATTTCATTGAAGTTATAAACTATGATACATGCAATTTCAAAATGTCTAATGATGCTTTTAGTCTAATTTAACCAAGCCACCATCGATACTGTATAACATCTGTAAATGCATGCCCACTACTCCCAAAACATTAAATAGCTAGAGAGAGTCAAGTTCAATATTGTAACATGCATATCAATTTTTAACAACTGAACCATGTCATAATATTTGCAACACGTGCTCAATCAAACAATCAAAAAGACCCGGAAGGAAAATAGGGGAAAAACTAAGTACATCAAAAAAGAAATTACAAATATCGAGGAAGGAACTTACAGAGTGAAAAATATAGCACAGGCATTCAGGCATAAATCGAATGTTTGATGCTTCACCCCAGATAAGGAGATAAAGTCCGATGTAAAGAAGCTGTGATTGTTGCCTCCTTTCATCCCTCGGATACCTGCAATTAAATGATTAAATGTATGTATGAAGAGCATTGAATGAGTATATAAGAAAATACTACACAAAAGAAGGAGATAACATAAGCAGAAAGCAGCCAACTTACTTCAGATGTGATGGAATATGCAAGTATTTACACCATGAATCATAATTCTTGAAGATTTTCTCCAAAAGCTTCTGAACTGTATTACCATCCAACTGCATCAATACTTATCATCAGGGTGCTTAATATATCATTAAAAAGAAAAGAGTATTAGCAATCCTCTTGAAGTACTACAAAAGCATGAGGACATAAAAATTAGTAAAAATCTTGTGATCGTTTCTTATAAGAAACTATTAAAATTCTTACTTGATCATAATGCTGAAGGTCCTTTTGCCTCACATCCATGTTAGCAAGAAGCAATATTAAGTGCTCCCGCTGATTTGCTACATTTCCTTTCTTCAGCAACCAAATTGAAATGACAGAACATAATCAGCTAAGCTTAGGCATTCAAGAATCAAATCATAGTAAAGAAGATTATAAACAGTTTTTCAGTATATCATTTATGTGTTTGCTGATATGTTAGTTGAACTTTGCGATAATATTTGAGTTAAGACATCTAACCTCGTTATACTGCAGTCAAGTGACAAAGCTATTCAAAAGTAAAATCATGTTAAAGCTAACTGTTCAAGATAAATCACTCGAGGATTAAGCACCTGAAAACCAAAGTGTAGAGCAAGCCATTCAAGAATATCATTGACTGGTCTCGCTCTTCCCTCAAGCATTTGGAACCTCGGGAGATGATCTACATTACGAATAGCTCGAAGTGCTGCTTTTATCTGATCATAAAATTTATCAAATTAATCACGAAGCACATAATATAAAGATATGCCAATCATCTATTCATATGCTAACAGTGGCAGTAGAAATCAGGTGAATCTTCATAAACAACCTCAGGGAGTTCCATAATTGCCGGTTTGACACCAACAGCGTACAAGGGTAATATGTTGTAATGCTCATACTGCTCTCTTTTCTCCTCAACATCTTTAGCATATCTTTCCGTCTGCATTCGTCAAGCCATAGATTTTTTAGCAAACATCCAGAAGTTAAAGATTAAAGAACCCATGAAACAATATCAAGTACAACCTCAGGATCAACTTTAGTGGGAGGCACCACAGTTCTTAGAACATCATACAGCACAGTAGCAATCTGATAGATCTTAGCCATCTCCTCCCTTTAGATGATAAGAACAGAACATTAAGATCACATGGGATGTAAATGACAATCCAAATTTATATTTAAGAATGTCATATACAAAGAGCCTCACGGCTTTTTTATATATTGGCCTTCTCTGATATTTTTCTCATAGAAAAGCTGATAAAATCTCTGGATTTCTCTGGGATCATTCTTTGCAAGTATTGGATGAGTTTCTTCTTCTTCCTGTAGCAATTGAATTTTAAATTAAGGATCAATAGGTATCGATCTTAGAAAAATTCATATATGTATCCCACATATAAATGTAAGGTCTTACGTAAGTTCAGGTTATATATTTGCAATTTGTTGTTTTGTAATTATCAACAAAGTTCAATCGCCCGAATGGCAGAATGACACGATAAACATTATTGCCTTTCTCTCAAAAGTTACTTGTCATAGTCTTCCACTTTTATGCTTTACATTTGATTATTGTGCAAAGACTACAGAAGATTCATGGAATTGAAGATCTCATGCTTCTAGCACACATTAGTTTATTTTCTATTCACCCAAAATCAACTTAAAAGCAGATAGAGTTCGAAAACTCTATTATTTTGATATATCTAGTCAGATAGATAAACCTATTTTTCATGCATCAACATGTATCCAGTCCTCCAAATAGTTGGCCTTCGTGACCGTAAATCAAGATAAGATAATATAATTTAGTCATGACTGCACGCCTAATGAACATAGCACAGTTGGTCTCTACTCTCTCAAATCCTATTATTCATTTCCTCATTTTTCTTACAGATCTTCGTGGCCTAATCACATTAGAATTCCAAATGTAGGAATCTATTAGGGAACAAGTTTTCAAAAGGAACACATAAACCTAAAAGGTTGAAAAACAAAATACTCTAGAGAGATAATGCTAAGACACCAGAATTTAAAGAACATCAGGCCTACCCTTTCAAGTCTGTGTAGTAAATATGTCTTGAACTGTCGGACACCCCGTCCACTTGATGTTGGATCCATCCGATGAGCTTTCTCGAATGCATGGAAGCGACCTATTCAAGAATTTGAAAATAATAATAATAAAGGATACAAAGCAGCACAAATAATAAAGCATAGTAAGCAAGACACATTAAAACTTGTACATATGAAAGCAAAGTAAGGGAGGGATAAGAATGAATTGATGGTGAAGAGAATTAACATACAAAACATAAAGGTTGTGTTCTTTTGTAGGTTTTAACACTGGTTTTTATTATTCACATTCTTCTTTCTCTCCAAAAATATCAAGTCAAATAATTACTTTTAATTTTTTATATTATACTATAAATTTATTTTACATTCAAAATATTTCATCAAATATTTATTTATATAACATCAAATAATTATACAAATTCAACTTTTTACTATTCATAAATTAAAACTCAAAACCCCAAACCCACAAACAAATACAACTTTTTACTATTCATAAATTAAAACTCAAAACCCCAAACCCACAAACAAACACAACTTTTTGTTTAATTTATGACACTCAAAATATGGCAGCAATAGAAGCCAAATATGTTGTCTAACAACAAAAATTTTTAAACTAAAGTTGTAATAGAGTAATTTCATGGGCCAAGAGTACCTATCATCGTGTGTACAAAATCACTTTTTTTTTATACTCCCTCCGTCCCGCAAGAAGGTTGTCATTGGCTTTTTGTGTATTGATCTTTGAATATTATTATGATATCAATACGTAGTACAAATCAAGAAAATAAAACAAAAATATATTTATTAGTCTCTTATTGTACATATACAATGATATTTGTCGAGTAATGACGCAAAAACTAAATCACAACCTTCTTGCGGGACGGAAGGAGTATATTATATTAAAAATTAATTTTACATTCAAAATATTATATCAGACACTTATTTATATCAAGTCAAATAACCATTCCAATTTAAAAATTTACTATTCAAAATCCAAAGTCAAAACTCAAACTCCCAAACAAATACACCAGAATCAACCAACACTCTGTACTTAATATTTTCACAAAAAATAGCAAACTTCAGTGTCAATGTTAAGATCATTAATTAAACAGCTCATTCATGACGGGAATCCATAGTTACCATGAATTATAAATATGGAAAATTATAAAATACAATTCAAGATTCCTACAGTAATTTGTTGATGTGAAAAAAAACCAAATTATGTTAATGAAAAAAAGGGTGCTTGAAAGAGCACAGAACCTTTCTCCAGGAATCTAAATCATCGAACCTTTTACTTAAGCTCAAGAAAGAATCAAGCAATCATTAGCAAACATCAAAATTTTTATATTTAGATAAGTTCAAATATAAGTCAAATCTTCACTAGAAAAACAAACCATCATAAGGATGTGTTTTCTTTTCGTTCTAGATTGGATTCGAAGGTTTGACTTTTTTATTTAGAATAATGTTTGACTTAGATATATTATGAGAGGTTTATATGAAAACAAAGTAAACTCAAAACTTGCCTCAAATACATCATACACCGTAGCAAGAAAGAAATATAAACAATCCGATCAAAAAAAAAGAAAGAAATATAAACTTCTTCAATAATCATAGCTATTTCTAGTAATAAATCAAAAACATCAAAGATCAAGAAACAACATCAATCCAAAACAAATATGGAATGTGTACTCATCACTTCTTTTGATTAAAAAAAAAAAAAAAAAAAAACCCAGTGAGATTCCATTCCATTGTATCTTACACAAATAAGCAACCCGAGGATTCTCCTTCTCAATCTCATTGGCCACGCGGAGAATGGGAGCTATGGAAGCCAACGACGATGGCACCAGCTCACTGTCGACGCCGGCGCTGTCGTCGCCGCCGGGGTCCCCCATTGTCGGCGCTTTGGACATCCTCTGGGACAACGACCTTGGCGGGCCCACACCATCCTTGGTCCCACTGGAACTCGCCATACCCACACACCCCTCTTCCTCCTTCTGCCCTTCTTGGTCGCAATAACTTAAGCTTAATCCTACTTGGGACAAAGTGAAAAAACATCGTTACAGTAACCTTAGTATTATATAAGTAAAGATAAACAAATGAGCAAGAAATGGAGATGCTTTGGAGAAGAAGTGGGGCAAATAATTTGAGGCTGCTTTTTTCCCCTTTTGGTTTCTCAAGGAGGAAGGAACGAATGTGGGTGGAGGGATTTGAAAAATCTTTAGTTTCTTGTCTGATTATGGGGACGCTTTACTGCTTTTTCCATGGGATTGCTTTACTACTGGTGATTGAATTGTCTGTGTGAGTCTGTGACTGTCACTGATGTTGCTTTTTTGGTTTTTAAAATGATAAAAAAAAATCAAATCTGAACTTTGCTTTGCTTCCGGCAGAGGTCTTTTGACGACCATGACTTGCCAAGGAGGGCTGCATCGCATCTTCTTCACGGCTCTTCTGCATCTCTCTCTATATATGTATGTATGTATGCATCATATTCATACTCCCCATGACAATACGCATTTGTGTTTCATTCTGTGTTTGCTTTGTTTCGGGCGTTGTTCCACTTTCTCCCTAACTTGCCGGTCCCGGAGCCTGACTCCCGGGTGGATACGTGGCCATGTGTACGGTTATATAATTTCATACTTTGTTTGGTTGATTTAAAATGAATTTTTAATTTTAATTTACATTTAAATCATACTCTCAATCCCAAAGTTATATTTCTATTTGCTGGTAAAAAATACTAATAAAATATTCCATGTCTATCTAGTTATTTTTTTTTTTAGGGAGCTTTCGAAATAAATAAAAATAAAAATACTAAATTATACTTATTAATATTATATTATATTGTAAATTGAAAATGTATTTATAATGGTAGGTACAGTACAGTTAAAAAAAATGAAAATAATATTTTATTATAGATAAACCAAAATGAAAAAATAATAGATTGTTAGGGAAGAATACTCTGAAAATAAAACTATTATTTTAAGATAAATAAAAATAATAAATAAGGTCTTGTATGAAATAAAGTATTTTATGATACTTTTAAAAAATAGTGAAGTATAATTTATTAAAATATAAAATGAATAGTATTGATTACCATTATTTAATAAAAATTATAAAATTTAATACTACCTCTATCCTATAATAAACTATTTTTTTTATTTTAATATTTATTTCTTTTTTTAATAAATGTATTATGTACCTAATGTTATAAATATTCTTACAATTTACAATATTACCATTTTAGTCATTTATATTTTTACTATATTCTAATATAATACTAAAACTCCGTGCAAAAACAAACGATACATAATTATGAGACGGATAGAGTATATAAATATACAATAATATTACTACAGTATTATTTTTTATATCATTAATAATTATTTATTTTTATCAATATAAATATTATTTATTTTTTATAGAATAGTATATGATATGTTCAATTAAAAATAATACTTTTATATCTGTCCGTTTAAAATAAATAAATTTAAATAAATTATTTTTTATAGAATCGGATAAAAGAAATGATAAAAAAATGAATGGGATAAATAATTTTTTTTACTTAAATATGAAAAATTGAGTAAAAAATATAAGGATATAAATATATACTAGGAAAAAAATTATTTTTAGTTCCAATATAACTAAAATTCATCAATTTTGGTCCAATATAAAAATTTTATCAAATTTGGTCCCAATATAACCAAAATTTATTATTTTTTGTCTCAATATAACTAAAACTAATCATCTTTTGTCAAATATAATTTTTTTTTTATCAATTTTAGTTTTAATATAACAAAAACTCTATCATTTTTTGTTCAAATATAATCAAACTTTATTTTTTTGGTCTCACCATAAATAAACCGACAGAAAATGCTGACGTGAAAAGAAATCAAACCTTATATTTATATTCGAAGAAACTGTACAATCTTGCAAGTCCATGCCAGCATTTTTCGTCGGTTTGTTGACGGTGGGACAAAAAAAATAAGGTTTGATTATATTGAGACAAAAAATGATGAGTTTTGATTATATTGAGACTAAAATTGATAAAAAATTTATATTGGAACAAAAAAATGATAAGTTTTAGTTATTTTATGACCAAAATTAATAAAATTTTTATTGAGACAAAAATTGATGAATTTTAATTATATTGGGACGAAAATAATTTTTTCCCTATATACTATATATTAATAATTTTGAAAAAAATCGTATGTGTATTTTATTTAATTTAATTTAATTTTTTTTTTTGTTAAAACATGACAACCTATATATACTTTATCCAAAACTACTACCCTAATCAAAACATCACGCATCCACAGCCCGCCGGCTGCAGTCACTCTCTGTTCTTTTTCTTCTTCCCCAATCCTTCTTTCTTTCCTTCCTTCTCCTGTTTTTTACTTCTTCTTCACTATTTCATCCACCCTCATGCTTCTGCTCCTGCCCGCTGCATAATGCCCGATTACGTATTTTATAGAAAAAAAAAAAAAAACGCCAAACCGTCAGTTCGAACACAAAACCGGCGATTCGAACCGGAGTTTACGGTTCGGAAAAACCGGTTTCAGTTTTGGTTCGGCGGCAGGTTCGAAACCGATTGGGCTAAGTCTACCCAAATCAATCGAATTTCATTACCTAACCCCGATTCTAATATCGATTCGCTCCCCTTCTGCTTCTCAAACTGACGCCTCTGCTCGACTCTTCTCCATCTATCGCTACTGCATTCGGCTTCATCGTGTTTTAATCTTGAATTGTTGTTGTTGTTGTTGTTGTAAATTTTCAAAGCCGAGGGTTTTTTTCAGTAGCTATCACGATGTGACTGATTTTGCTGGGTATGCTATTAATTTAATTTCATGGAAATTGCTAGTGTTTGTTGTTCAATTTATATTCATTTTATCGAGTGATAGTCGTTATCTTGCCGGTTTGTGATCTATGTTAACCACAGCCTGCCATTCTTACAGTTTAACTATTTCCTATGTTTAGTTCTTGTTGGAAAAGATATTGGTGAAATTGATGATGACGCAATAGAAAAAGGGAATAAACTTACTACAGTCGAAGTTGCTGGGGAAAGGAATGATTCCCTGCCAATTTTAGCTGTATTGCCTCTCTGATTGTAAGTTTATTTTACGTTTATTCATTAACAGTTTATACAATGGATCGACACAAACCTTACCGCATAAATGAATAGAAACTTAATGATGTAGATCGAATTCCAGTATTTCTCCATGGATTTGTAACCTTCCTATCCTTTTTCTGTTTTTAACATTCTAGTGCTTACTATTTGTTGGCATACTTATTGAACAGTTTTTGCTGTTGGATTTTAAATTAGGGAAATTTTTAGTAAGTCAGCACCTGTATCTTCAGAGTTCAGACTTCACAGAAATTGTAATGGCAAACTAGTTTTCTTAGAAATCCATTTCTCAGTCTACAAGTAGAAATCTTTTGTCAACTTATGAGGTGTCATAAAGTAGTTCAAGTCTGTGTTTTGACACTCTGTTTTGATGTTTTGTGGTGATCATTGTGAAAGCCAATGACTCGCAAGATTTCCTTCACCAAATCTGTAGTCTCTTTTGATCTTGACATAAATAATCGATCACTTCCACTATCATCTTCTATTGAATTCTCAGGGACTCTTGTTATTTATGTTTGTGCACAAGATTCATATACATAAACTTGGCTGCTTCATCTGATATATAGAATTATGGATACACATATAGATAGATGTTCATGTATTTCTGTTCTTGTGGATTTGGCTGGCTTTCTTGTAGAACTCGTAGCTCTTCAGTCTCAAGGCGCGCTCACCATCCTGCTAATGGAAAATCCAACATCAAGATTACTTGGGCAACAACCGTCCAAGGATAACCCAACCCATGGTCCACAGATCATGCTTAGCTCGACTGTGAATAAAGGGGGCCCATCTGCTTCGGATGAATTTAAGTATGGATTCCCATCAGCTGGTCTGTCCAGCGTCTCGATGAGATGGTGGGGAAACAAAGGTGCTCCTAAGAATAAGGATCAACAAAATGGTCGTGAAGATGCCAAGGAAACTAAACAACAAAGAGTCGATGAAGATGATAAGGAAACTAAACAAGAAAGTGTCGATGAAGATGATAAGGAAAATAAACAACAAAGAGTCGATGAAGATGATGAGCAAACTAAACAACAGTGTAATGAATCGTTGGATGATGCTGCTAAGTTGTCACAGGAGAATGAAGACGAGAGTGAATGCAAGACAAACGAGACGGATGCAGCAACTCGGTGGGCAAGTTTGAGGAAGAAGGCAGCCGAAGAAGGGCGGCGAGCTCTTAAACTTGGTGTATATAGAGGATACAATGCGAAAACACTCGACAAGGCGAAGAAAATGGTGCTGCTTCAGATATTCAAGACTTCTGTGGGGGATTGAATGTAAGATTTCTGTTGATTAGGTGAATCCATTTCAAAATGTTTTATGGGGAAACAGATGTAATGTTTAATTCTAGTTTTGAATCTGGATTAGATGCTAAACCTAAGACTATGGTTAAGGTTTCTGAGTCATTTTTTTTTAAATAAATAAATAAATAATTACCATGCAACCTCACGATTCTATAAAATATACTCCTTTCCGTCCTAGTTTTATCTACATTTTGTGTCATCGTATTTAACATTAAAAATATTTTTATTTTAGTATTATAAAACACTTATTTTTGTAATTTTTTAAATTTATACTATGTTATGATATAATAATTAATATTTAAATATCACGCAAAAAATTGAATGAGATCTTTATAATAGTTCGCACACCACGTTATTTCAATGTAATACATTTATTGAAGAATTGTACGAAGAAACACATTATTTCAATGCAATACATTTATTGATTACTTGAATAATTATATATAGTCTCTTTGACATATATTTGCAAAATACATGTATGTATGCATGTAATAGTATTATTATTATCATAATTTTTATTATTCACTACTATGCTACTATATATATTCGGTCTTTTTAGTCAGCCATTTTTAAATGAATTGATTTTTGCTTGCGGTATAGAGAACTGAGACGGTATTATTAAAATAATATTTTTTATTTAATAATTAAATTTTATGAGTGAATAATATATATTATATTAATGTCTATGTATATTTAAATGATATTTATGAAAAATTATTTCATTTTTCAAGGATGAGTGAACAGACTGATTGTATTCCTAAATAGTTTTATATGAATATTCAGACAAAGTAGTCCTAGTAATTTGTTTAATTGTCACATTACTATATAAATAAAATCAAATATATTTATTTCTTTTTGCTATAATGATATTATTCATATCATCTACTATGAATGTTGGTATAATTTGAATTCATTTTACTGCCGTGTTGCATGACATAACAAGTTTTTTATTTTTCTTCTTATTAATAGAACCCACAAAATTAAGAATAATTATATATTTTACAATTTATCTATTTATTTTTTCAATAATTTTGTTATATATTATGAGATATAAGGAGCATTTACATTGTCACAAAAATAAAATAAAATATATATATATATATATATAACTTAAAATTAGTCCAAATCGGAACATTCGGCCTATTAGCCCAACAGTCTATGAGGTGAACCTAATGCCCAATTAGGCCTAGCAGTCTAAATAAGCGGCCCAATAAAACTTTCACCACATAGGACCTATATAGCGCAAAATTGAAAATAGCCTAAGGATGTTATTTATTTTTTCTAAATGATTTTTAAATATTAATTATTATATCAAAACCTAGTACAAATTAAAAAAGAAAAAATTACAAAAATACTTTCATTAGTTTCTTATAATATTAATAAAAAAATGTTTGTACGAAAATTATACAAATATAAAAATATTTTTAATGTTAGTACAATTATACAAAAAATAAATGTGACCGGACAAAATAAAAATTATACTCCCTCCGTCCTGGTGCAAGGTTGTCGTTTACTTTTTGCACATGAATTTTTGAATATTAGTATTATAATGGATTGTAGTGAAAAAAAGACGAAAATACCCCTATTAGTATTGTGTAATATAAAAATAATGACATTTGTGTAATATAGTGTAAGTTTGAATGATATTTATTATGTTAGATAGATACTACTAAAATAGAAAATAGTAGTCTTGCTTTGGGACGGACGAAAATGAAAAATGACAACATTTCAATGAGACGGAGGGAATATTGAAATTTAGATTCACATTCAAAATATTATATCAAGATGTTTAATCATTTTGTACAACTATTTTAATTCAATATTTTTACTACTCTCTCTGTCCCATTGAAAGGTTACTAACATAATAAATATATACATGAAAAATTTATTATTTTATATTTTAAATCATTTTCAATAGAAAAAACTATTTATATATTTTAATAAATATATTATTTTTTTAAATCTAACTCTAATAAAAATAAATATTTTTATAACACTTTTACAATTTTCAATAACTAATAACAAAATTTTTTAAACATTTTAAACTCAAAAGAACATAATTGAATATATTAGAAACAAAAATAAAATAGAAATATCCTTAATTGTCATTTTACGTATAAACAGCTAATATCAAATAGTTGTTTTACCGAACATTTTAATACAAAAAGCTAATCGAATCAACTAGTCAAACCAGCTAATTGAATCAGCTAACGGCTATAAGCTGATTGCCAAACACGATCCACAGACAATTGCACACCTTTAAAATTTCATGGTACTCGAATGATCAAATCGATATACTATCTACAATTTCAGATATAATATATTTTTTCTATTTTATTTTTAAATAATTGATTGAATAAAATATTTTACAAGATGAAATAATTATAAAATTCGTAATAATTGTATCCTAAAACAAATTGAAAAATCATTACCAAGTAAATAGAGCCGATCTGACCGATATCTAATTTTATGCAATTCCATAATATATTATAATTATTATTATTATTATTTTATTACATATATTATATGTAATATATAATTTTATATAAATATTTACAGTGTTCAATATATTGTATATACAGTGTATTCATCATTGAATAATCAATCTCAACAGATACCGAAAAATTAATACGTAATTATAATACTTGTTAAATAAAGAAGACTTTTATTTTGAAAATTCTACATACAACGTGGCAGCGGACATGAGAGCCACTTTCTTCGGAAAGCCCGAAATGACCAAATCGCCCTTGATAACCGTTGGAAAAAATGGTAAATTATTTGGCTCGGTCAAAAAGGAAATAAAATTTATGACCAAATACATATTTAGATCAGTATTCCAATAAAAAAATCAAGATTATATTTATATATAAAGGGTGTTTATTTAATATTTCTAATTTGAAATTTGTATATATATATATATATTTTTAATGATATAGGAATCCGCAGCTACTCGAAAGTGCGTAAATCTACAGTCACAGGTTCAACTTTTACGCCATCAGATCATCTCTTACGGGACAAAAATAAACAAATTTTTTTTTTTACTCAAATTTTAATTTATGTGAGTCGATAAAATATATATCATTGTGAGTGAATTATATTTGTATTATTTTTTATATAATACTAATTAAAAAAACATATAAAAAATATAGTTGGGCGAAAATATTTTTATTTTAAAAAAATATTATACTTCCTTTGTCTCGTAAGAAGAGTTTTATATTTTCTACACGGAAATTGTTTAATACTATTATTATATTAATTTATAGTAAAAGATAAAAATACTTTTATTAGTATTATAGTATATATTAATAATGACATTTATCTAATATATTGTAAATTGTACAAAAATTTATTATGTTAAATAGACAATACAATGACTAGAGTATGAAACAATACTCTTATTTTGGAACAAACATAAATAAAAAAATAATACTTCATCCGTCCTATATCTATCTATATATTTGCATTTTTATACAGAGTTTTAGAAATATCAATGTTAGATGTAGTAGAAATAAATGTCAAAAAAGACTAAACTAAATATTATTGTATGATATAAATATAATGATATTTGTATAATATATTATAATTTTAAGGGTATTTGTAATGTTAAGTAAATAGTACAATTACTAAAAAAAAATAAAAATAGATACTTGTCATGTGACGGACCAAAATAAAAAATAAAATAAAATTGATAGATAGTTAAGAGGCAAAAGGGTACTCTTCATTTAAAACAAAGAGAATATTTAATATTTATTAATTTTATAAAATATTTCGTCAATTAATTAATTTTATACTATTACCTATAAGATCAAATTTTCAAAAAAATTATTTAAACAAAAGGCCAAAACAATAATAACGTTGAAAAATAAAATAAAATAATAAAAAAAAATTTTGCATGTGAAAAATAAATGGGTGAAATATATATACATTTAATGCAGTGTAGAAATTTTATGAAATCCTTAATGACAGATGTAAGTTGTTGACTTTTTTCAATTTTGATCATGTATTTGGATTCTCACGGAATTTTGTATTATTGCCATTATTCAAATTCCGACATAATTTTATTTGGACGGAAGTATAATGTTACTTATTCCAAAACAGTTATAAGGATTTGCAGCTTGGGTTGTATCTAAATTTAAAATTTATTTTAAATGTTATTTTCATACTTCCTCCTCCGTTTAATTTCTATTGTCCTAAAGTATATTTGCACAGGTTTTTAGGTGATTATTTTTTTTGTTATGAATGGACAAATTTACTCTTAAGTGTATGGTAGAGATTAAAAGTAATAAATAGATGAAGGGTAAAAATATAAAATTTGTGTTTAAAAAATAAAATAGGACAATAGTTATTGAACGTCTCAAATAGGAAAGTAGGACATTAGTTTGCGGACGGAGAGAGTATAATACTTCATCCGTCCCATAAATAGAGTTTTAATTGGGTTGGACACGAGATTTAAAGAATATTGATATTATATTGGTAGTTGATAAAAAAAAATATGGATAAAATATTTTTTTGCCCCTGTGAGTGTATTAGTGTAAAAAGTAGTGACAATTGTGTAATAAAAATGAAAAAGTAGAGATAGTTTTATGGTGATATAGTTATTTATGGAAATAACACTATTGTTTTTAGACGGACAAAAATGATAAACAAGACTATTGTATTGGAACGGAGAGAATATTTTATATGGAAAGAGTTACAGTGTTAATTTACACATAATATATAAAAATAATATATATTTTTATTACACACAATACGTATTATGCAAGACTATATCATATTTGTTAATTTATGTATTATATTTGTATTATATTAATATAAAAGATATGTTATCAATAATAATATCATATGTTGTTTGTTAATACATTTGATATTGTTCAGTATAATATTCAGTATTGTACCCGCAACTTATTTGATATATATAAATATATAATTATTTAAAGTTTAAACCAAACAAAATCTAAATGACTGAATATTTATGTTTTGGATATGTTATTAGCATTGTAACTTTCTTTCACATTCTTAAGACAATTTAATATTACATGGTATCTAGTATTTACAAATAGTAATATTAATAATTTGTTGAATTCGAAACAATTTAAAATTTTAATATTTTTTTTAAAAAAAAGTTAAGTCAATTCGGATCCAACCAAATTAGCAAAATCTAAAA